AGAGAGGATTGGATGGGTGTGGCTGGTTGGGTTTAGTTTGGCTATCGTTTCGCTGGGTTGGTTCTTACGGCATCTTTGGCGCGCTGGGCATCTGCCATTGCGATTGCGGTGGTTGCGGCCGAGTCGGTCGTCGTGCAGACGTAGGTTGTGTCGTAGCCTGCTCGGCCCATTTTTTGAGCTTCTTGGGGCTGAGCGTATATATATATATATATATATATATATATATGGGTGGGTTGTGTGCGGATGGAGTTGCGGGTGCGGGATGGAACCTAGGGTTGTGTTGATTGGGATGACAGATTGGATAAGGATGGGGTGATTAGTCGACTGAGGGTTGACAATTTTTAAGTTCCGGCTTAAGTTTTGTGGGGTGAAAGTGTATATTGATGGTGAAACTGGGATTGTGTGGCGAGATTGGATGATGGTGAATTGATACTGATGCGGGATAGGTGAAGATGAGAGCGTAGGAAATGTTTGTACAGCCAATGAATATTGGACTTGTGGCAGGAGAAAACACTATAGGAAAGTACAGTGATGACCTATGTGTGCATTTAGAGGATACGCGGAGGGCAGGCGCTCTAGAGGCAAGCAGCATCACATTTGGCCCACAGTGTCCAAACATAAAGGCAACGCAGCAACCACAACTGGACATTGAGACGTAAAAATATTCGAAATTCTAGTCGATTGAGTATAAACATATGCTGCTCCTTGACCCTTGAATCCAACTCTTATTTGGTGTATATAATCTTTAGCTTCTTGGGTTTGTGAGTGAAGAGGTTGGCATAGGCCTTGGGGACAAACTTCCGCTTGTTGGGCTCCTGGACAAAGTACTCGTAGCCCTGCTTGTTGGCAAAGTTGATGGCGTCCTCCTTGGACTTGAACTCGATCCTCTGTCCATTCATAAAGTCGGCAGATGACTGCCAGCCCATGAGCGGGTTCTCCCATCGGTGACCCTTGGGAAGGACATCCCAGTCCATAAGCCAGTGTTGCGAGTTCCAGGTGCCAGACTGTGTAGCTGTCTTGGAGGGCTTGTAGATTCTTGGGGGTATTAGCATAGCTTCTTGAAATCAGATGGATGGGGCCAACGTACCGGACAGTGCGTGCCTGAAGGTCGGTGGGGGCACCTGAGAGAACAGCGGCGGGTACACTTTCACCAGGCTCACTTCCATCCATAACACGCTTAGGGATGGGGGAGAAGTTGCTGGAGGATGTTAGCCAATTGTACATAGTGCCCGGGGATCGCGAGTGACACACGAGACGCGGTAATCGACAGCGGCGTTGTAATCCGGACGGTTCCTCATTCCTTCGGTGGCACCCTGCTCGCGAATCTGAGTGGAAGAGCTGGTGAGTTTGACTGCGGGCGCATCCTCGGGGCTAGTCTTGTGTGCATGCGGAGTGGGCTCGTTTGTCGAATACGCGCGGTACGAAGGGACGGCAACTCTGGTGACAGAGGGCCGCAGGGCGGGCACAAGCACCCGCGATGCAATTGACCTGGGTAGGGCAGACATGGTGGTTGCAGAGTCGAGGTGGCGGGCGCGGTTGTTGGTGATGTCGATGAGGTGAAGCTGGGGTGGCTCCTTGGCAAAAAGCGCCGGCATAATCCGTCCTGCAGCTTTCTTCTCGAACCTCACCACCGACCGCACGACCTCCATCTCCACTCCATCGTCTTGCCCGCCCTGGTACGCCGCCCGAACACAAACCGATACGCCGAGAGAGGACAATTGATGTTAATTGAGTCGCAGCCGTCAAGATGAGCTTCATTACCAAGCGCGGTCTCTCGACCCTCATTCCCCCCAAGGTCCGGCTTTCTACCCGCCCCTCCTCTTGCGCATCGTGCTGACAATGCTCCACAGATTGCCTCTCCCAATGTAAGAGCTCCAAACCTCCAAAAATTGCCCCCGCGATATTGTAAATTCCCGCGACCGTGATCGCATATGCTTTAAAGCACCACGAACCTCGCCCACAATCCCGGCTGCTCAAGCGAATCGCATTACACGCCCATAGCTCAATCCATCCCAAACACCACCAAAGCTGATACACCCACTAGGCCATCGGCTCTTCCCCCAATGCCGTCCGCATGCAAAAGGTCGTCAACTTCTACGAGAAGCTGCCCCGTGGCCCAGCCCCCGAGCCTGAGGCCAAGGGTCTTCTCGGACGCTACGCCAAGAAGCACATGGGCAAGAACCCATCAGGAAGGCGTAAGTACATCTGTGGTCGCTTGAGACGACATCAGCTACGAACCACAGCGCAAACTATGGCATATTAAACACGAAACTAACCGAGCACAGCGCTCGTCCACGTCATTGGCTTCCTGATTGCGCTTGGTTACGCCCAGAACTACTACTTCCATCTCCGTAAGTTTGACTAGCTGCATAAATGAGGCGATGTGACTCACAACTCCCAGGCCACCACAAGAACAATGAGCACTAAGCGGCTCGTTTGAGATGCGCTGGATGACTGTAGCCGGATAGACAGCACTTGTATAAGTAAAGTGTAGATGGAACCAAGCACTCTGCTAAGCTAGTCTTTCTTTTTGTGCACTTGACTGTCTTTTTGTTCAGCCCATGTTTCAACATGCAACAGGCTACGCCGCCTCGGACAATGCCTTCTAGCTGCGATGGCGAAATGCTCTGCTTGCATACAGATGTCTAGATGACATGTATCATCAGAAATTTGCGACGTGTCTGATCGCACAGTCACATCGATTGGAGCGATGATGGTCTCTCACGTGGCGGTTGCGCCATGTCCGTGTGATCTTGTCTTGCAGGCTACCTGTGTCTTTGCATTGCTCGCTCCAACTTCCCTGTGAAGATCACATGTGTGAATGATTAAATGTTGGACTATGTATACTGTGGATGTGATGTGCATAAGCCCTCGTCATACTCTGAGACTTCATACAAAGAAGGCCCCAGCCCGTGCCAAGACTAGCGCCTCTCACCATCGTGGCTACACTTTGCCTCAACCTCCTATACACCGATCTACACCCGCAATCCGCCCCGCCGCCAAAGGGCTCCTCGTACCCAATCTCTCCCATCTGGTCACGACTCTTCGCCGTCCGGTACAAACAGCGCGACTTTGCACGTGTTCGCGACTGCCCGCCAGCCCGCCCACCAGCCCGCTCAGCCCGCCAGCTCCGCCTCGAAACCCTTGAAACCCTCCGCACCACCCGCCCTCCAAAGCAACCAACTTGCAGACGTCGACTCTGCGGAAGCGCCCACTTGACACCTGTGGCGACTCTTAGCATCTGACACTAGGTGATTACTTTCAACTTTTCTTAGCTCACAGGTCGCATATGAGCGATCGCGGGCAACCAGCTATAGTCGACTCGCACCAGGCGACGCCGCTCACGCAATGTCTTCTTTCAAATCCAAGTACAAGCACAGTTCTGACATTGAGTCTTGCGCCACCACAGTTCCGGAAACTGTTATGGCAGAGCAGGTTGCCAACGATGTGGTAAAGGAAGCACAGTCGGTGGGACGTTCGGCGCCCATCGACGAATCTGCATCAACTACCAACGACCCCGCCGTTAATGGCGATCCGCCCTCGGGCACAGCGACCACAAAACCCACTCCGTCCGAAGCGCCTTCTACCAAACCCGCTGCGAACGGCATAGACACAGCCTCGGCTGGTAGTGTACACGTGTCGCAGAAGACCCAAGGACAAGCGACAGCTGTAAGTAGCGACGATTAGGGGTATAGAGGTGGCATTGACAGTGGCAGGCCGACAACAAGCAGTCGGGCACGTCACAGCATGAGACTAGACAGCCCCACCTTGCGGTGGGATCCAGTGAACTCTCGGTGTCCGACTCACAGGCTGTGGCTGATGCGAGCGGTGGTTCGGATACAGACATTAGCCGTCCTGGTAGCGTTGATCAGTCGAAGCGGGATGGAAGTCATGTGCGGACCAGCTCAGCAGCAAAGAAGCAACCCTTCAAGTCGGTATCTGTGACAAAGAGCTTTCTGGCGAAAACGGTTACATCGACTCCCGCTGCGCGACCGGGCGATAAAGCGACTCCTACTGCATCTCTCAAGACTTCCAACGTGCTTTCGGCAAAACCCCGCCTCGTCGCGAAATCAGGTACTAGCAACACCCCACGTACGCTCGGACAGGCCAACGGCGCGGGCGCAGGCCCAGATGCGAGCAAAGTCTGGAATAAGAACCAGCCAGTACCTCCACCTCCACCGAAACAATTCACCGATGAAGAGTTGAAGCAGCAGTACGGAATCCACCTTGCGACACGCTTGCAGGCAGACGAGGCAGGCAAAGAAGCAAAGTGGGCGGATATCGACGATGATGAAGACGACTGGGCTCCGGAAACTGTGCAGTGGATGGACGGGACAAAATCTTCAGTTGCAGTGCAGCCAGAAACCCCAGTAGTGCCCGCCGAAGAGCCAAAGACGATACTCAAGCCCGAAGTACCCGCCGAGACACCGAAACCTTCAACATCTCCTGCCCCCACTGCGAATCCACCCAAGCCTAGCGTTACTGGAGGCAACAAGACCATTTTGAAACCTGGAGCACATGCACAACCTACCGGAAAATCGAGTCTCGTCCTCAAGGGCCAACCGGAGAAGCCGACACTGGTAGCCAAACCATCGGCGACCGAAAAGAAATCACCATGGGCGCCGTTGCCTCCAATCGAGAAAGTATCTCCTGCGCAGATCAATCCTCCCCCTGCACACCAACCCCCTCCGCGTTACTCGCAGCGAGAATCCCATGGTTACGACAGCATGTCCCCGCAGCCTACCAAGGAAATTGCCCCTGACGACTTCAATCGCTCATGGCGAAATGACACCGGTGGACGCGACGCCCGAGATGGGAGGGAGCTTTTCAACTCGCAAAGCGGTCGATATGAACCTGTTCATAACGATGCACGGAGAAGTGGTGGGCGCGACAGTGGTTTCCGACAACAGCCTTCGTTACTGCAGAGACCTGCTCAGGACGGCCCAGCAGAACCATCAGCTGCGTTCCAGACATCGAGAGCAAGTGCGGACGGCCCTGCATGGGGTAGGCGAAGGAACTCTTCAAACGTTAGTGGGGGTATGCCTAGACGCATGTCGATAGATCCACGAGCACCAGACATGCCCACCGGTCCTATGCACATGGAACGTCGTGAATCGCATTCCGTCAACGGTTACGACTATGCCGAGTCTGTTGCGTCTCGCAATTCGCCTTTCCAACAAATGAGGTCCCCGAACGTTGCACACGCACACCCCGCTTCGCCTTATGGATCCGTCACTTCACCTGCCATGCAAGATGCACCGGCGCCAGCACAGGCACCGCCTGTGGAGAACCCTGTTGAGGTACAAAAACGCCTTATGGCTGAGAAGATTGAGCGTGCTCGTCTTAAGAAGCAACAAGACCAAGAGGCAGAGAAGCGAGCTGAGGCAGAGAGGAAAGAGCGCATTGCGAAGAAGCTAGCTGCTATGGGACCGCCTGAATCCAAGCCCAAGCCCAAGGAGCAGTCTCCCTCTCGGCCTGAGAAGCCGCTGCAGAAGGAGAAAACGGCGGCAGCCTCTGTGCAGTCGCCGCCAAAGCCACCTATCCCGACTGCAGATGGCGAGGTTACTCAATATGGCATGATGAAGGTGCACCAGCCACACCCAGTCAAGAAGTCGCCCCAAGCAGAGCATGCCCGACCAAGCCAACAGGCGCCTTCTGCACCCGCGCCCTCATTGGAGCAGCAGCCTGCGCAGTCGTTTGACTCGCTTGCTCGTGATAGTGAAAAGTCCAGGTTGACTGTTCATGCTGATGCCGCTGCACACCAAACGGACGGGGCTGTTCCTTCTGGGCCTAGGCCTCAGGGTCCACCAGCTGCCTGGTCGCCTGCAACAGCACCTCAACCTCGACCTTGGACCTCGCAAGTCTGGGGACCGCCGCAAGCAAAAGACCGAGCTCTGGGCAACGGTACCTTCGACTCTGGTTATCGAGGCCAGTCTCGCCCTGGAGCCCAGCCGCCACTTCCTGTTCAAGCACCTGCAACAGCCCCGATTGGGACAGCTATCGCTCCTCAGAGTCTTACACCACAGTCAACTCGACAGATGCCTGCCTCACAACCAATGTTCCAGCAGCGAACTCCGCATGCACAGCCCCCTCCACCTTCAAGGTCGGGCAGGGTTGTCAAGCCCATCACTGGCGGCGGCTGGGATACTTTCGGCGAACTGATCCTCAAGGATGACCAGGAGGCTTTGGCGAGAAGCAGGCAGGAGCGAGACCGTCAGGGTGAGGGTTTCCGCCCCGAGCTGCGAGAGACCTACAAGGACCAGCGGGGCCAAGCACAGGTTACGCTACACGACAAAGTTGTTCCTGACATTGCTCTCGTCGAGGGCCTGAAGAAGGACGATGTTCCCAAACCTGTCAACGAAGGCCAATCGCCGCAACAAGTCCTTGGTCAAGGTACCCTCCAGCAAGCTACTGGCTCTCGTGCATCCCGATTCTTCCCTCGACCCACTGAGTCATCGCTGGACGCAATGTCATCTTCAGTCACTCATGCTTCAAACAAGGCCGACTCTCCTCCACCTCCACCGGAGACAGAAACCCACCCCGCCTTCAGTAGCGATGCGGGACATCCGCTGGTTAGATTGCCGAAGCCTTCTCCTGTTGTACGTCTACCTCCATTGGCGTCCGGCACTGGTCCATCCCCTACTGCCCAAGTAACCATGCCATCGCGTGGACAGGCTCTGGGTGCTCGGCCCCTCGCAATGAACCCAGAATGGCAGGCTAGGTTCAACAAGCTTCTCGACAAACCCGGGTCCACTCGTCCAGCATCTAACCCTGCTAATCCATCATTGTCTCCAGCCGTTCCGCAGCAAGGCGCTGTCGCTCCAGCTGCATTGTCAAAGGCTTCACTTGATGTTCGCGGGAGCACGGGGCCTGCCACCGTGTCTCTCCCTACTGCCCCACAGAGGAACCCTTTCTCAAACGATCGTGGTAGCGAGGTGATTACTCGCAAAGGCGCCGAGGCCCTCTTTGAAGATCGCGAGTTCGGCTCGTTACCCACGGTGAAACTGTCCAAGGTCTCTCATCTTGCGGCGGATCAGCCGCCAAAGGCTGCCCCTAAAGATGAACAGCATCCCAAGTTCAAGAAGTTCGAAAACCCGTTCACGATTCGCCGACTTGAAGCTTTTGACATTGAGAAGACTGCCCAATACAAGGGTAAGTTTGACGTAGTCATACGGATTGCCAATATGCGAGAGCCCGTGACAAAGTCTGTGCAGAGGAAGCACTACGGCCCCAAGCTTAACCGACAAACCAAGCCCAAGCCTGCCGGCAGCCCGAATGCAGCCTTTTCCAATGCGGCCAAGGATCGCCCGCGTAAACCGTCGCAACAAAGCCAGACTGATCGCTCATACACGAGCAACAGTACAACTCATCCGTCTGGGGCAAAATCGTGGTCTAGCAACAGCAACACCCGTACACCGTCAACTCATCAGCCCACGACATGGGCAAAACTTGCAGCGGCCTAAGAGTATTTTGTTCACTGTAGCACCGTTAGACTGTGTTGACACTCTCGCTTGATGGCATCAAAATTTGAGCCCGTCATACAGATACATGACTGTTGTGATACTCATCATAACAAAAACACCATCCACACCTCATTTTCTTCAAAAACAGTAAACCCTGCGGCATCTTGTACCACAACGTTTCGAGTGGAGCACAAGGTCGCTTTTTCGGGAGACAGTGTGTTCCCAATTTTCTTTTCTTCTTTTTTTCCAATTGCTAAGCATTCACTCGTGCTTTACATGCGATATTTCAGTTTCCAGGTCTGCATGAGGGGATTTTCCTTGGACTTTCGTTCATCTCCTCTTGCCATACCGGGCGTCTGGACGCGAGTATGGGTATTGAACGATACGAAGGGATGTGACCTCATTGATGCGGAAATGGGACGAAACTAGAGCATTCATGTACTGCTAATAATATTCTGGAAACTTTATGTACTGTCTCCGATACACGTTTGCTGACATGTGATGTTCTTGAGGATGTGGAGTGATAAGAATGTGGCAGTACCACTGTACTGATCTCTGCATATGGCATAATTCGTAAGCGTAGTACACTAATGTCAATGATATCTACTTGACATCCCGACAAGATCTCTTACATAAAACAACATACCAAGCATTTCATCTTAAAGGGAAACGTGTAAATCAATAGCCATCAACCCACTTGACCTCAACCATCCTAATCTTTAACCCAGCCACACTTTTACATCTCCAATGAATCTAGATCCCCAAAACACACCCTACATACCAATCCGAATTTAGGCTTTTTTTGTTTTAGCCATTGTCTCTACACATGTCCTTCATCTGCTAAAGAAAACATGTACGCAGACCACTCTGCAGTACCTCCTAGAGGGCTAAAACAAAGTGTCGTAATGCTCCACGCTTGGATTCTTGAGGTTGAAATTGTATGGTAGCGGAGTCGGCGATACTGGTAGAGGAATTGGGTTTTGGCTGGAAAGATTGGGGTTGGTTTTAGACGGTGCTGAAATTGGATCTTCCGGTAGATTCTAGTATCCAGTCGTTGTATACGGGTGGTGGGACTCCGGGGCCATGTGAGGCTTGGGTTGTGTTCCAGGGTAGCCATATGTTTTCTGTCGGGTGATAGCTTTGTGGTTTTTGGGCCCAGCATGCGCAGATGCTGTTGTTGCAATGGATCTGGACGGGTGAGGCTTCCTCGGAGAAGGAGACGTAGTGGGTTTCTTGTTCTTGGGAGGGTTGGAAGATATATAGCGTCTGAGGGTCGTACTGCATGTTCAGGACAGGGGCTTGGGTGTTGCTGGCTTCGTAGCCCGTAGTGCATGGTGCGTGGCTATTCAAGTGCTGGTAATATGCTTGTGGTATAATGGAGTTTGTGTCGTGAGAAGAGCCCTCTATTTGCTCTTTCTGTGCATATCTAGTGAGTGTCTGTGGCGGGTGGTCGTCATGCTCTATAGACGGTTGCGGTATGTCGTGATATTTAAAGTTGGTGACACTTGGGTCAGGCAAATGACTTGCTGATATCGAAAGCATGTGTTGTGCAGATAGCGAATTCGTGGGGAAATTACATGTAGCCTCTTGTTCTGATGCTTGCTGTGTGAGATGATACTGCTCAGAAGCTCTGAGATACGCTGAAGTCAGCATCCCTGCTTCTGTGTCGCCTATCGGATGCTCAGAAGCGTTGGTGTTTTGGTTATGCTGAGGAAGTAAATGTTCTGAGGTCCCTTCAAAGCGAACAAATTCCACTAGGAAGTCGAGGGCATTCATGTTGATGGAGCTAGTGAACTGAACTAGCAAATGAAGCGATGGGATCCATTATAAGTATAAATTAAAACAAGAGTAAAACTCTACCGTTCCATTCATACGGTCATTCACATAGGAGTGCTGGATGTCACGTGAGCGTTACTCGTACCAGACGGGTGTCACGTCTCATCAATGCGATGTGATGACCACATCGGTTTTAATACTCACGCAGGCCAGTTTCTCTGGTCGTCACGCCGTGCTTCCAGACCTTCCGTTGAATGTGCCCATTCTGTTTTCGGGCTTCTGAAAAACACCTCTATACCCGGTAGAAGGATTCCAGATGAAGAAAACGATGATGCCTGCTCAAAGTCTTTCAGGTATAGATAAGTATGCTAAGCGAACGGCCGCATTCAAGTTCAACACTTAAAGGTACTCTAAAGTCGGATTTTTTGTCGTGTTTTCAAGAGTGAAAGACTGCACAGGTTATAAAATGATGTGTACTAGAGTGTGTCCTTGTTGATTCGTTTGAGTAATACGGTTTATTCCACAGCAGGGTGACCGAGTTTAAGGTGTGACGAGGTGGGTTTGATCAGATGATGCTATATCGCGGATGTCGTGTACATATTCCAGAGGCATTTGCACGATGGCCGTTTCAGGTAAACCCATATTTGTCAAACTTTGTGAAGTGTCACTTGCGTTGTGGTTGTCAAGAGTTGCCCCATGCACAGTATCGTGAACTGCGGTGCCTGAGCGTCTGTCGCTAGCGCGGGGATTGTTGACCTCCATCCCACCATACCCAATCTATCCGTATCAAGACGTGCGCGCAGCGCGACGCGTTAAATGTGTCGGTTCGAGCTCTTGAGCTTGCTCATAGTCTTTTGTCAGCGTCTTGCGTCACCAAAGACGCGATCTCGCCCGAGAACAAGCGACTTGCCATTGCCGCGGCCATGCTACACGAACTCCTCCTCTCGCTCTCCGGACACCCATCCCCGCTCTTCGATGCCCCTGGCCACGTGACCTCGACTGCTGATCGTCTGCTCTCCCCATCGGAAAAAGAATTGTTGTCTTCAATCGGCCATCTTTCCAGGCTACACCGGAAACTGCGCGACCATGCTGCTTGGATTGCCGCTTCTCACCCTTCCATCATCTGCCGAGCAGTCGCCACTTCAATCACATCACACCACCTTGAACAGTTCCAGCAGAAGATACTGGATGTTGAGAGCCGCATTCTCAAACAAGATGCTTCGACTGTTGGTGCGTACAATATTGTGCCACTTGCCGGGGTCGTCGGCGAATTTTCGGAATGGGTCAGGATCATGGAGTGGCTCTGGGACATCACCAATTACATGATTCCTGCGGAAGCTTCTCACAAAATTGAAAAAATGCTTAGTCAATCCGCTTCAGGCGCTGGAATTATTGACAAGCTGCGGGCGGAGGCTCAGACTGGGTATCCCGATATCGAAGAGGCCGCGCATGGCCTAAGCAAGGTTGCGGAAACATCGTGGTTACGGCAACTGTCGACATGGTTGCTGTACGGCCGCCTGCCTTCGTGTCGTATTGATTTTTTCATTCAGCAAGATGACGAAGATGCCGAGGAGCAGATCTTCATCTTGCAGAGTAAGTTGCTGCCCAAATTTGTGACAAGGCAGACGGCTCTTTCGATCTTGTTCGTTGGAAAGTCACTCAACCAGATTCGTTCGCTGCCATCAGCAGCAAAGGCACTGGACGCCACCAATTCGCTTTCAGAGCTTGATCTGCTACCTAAGCACGTTCAGCAGCTCTCTGAAGTCACCGCGCCAATATCAGTAGCGAAGCTTTCTGAAGCTGTAGCGAATATTCGTTTGTCGCTGTCACGAAACCTTCTACAGCACTTGCTGCCACGCGAGAAGATTGTCGAGACCTTGACTGTTCTTCATCAGTTTTTTCTCATTGGCCGGGGTGAATTCGCCCTGACCCTGATTGCTGAGGCAGACGATAAGATGTCATCGCGACACCGCAATTCATTGTCAGGAAAGCCTAGCCAGTCAGTAAAGGGCGTATTGCTCAAAGAAGCGGAGATCAACCATATCCTTATGCGCTCCTTCTCCATTCTTTCGACACTCTCTAGCGAGGACGAACATACGGACGATATCCTGGATGTTGCAACACAGCTACTACACTTGAGTGTAAACGGTTCTTCCAGCCACCGCCCTGGAACACCGGGACGTGCTAAGGATGCAGACTCTACGCTTCCACAGCTCCCGAACCTATCCTTTGACGAGTTGCTGCTGTCTGTGCCGACATCCCTCACGATGGACATTCGATCACCCCTTGATCTATTCCTGACAAAGGCAGACCTTGATGTATACTCATCGATCAATTCTTGTCTACTTGCAGTCAGGCGGGCTCACCTACACTTGGCTGAACTATGGAGGCACAGTTCTATACGGAGGGATTATCCGTGTCCCCCCGGCTACCAGTACAGCAACTCTGCGCACGGAAGAGCGATACTCAAAAGACGCCGCCAACGGACTACAAAAAGGTCGCAAGACATGCGAAAAATTTGGGCCACGTGCGCCGCTGCCATCTTCTTCTTAGCAGAAAGCGAAGCCTACTTCCATGGGACTGTAGTCCAACAAACATTCCGCCACTTCATCACCTGGGTTGCCGGCCCACAAACCCCTTCAGACCCACCCACAGCACCACCAAGCCGCCCTTCCTCGTCGAGATTCCGTAGATCAACAATCGACGCCAACACCCAACAACAGCACGATCCCGAAGCGCTAGCCTCAGCCCACCGCCGCTTCCTCTCATCAGTCGCCTACTCCCTCCTCCTAACCGACCAATCCTTCACCAAAACACTGCGTACACTATGCACTCACGTCGACGAGCTGGTAGCATTTATCACACGCTTGACCAAGATTCAGCAGAATCTCGACCTCGAAGAAGACGAGGGCGTAGAAGACTATGCCCAGAACTACCAAAAAGAAGAAAAAGACGTGAGTATTGAAATGGATCGTGCGAGACGACGACTAGATAGTGATCTCAAGGCACTGGTGGACCGGTTGCGAGAAATAGATAGTGAGAGGATTGGGGCTTCAGCGCCTGGTACGGCGAGTTCAGTCACGTTGAGCGAAGGGGCGTATGAGCCGTTGAGGGTAGGCGGGATCGATCGGTTGTTGATGAAACTTGATTGGGGTGGTGAAGATGGCGAGGGAGAGCCTGTGGTTGAGGATTTGCTGTAGTTGTAAGGTGAGAGTTGCTTTGAGGGCAAGAAAGGCATGCAGTAGTTTGGGCTTGACGGTTGAAAATGCTACCCTATGCGACCACCTATCTTTTTCTTTCATGAACGACGATAGCAAACTACGACAGTAAGTCATTTCTTGGTTAGCCAACACATATGATCAATGCAACATAAGCTCTCAGACTGTCCAGAGATCTCTCGTTAACTGCCCTAGCACATCGCTCGTGATTAATGACTTGCCACATCTAAACATCATCTAAACCAAAACGCAAAATGCCCCCAAAAATCACAAACCTCGCCCCCTTTGGACCAAAGTCTACGAACGAGAAAGCAAAAAGAATAGAGCGTTGATGAGGTCGTACAAAGTGAGTGCGGAGCTGAAGAGAGATGAGATGAAGGAAAATCAGATTTGATTATGATGAGGTTGCTTACGACCAAGCACTACCTAAAAGCTGCTTACCTATAGACTAACATCATGGCTCAGCGCTTGAATGTAGCTCCACGCGACGGAGATCCAGCACAGCAAGGACACCATAACTAACGCGCTGCATAAACTTTATATAGTTGTCGAAGGCGCTGGCGATGATAAACTCGGAGATTGATTACAATAAGAGAAGTTAACGAGGGTCAGAGATAAATCGCTCTGTGGGCATGGCCGTTTATTGCTATCAAACGTGTGCATCGATCAAACCCTTCACTAAGTATTTTCATGATTTTGATATCTTACACAGTAGAGGCCTGCAGATTGCCCACATATTTAACATGGTGATATAGTCAATCATTGGGAAAGAGCCGGTTAAGTTGAGTGAAGTGGCTGAGTCAATAATATGTCAATAGGCAGAGAGTTCCAAATCCTCTGTATCCAATGGTACCTCACGTTAGTAGATTCTAGAGCCGTGCCTTTTGCATTCACTATTCTGGATGCTTGTAGAGCTTTTCCGGTTTTCACCTGCCATAGCTGTGCTTGCAATATAAATAGCCCCGTATATTTCCCGAATAGACTCTTATTCAAGCTCTTTTCCATTAGCACCGAATCATCAAAAAGACAGTTCTATGGATATAAAAATTATTCCAAATGGCTTCACGGCGGAAGCGCCAGTATTAAACGTGTCAAGCCTCGTCAACTGCTCGAAATGCGGGAAGCGCTATGTAGAGGCTAAAGATGTTTATCTGAGAACGACTAAGGAGGGACAAAGACATTCAGACTGCAAAGTGTGCAGGGGAATTACCTCGAGTTACAACTTCTCCGTTCATCTCATCGTTCCGGAATATCTCCAGTCTATAGCCAGGGCTCAGAGTAATGGTTTCCGAAACCAATTTGGTGATGATAGCGATGGCCTGCTGGAATTTCTGGTGGATCACTTCTATCATGACATGTCAAAAAAAAACCCTTAGGGGGAGTTGAACAGCGCCGCCTTGGAAGTGCTTCACAAGCTTCGAGCTCTGAATGAGAAGGCGCTAAATTCATGTACTCAGAAGATCAGGGGTAAGCAGTGTGCAGGAATGGTGCCCTTGGCAGAAGCATCTTGTGCGTACTGACCCAGCATGGCAGCTGATAGCTCAGGCTACATATAGCGAATTGGTAACGGGGATCGCGAAATAAGAAAAGAATTGGAAGTTGACTTCACAGTGAAGCCAGGAAAGTGGTGTCAAGAAGGATAGCAGCTCGTGACTCTTAGGAGTTAAGTTTTAGTCAACTGCGCCAGGAATCGTTCTTATTTTAGGCCTAAATTTTATCATCGTGTATGCTATATAGAAGTACCAAGATAGTGTGAAACATCCTTCAGGAACTAAACAACTACCAACAAACTTTGAGATACAAACGACGATACAGTGTGAGTTATCCTACCAAATAGCGACAAGTTTTCGAGAGAGTCAAACAACTACTAACAAACGGCTAAACAGTTTGAGATATCTTACTAAGTAGACAAATGTCTTTGAAGGAGTTTAACAATTAAAAACACACTTTGAGACACGAACGACTATATATTGAGAGACAACTCAGTTGATGAACATGCATTTCTAGATATTTAAATACTACTAGTGTAGTTTGTTCTTCTCCGCAAAATCTTTCCAAATTTGCACGGATGATATGGCTTCTAGTAGCCAACAGCAACAACGTCTTTTCGAAATCATTGAAAATTCGCCAGATATCAACGCAACACTCGCTACAATAACTTGTTTTTTTCAATCAAGGAAACAGTCTATCTTGGGTAATTATCTCGTTCTTCACTCTACTCCATGATGTTACCTGGCTTTTATAGAGCTACATAGCATGGTAACAACTTAGAAAGCTTTCTACTACCTATATCATATATGTATAGAGCAAACGATTATACACGTAACTTACTTCATCTAGTTACATGCAGTTATCCCAGGGTTAGTCCCAGGGAACGATGAGAACCAAATCTGGTTGGGCAAAGTCAGATCACTTTTATGGAATGAGGAGGATTATCGACAGCACGAAGAGATATGCTCTCGGAAACGAAAGCCCCAAAGCCTAACAATTGAAAGACAAAGCCAAACTCTCGTTCCAATTTCAACGAATACGTTTGGTCTAAGATGATACTGGCCAGTCTGCATTTAAGTTCTTCGACCGATGAGCTTAGAACTGATAGAGAAAGATAATGCTGTTTCACGTAGTCTGGGGTTTAGCAGAGCTCGACGCACAAGACGAGGATGATAGTTTCGACCGTATCGACAACCTTTTTGTCATATCTCGACAAGCTGTACAAGATAAAGTTCTCAGCCCAATAATCGAAGAGCTTGACGTTCTCATAAAATCAGGAAACAAGGAGAGTACAGATCACTGCTTTGACACACGTTCAAGAGTTCCAGCAAAAAAACAGCATTATTTAGTCTTCGTGCACTCGTTGTAGAAGAAAAGGATGCTGTCTATAGGCTCAAAGAGTAGACTAAGAGGCGAAGAGATGTAGTGTAGGAATATTTCACATATAATCAACGTGAAAGCTGGCTAGAGATAGCAGGGTTAAAAAAATATGAACATTCTATAATAGAGATAGGGTTGTATTGAAATGTCAAAAAGCAAAAAGGATTTGAAAAAAAAAGAATTCCTTGGGAATCGAACGATGGAAGGTCGCACCCGGGTTCTGCGGCCATTAGTTAGTTGCATTATTCCTAGATAAAGCTCGAGGCTCAACATACCGAACCGGGGTTACCAGAAAATTTGATATTATCAAAATCTGGAGTGATAACCACTACACTATGCAACCAATGTTGTTTTGATGGTGGGGAATGAATTTAGTCAATATATTTCAAAATGAAAATTGAGGGCGAATAAGAAGCAGACTAATTACAACTTAACATCGCGGATGTGGGGCTAGTGGGGAACGGTTACGCTAGTTAGTGCGGGACACTGGCGCAATGGCACCGCTGTTGCATCGGTACCTGGCTACTGACGTGCATGTTTTACTGGGGGCAACCTTACACCAGATAAAAATTCACCATTTGCAAGGGGGCCGACTTATAGTAATATCCATTTAGTAAGTATAACAAGAGGCATGCGCCAAAAAAAGGGCAGGCGATTTTGTTTCAGGAGTTCGCAAAAGACGTTCAAAAAGAAATGTATTCGCAAGGGACATTAATATTACTTTTTTCATATTTCATTAACATGTAAAATATTGCACATACAACATTACTAAACACTTTGGTTTTTTTTTTCGCAAAATCAGGGTAGGGGACTTAGATTTCATGGCCGCAGGTGGGGAGGTGCTGTTCGCCTTCTTCGGGGACGGTCCACTTGGGCTCGACGCCGATAATGCCGCGGGCGGTGATCATGGTGGTGTTGATAGGGCTCTTGGGGATGATTGTTTCGCCGCGGGTGGCGAGGATGGAGAGGACGTGTGCGGCGGCCTATGATTCTCGTTAGCAAACCTAGCCCCTTTGAACAAAAAGAAAAATCAGGTTAGAAGAGGGGAAATACAAACGTACCTTTGCGTTGATGGTCAGAGTCTCAGGGTTGGGGTTGTCGATTGTGTCGCAGGCTTGGTGGTAGCAAGGGTCCTGCTCGACGCCTGTGCCGGTGTGCAGACCGCCGACGGGCTTGCCAATGTTCATGAAGGATTGGTAGTCGCTGCCGCCGGTGAAGCGGGCGGCGGTTACGTTGACGCCTTTGCTGGTCAAGTGCTCGACAAAGAGCTTTTCGATGGCGTCGGAGCCGGGGGCACCAGCGAGGTTGTAGGTGCTGCCGTCACCGTCGAAGACGCCAAAGTAGCCGCGGGAAACCATGTCGAAGTTGAGGTATGTGAGGATGTTGTTGGCCTCAGTGGCATTAAGGTTCTGCGTGTAGTATTTAGAGCCTAGAAGACCGTTCTCTTCGGCGCCCCACCAGGCAAAGCGGACTTTGTTCTTGACGTTGAATCCACGGAGGGCGCGGGCAATCTCGAGAATCAGGGTGCTGCCGGAGCCGTCGTCGTTGATACCTGCGCCGGCTTGGACGCTGTCGAGATGCGCACCGAGCATGATGACATTCTCTGGATCACCGTCCATGGTCTCGGTGAAGACATTTTGTGTGATGCGTTCTTCAATAGACTGAGTTTGCTGAAAGTAGGCCTCGACAGCCTCGCCAGCAGTAAGACGGGCAACAAGGGGCTCAGCGTCAGCGAGGCTGATGTACCCAGTCGAGACGTACTCGAGTGGGTTGGGGTTGGAGAGGGTTCCGGTAGTGATGTTGGACCGATCGCTGGCGTAGATGATGACGGCTGATGCACCTGCGGCAGCAGCCGCCTTCATGCGTCCGGCAAACGTGGTGCCGTCTGGGCATGAGCCACGCTGCACGAGAGCAATCTTTCCTTTTACATCCAGATTGCTATATCCCTCTTTTGTGCAGCCCGCAGCTCCAGTGGCACCCAACGCGAGCGGAAGCGTTAGACCCTCGGGTGGGGTAGAGGGGGAGTACGTCAATCCAATAACACGGTACGAGGTATTGCTGACGGTGAACTCGATGGAATCGACTCCGTTGAACAGAGCGGGAAAATCCTGGGTCCAAGTCTTGAAATGGGTGTCTTGCGTCTTTTGAAGGATGTAGTCGACCGAGGCTGCGTAGCCAGGAAGACCAAATGCACGGTTTCCACCGTTCGCCTTTGCAATTGTGTCGAATGCTTTGAGATTACCCATCAATCTGTCTTCTTGTTAATCCCTTTTTCTTTTAACGCCGAAATCAGACGTACTTTTCACTCGTGATCTGGTCCTGAATAGCTCCAGACGAGACTATAGAGCGAGGCCTGACTGCGGCCAACGTTTGCGCCGCGCCCGCAAGGGCAATTGCACTTGAAAACTTCATTTCGGCGATTCAATAAATCAAGTCTTGAATTGGTGCGCAGGGCATTTCGTTTTCCCAGGCAGCGAGGCATCTTCATATAATACGTGATTTCCACCAAATCTTGGTAAACACCGGATCCATGGATAAATGCACGCACAGCATCGTCGCCGGTCCACTCTTATCACGAGCTCGGCCTGTACTGCGTCGGGAAGAGAAGGTCATAAGAGTGTTAATCCTTTTTTGCCAAGAGGCCAAGGCTGGCTTTGAGATACCTGCCAAAAAAGGACGCTAGGCCAGCTTGGCATAGAGGCGGACGTTGCCACAACGTTGGCTTGTCTCTGCCAGAAATTAATGGTTGCGGGCGGACCGGGACCGATGAAGTAGCCCAAGAGCGATAGCAGCCGTGGATCCAAACAACCTCAGCTCGGCTGAGCGTTCGTCATCGTCGCCACTCTGATCGGGTACGACGGCTGTGTGCCGTCGGTCCGTTTACCATGGTATCAACAACATGCAGGGAACATTGGAGATGGCTTTTCACAAAGGATCCCAGAAAAAAAACAAGGCAAGGGGTGCAGAGGATGTGGGCTGGAATCTAGCGGGACCCGTCTTTAATAGTACTTTGAGCAACGAGTACCCGAATGTCAAAAGCCGATCTTGGGACGACGCCGCTTCGGCAAGTGCTGCATGATCGGAAAGGTCACATGGGAAGGACGAAAAGTCAAAGAACAAAGACATGGTGATTATTGACAATCTCACCCCTCACTATTTAGCAGGGGAGTGCGCTCACTACCTTCCGAAACCCCGTTTCCGTTAGCATGACCTACCATCTGGGCTTGCTGGGCCTTGCGATCCCTCAGGACGAAAGAAATACCCATGGCTAGCAGGAAGCCTTGCAGAATGCCGGTAAAGATGAACAAACCCCATGCACTCCAGCCTGCTGGCCCTAAGCGCGCATAAAGACTGGCAGCGAAGACAAAGCTGCCAGGCGTCTGAATGCACATCATGGGGATAGAGAGGCTACCTGTCTCTTGTAGTTTCCAAGTCATGAGGATCTGAGGTATGTATTGTATCGCTGCAAGCACAGTAGCGAGGAGGCCGAGAAAGTTTGCCCAGCCGCGGACATGGGACGGGAGGGCGTATACGAAGACTACGGAGCCGAACAAAGCAACGACGAAGAAGGCAACAGACACGGCCAGGACCAAGACGGCTTCTTTCCATGTCGGTATTTGGGATTCTTGCTCTTCCTCTGCGATGGATGAGGCGTCCCGAGGAAAGAAGATGAGGAATAGTAACATGCTAGAGGTAGCTGTCAGCATTGCTATTGATGCTGCCATTGGTGATGGCGTCCTACATGAAGAAGAAGCAACTCCACTGCACGCCTATCTGGACTATTCCTAGCATGGCTGCTGCACAGGGGAAGGTCCCAATTTCTTTGCAGCAGGCCATGTCTCTTGTACTCTCAGGCAGGGTCAGGATGTTGGCGATGCTGGCCGTGCCAGACACGGTGCCGAGCAGGACGAACATGGGACTGAGCCCGCGGGAAGAGCGGCGGGATATGATCTTGTAGTGCTGGGGTAGGTATGAAACGAGGATACCGAAGACAATGAAGCTGTGAGGCGTGGAGGTCAGTCAAGTGCATTTTGCTACGGAATAAATATATCGGACGTACACGGAGACGGAGAAGTTGACCAGGTCGGGGTACTGCAGCTCGGTGCATCGCTCGTTGTGGGGATCCATGGCTACAGTGTATTATGTGTATTAGTCAAAATGAGGGTATCTTGTTGTCGCTATGGCAAGTCAACTGCTGGGCTCATCTGGAGCCGTGGCAGTCGGTGAATGGGGGCGCGTACGAGTGTGACGTATAGGCTGTCCACACGCGTCGGGCGGACAGGCGAGGTACGTAGTAGTCAGCTCCGAGCATGCCTCGGCTGCAGCGCGCGTGCCTCCGTGCCTGTCAACAAGCCATGGCATATCCTCAACCTCATCTCAGGGCATCAATGAAGACGCAACCAGCCCGTCTGCCCATCTCTGACTGGGCGCCATGGAGTTCCTGCCCGCCCTCCAGCATGGCATAGACGACCTCAAGCCCTCGCTGTTTGAACTGCTATCGGAACAACAACTCTCATCGCTGCTCCCCCCGTCGCTGCGCTACTTGCTCGCCGTCGCAACGCCCCGATACCCACGATATCTGCTGCCCGTCCTCAATTCCTTCGATGAGGTCTACGCGCTGTTGATGCTCCTTGTCGAGCGCCACTTTCTACGCACCTATGGCGGCTCCTTTACCGAGAACTTCTACGGCCTCAAGCGCGCCCGTGTGCTAAGGGTGCGAGGCGGCGAGATCCCCCGCGCCCAGCTCGGCGCATCCGACAGCGTCAGAGAGGCCGTCAAGCTGGGTCGCGACGATGTGTGGAAGAACCTCGCCGTGCTCGTCGGCCTACCCTGGCTCAAGAGAAAGCTGGACGAGGGTTACGATGTCCACGCCGCCCACGCCAACCTGCTCGGTCCCGGCTACAACCGCGAGAGAGAAGGACTCAGAGCCGGTGCGACCATCAAAGAACGTCTGATGCACTACTACAAGTGGTTTCTGCGCAACATATACCCCAGTGTCAACGCCGCCTACTACTTCTCCCTGCTCGTCTTCAACATGGCATACCTGTTTGACGGCACAAAGTACCACTCACCCTTCATGTGGCTCATTGGCTCGAGGATACGTAGACTGGGCGAAGCCGACCACAAGGCAATTGAGCTGGCCACGGCCCCAAGAAACGTTGGCCCTGCACGGCCTGGCGAAGGCGGATCCATCTTCTCGCCGCGGAATCTGGCCAGGAGCGTGCAGCCACGGTTGTTGAGTTCGCTCAAGATCCTGCTCCCTACAAGCATCTTTGCCCTCAAGTTTCTCGAGTGGTGGCATGCCTCGGACTTTGCCCGGCAATTGTCACGGAAGGCAGCGGAGAACATTGAACTACCACCGCCAATACTACCTTCGCTACCACCCTCGGCCAAACAACAGGGATCCAAACAGGCGGACGGTTCCGAGAAACCACGACCAACATCATCATTGTCCGACAAAACCCAGCGCATCGATCCCCCAATATCCTCAACCACCCTCCTCCCCATATTGACAGTAGCCTCACCGCCCTCGTCAGCGCTTTGTCCCATTTGTGTGACGCCCATTGTCAACCCAACAGCATCGCCCACAGGTTTCGTGTACTGTTATACGTGCATACATCGGTGGGTGGATGGAGAGCATGATCGGCAGATTGCGTTTATGGAGGGCGGCGCTGGATTCCGAGCCGGGGACGACGAAGAGGGAGGCGATGAGGGCTGGGGAAAAGAAGAGGGCAGCCGAGAAGGTAGATGGGAGAGTGGGAAGGGGCGCGACGCGGTGACGGGGAGACGAGTGCTCGGAGGAACCGAGGCACTCAGAAGAGTAGTCGTCTGAGGCTGCAGTTGCAGCGGGATTCTAGATTTGAGCAAGCAGATAATGATACCACCAGCGTTACATGTATTTTTTGGCAACGTTCGCCCGTCCTTTGTTGCGGTTGTCACGTGAGTGTAGATGCTAAGTATGTCGAGTAAGCTGCAAGTGTCTGCTGGATCCACACACACACATGTCTGGCTGCATCTCAGCGCCCTTTGCAAATCTTGGCACCAGTCTGGCTGCACCGGCACGAGTGGACTGAGCTACATGCATATTCCTCAAGTGACTCATTTCCCACGATGCATTCCTCTCGATACGTGTCATGTGACTGTGCTGCGCCGCCGGGCAATCTCTGGACTCATGGCCACGGCCCACCGTTGGTGCTAGTGTGGCGAAGATGGATCCGAGACGCTATGGAACGGCAAACTCAGGCAGTTCGGAGTCACAAGGCGCATGCAGTGCCGGGCTTGTCATCTGTCAACTCAAACGACGAAGGGCGGAAGCTAGCGCTGCTATCACCACCAACTTCGCATAGAGCTTCCGCATCGGGCTGCAGCACTTCCGCAGCCAATGCCAACTGCCATCCTCTCCCTCACACCCCACTCTCAATCCTTTGCTTCTTAAACCTCCCTTCTGCCCCAGAATCCCCACAACTCAATCAAACTCGATTGTAGAGAAAAATCTTCATAAAATTTGGGGGCTTTCCAACCATGTCCCAGCCCATACCGACAGGTCACCCTGTTACCAATTTTGCAGCCGATGTCACATCGCAAGTAGAGGGCCTTGTTCAAGCCCATGACATTGCAGAAGAGGCAATTGCCAGAGACCTCGAGCAAGACAATGCATCGTCTTCGGATGATGACTCGTCGTCAGGCTCCGACACGGCCACACAGTTTTCCATGATCAACTCTTATCGCCGGCCTTCCTGGGTAAATCCCGGCTCGCGATCAACGGCAATCATCTCCTCGAGCGTACCCGAACGCAGCCACATGTCAGCGTCGTGGAAAAAGCATAGCCATCTGTCCAAGAAAGAGAGAGAGCTTGTGCGAAGTGAGGAAAAGAGTTTACTTCGCGACAATGACTTGCTACCGCCCAAACATCCGAGATCTGAGAGTAATGGTCCTTTTGATCGCTTGAGGTCCGACATGCCCATCCTTGGCCTGCGCAGGGTTAAAAGCACCCCGGATGAAGAGAGCGCCGTCGAATCCCTGTCCGAGCGAACTGCCCTACTAGGCGCTGCTGCTGGTAACCCAAGCCAGCCATATGGCGGCTTGGATACACCAAAGATTGTCAACAAGAAATGGGACGAGGCGGTTGCAGCCGGAAAAATCAACACCACCTGGCAGCGCGAAACAAAAGTCTTGACCAAAACATCGGCACCGCTCATCCTGACTTCCTTACTGCAGTACAGTCTGCCAGTAGCCAGTATCTTTACCGTTGGGCACATTGGCAAGACTGAACTCGGAGCTGTGAGTCTGGCTAGTATGACTGCCTCCATCACCGGATATGCAGTATATCAAGGTCTGGCGACTTCACTCGATACCCTTTGCGCACAAGCCTATGGCTCTGGACGTAAACATCTCGTTGGTCTACAGCTGCAGCGCATGCTGTGCTTTTTACTGTTAATCATGATTCCAGTCTCGATAATATGGGCATTCGGTACCCAGATCCTGTCCCTGATTGTTCCTGAACAAGAGACGGCACGCCTCGCTGGATTGTACTTGAGAGTTCTCATCGCTGGAGGACCTGGCTACGTCGCCTTCGAGAGTGGAAAACGTTACGTTCAAGCACAAGGCATTTTCAACGCTAACATGTATATCCTCCTCATCTGCGCACCCCTAAACGCCTTCTTGAACTGGTTCATGGTATGGCATCTCGGCTGGGGGTTCATCGGCGCACCGATTGCAGTCGTCATTACCGAGAGCATGCTACCTCTTTTGCTACTTCTCTACGTCCGCTTCATCGACGGTTACCAATGCTGGGGCGGGTTCGACCGTCGAGCCTTCAACAACTGGATGCCCATGATTAAGCTCGCGCTTCCGGGCTTGATCATGGTACTTGCCGAGTTCCTCGCCTTTGAGATTCTTACCCTGAGTTCAAGTTGGCTGGGTCCTACTGCGCTTGCCGCCCAATCTGTCCTTGGAACGATTACCGGCATCACGTTCCAGATCCCGTTCCCTATGAGTGTTGCTGCCTCGACACGCATTGCCAACTTGATCGGTGCAACGCTTGCCGTACCTGCAAAAACAGCTGCAAAGGTAGCTGTTTTTGCGTCTGTTTTGGTAGGCACATTCAACCTGATGTTCCTTTCTCTACTTCGAGAAGCGATTCCGCGTTTGTTTACTCCAGATGAGGAGGTCATTGCCATGGTAGCCAATCTTCTCCCTCTTTGCGCTACTTTCCAAGTCGTCGATGCCCTTGCCACCAACTGCAATGGTATACTACGTGGACTGGGCCGTCAAGAAATTGGTGGTTATGTCGGCTTGTTCGCATACTATGTTGTCGGCATTCCAATCAGCTTTAGTACTGGATTCGGACCGCTACATTGGGGACTATACGGTCTTTGGAGTGTAAGTCACACCAAGTTTGAGCAGATTGAAAAAAATAACTAATGAAATATAGGGTCCTGCCGTTGCACTTGCCATTGTTTCAGCAATTGAAGGCTGGTTTATCTGGCAGACGAGCTGGGAAAGCGCCGTTGAAGACGCAAAGGCACGCAATTCTGCCAACTAATTCTACTACAAGAGTGTTTTTTTCCTCGTATTTAGCGGAAATCACGTCATGTTCAGAGCATTCAGAGACGACTTGATGTAAGATCAAAAGTTAGCCCTAGGGTTGTAATGTGTGTGTGTACGGTACAAGTCGTACCGATATTTACTTTTTTTATTCTTCAACTTTGTTTTCCCAGTTAAAATATGTCTATGTTGATTAGCACGTCTCTTCAGTTACGAGATAAGCTATTAGCATCATTCCTTCCCTGAAAAATTCTGATCTATTTTCTGCTCCTAGGCATGACATCCAGCATTGAGGTACACGGCTATTGCATTGACTCTGCACTAGCTCGAACTTAGCGGATTAACAATCTTGAATAAAGAAAGGAAACTGAAATATCTGCTTCAAAACTCCTTTTGGCTCATGTTGCAAAGTCAAATCACCTGACATCACACATTCCTATAGCATACCTCAAGGGGTCGTTGGCCTGAATTTCGTGGGGACCTAGCGTCGATTTTGCAAACCAGTAGAGTTCTCTGTTAAATGCTTGTTGTCTTTATTCCGTTCCCTAACGGCTCTAATTCCGCTCAAGAGATCCTGTCTGATTGGCGTTTTACAATATCCAAACCCTACGTTGTGACTATGCTTGGTTCTTACTAATAATAATTTCCTATTAAGGCTGAGCATGAAAAGGCAACGGCCCTATTGGCCGATTACCCGGCCGTGTGGGACTTGCACACGGGCAAGGATTATGCTTCTAGAGCTCCTGGAAGTTGTTTGCTTAGGTTCCTTCCTGCGGGTCAGTATGTACCTGCATATCATCTCCACGAACTCATCCTGAGTATACTACACCCCTTTTTCGTACATATCTGTGCCCCATACCAAGGCTCAAGTGCACACATATCCTTTTTTTTAAACCTCAACCCATAGATATCAAAGCGAACTAGTGATCTCGATCATCCTCAACATGCCGTGCTTCGCATTCGAAGAGCCGACCATCTTTCTTGGATCGGCATCTACTAGTAACGGCATACTCCGCACTTCACACGGGCGGTTGCGCCCTCAGCCCTTAGCCCTTTTTACATCCCCACTGGAGTACTTGAAGCCTTGCCGAGCCGGGCCAATGCAAACATCGGCGGATTTATTCCTGTCGTAAATCAAGCGTTTCAGGTATCGCCACCAAGTGATGAGACCCTGTTTGAGGATCTGCGGCGGTGCACTAGCAGCAACGGTGGCGTGAGGGCGCGCCTCGCCAGCATTTCCAGCAACTCTAGCCTTCATGGACTGTTGTCGATCAGCTTCTACTGGAAAGATGCCAGCGGTTCGTGCGACGACGTCCAGACTGTCATTGACCGTGTTCCGCGACATTTCAAAACGCTTGGCCATCCCGATTCGGCACCACCATGACAGCATGCAGAATGCCAATGTCACGAAGGAGCATAGTACTACCTTCATCTCGCATCATAACGTTTCGCCTATCTGAGGGAAGAGGCGCATCCCGCATGGCAGCTTGTACACGGGGTATCCCGTGCAGCGCGCCAAAGTAGTTGTGCGTAAGTACCAAGTTGCGCTGCGTGTGAAAGTAAGTATGGGAAGCGCTGCAATACAGTAGTAGTATGAAGGCACCACTTACGTACAAAAGCCAACCCCCATAGATCTGTAGCAGGCCTCATACATACGCTTCTCCACGTTTTGCAAGACTACTGCAACGTGTCGCAAAAACATGAACCACCGAGCAATGCTAATCCCAGTCTGTCAGACGCGTAACCTGCTTGGTAATGGAACCCTTGTGGCCAAGAAGTATACACTCTTTCTGTATCTCTTTTTAATCCATATCAATCCGTGCTTGAACAGCTTCGTCCACTCTCCAGACCGGATCTCATTTCCCTTTTTGTCTTTTTCTTCTTACTGTCTCTCGGGATAGTTTTTTTTGCTTCGTTTCTCTATGCCAACTGGTTTGGCAACACTGCTGGACGGTTTCTTATCTGCTGCTATTTACTGAATTTTTCCCAATCACCAACAATCGCTGTACACTGGAGTCATATCTGAAAAAGAGGAGGCTCTGGCAGTTCTTCGCATAAAAAAATCATAAAAACGATAAACCGAACTCGGCAAACATGGGTTGGGGCATACTCGAAAGTTCGCGCGCAGCTTTCCCTCGCGGCACATCACTCGTAGGAGTGGTTGACAAGAAGGTTGTCTCTGATACCGACTCTGTCAATCAAGCGGAGGTTGTAGCGCGCTCTCCTGAGCCTAGCGACGACCCAAATGACCCCCTCAACTGGTAAACAACTTGCTCAACAGCGCCGTCTGAAACCACCCGCTGACTTTTGCAGGACCCTCACATGGAAGTGTGTGCACCTTTTCGTCCTGTCCTTCGGCTCTGCAGTCACCAATGCGTAGGTGTCCCATGTTGATACTTGTGTGCGAACATACGCTGATACCTCACAGAACAACCACTATGCTCACACCCGGCCTCGAGCCTCTAACTGAGAAGCTACAAAGCTCCGGGAGCGATGTTTCAACATGGATCATTACTGCACCTACCTTTTGGACATCAGCTGCAGCTTTTATCGCTGTCGCCGGAACAGATATCTGGGGAAGACGACCCTTCTACGTTTGGAGTGCTTTCTTCCTTGCTCTGGCAAACTTTGCTGGCTTCTTCTCGACCGACTTCCGCATGCTGGTAATTGCACGAACGGCAGGAGGTCTCTTTTCTGCCCCTCTCTTCACGCTCCTTACTGCTAGTATTAGCGATATCTTCTTTGTCAACCAGCGTGGCCGATCCATTGCTGTATGGAACCTTATGCTGAACTCTGGAGCACAACTCGGGTTAGTTATTCTACCCTGATCTCAACTCAAGAACCTCACTAACACACAAGCCTCACAGTCAAATCATCGCCGGTGTCGTCACAGACAGATTCGGCGTGTCCTCCAACTTCCTCATCACAGGTTTCATGTACACTGGCTTGGTCCCCCTCTTCTACTTTACCGTCTTCGAGTCCGCCTACTTCAAGCGCAAGAACGAGCCCGTCACTACCATCGTTGTGCAGCCCGACAAGCTGAGTAGCGAGTGGGACGAGGAAGATCTCAAGGGCTCAAGCGTACCCCCAAAGAAGTCGTACGCCCAGCTACTCGCGCTCTCCAACGGCCGCCTCTCCAACAAGTCCTTCTTCAAGGGCATCATCAAGCCCTTCGGTCTCATCACCTCCCCCATTGTCATCTACAGCTGCTTCCTCAACGCCGCCATCTTCTTCTTCCTCGTCGGCATGTCCACCTTCATGTCCATCCTCCTCTCCGCACCCCCGTACGACCTCGGCCCTAGCGAAATCGGCATGACCAACATCCCCCTCTTCGTCGTCGGCCTCCTTGCCGGCCCCCTCTTCGGCTGGCTATCCGACACCTCCGTCGACCTCATGGCGCGCTACAACGGCACTAAGAAAGGCATGGTCGAACCCGAATTCCGTCTCGTCCTCCTTCTCGTCGCTACCCCCATCACAATGGCCGGCCTCATCGGCCTCGGCGGCTCGTTCCAGAACGAACTCCCCATCGCTTGGATCCTCGTCTGGATGACCGTCACAAACGTCGGCAGCATCTCTGCCATCCAAATCGCCGTCTCGTACGTTATCGACTGCCACCCGGAGCACTCTGCCCAAGCCTTCGCGTCCGTCAACCTCATCAGTGCTGCCGTTGTCACCGTCGGTCTGGGCTCCATGATTGAGTGGCTCATGTCTGCCGGTCCCGTCGTCGTTTTCGGCGCTATGGCTGGTTGCGCCGCCGGCGTCACCGTCTTGGCCCTTCCCATGTACGTCTTTGGCAAGAAGATCCGTGCCTGGTATGAGAATGCCTCTTGGGCTCAGCGTCTCCTCGATTAAGCCGTTGCAAAAAAAATTACAGGGCCTGTTTGTGTGTTGCGTGCGGAATTGGTTGGGATGTGCGCGCGCCCCTTTTACTACTTACTAACGAAAGAAACGCGGATGGTATTCGCAACGACACGAACGAATTGTTTGTCATAAACACGCACACACACTACTACTAAATTTCTTGGATACTGCACATGAGGCACATGAGGCACATGGGCGATTGTAGGACTTTTTTCTCATTTACATAGTCTACATAGGTCGTATGTAGAACGCACTTTCTTTATTTTTTTCTTCTTTTTACTCTATCTCTCCCTCAGATATTAGTACTTCTAGGTTTCTACAACTGATTTTTCTTCTTCTTCTTCTTCTTCTTTTGTCTATAAACCCCCCCAGTCATTACCTCGAGAGAAGCACAACACCAACACCCTTCCACCCCCCTCCTTCCCTTTCCCCAACAGTTTACCTAGTCAATCCTTAACTATCAAAATCTTGCTTCCCCAAAATTCTTGTTCATCTCTCCTTTCCTGCTCTGAAAAGAAAAAAAATCGTTTGTTTGACGTTGATTGTTTTGACCATCTTCACACACAGACACCATACGTGCAACAATCCTTGCCTTTTTTCCCCCCGATGCCATCCCAACTCCACCACCAACCTTCCCCAAAAGGAAACTATAGAATCCTTTACATATTAAAAAAGGATTATACGCGCTTAATCCTCAGGGATCTTCCCAGCCCTATGTAAGGAAGAGGGGGAAGGTTGAGGGGTGTTGCTTGCAATCGCAACTCCCCTGCGCGCGACACGATAAGTTTCGTATCGCTATACGCGCAGAAGGCTAGCGTTTTGTTGGTGTAATTGTGGGGACTACACTGCGGAATTTAGAGGGTGGGTTGGCGGGAGGGAAGGGGGGGTAAGGAGCGGAACGGTGCCGGTGGACAGGGATGGTAGGGCCGGGTCACGGAAGGGGGGAAGGGAGGGAAAGAAAGGCCAAGGGACAGGGGTTTGTTGTTGGTGTTTCATGGTTCGAAGGAAACGATGAGAGTGCGATTATTGCGTGCTACTACTGGTAGGGAAAATTTTAGAGGTGAGGAGGGGTTTTTAATGCGAGAGGTTCAAGTGAGTAGTATGCTGGACTTTTTTTTTTGCAAGTCAGAATCAACACAATGAGAAGTAAAAAACAAAGAAAAAGATCAAGTTCACAAACAAGTCAATAGAAAAAAAATACTAGTAGTTTTGAATAATTCTAAACTTTTATTTGAAAAATTGACAATCATCTAGGTATCTAACAGCTCCGACTTTTGTCCTCATATACATTATATACAAACATGATATTTTTTACGCCAAACTCTGCGTTTCACACATCTTTTTGTACAACGTCCCGCTTCCCGTCAGCAACTCCGCATGCGTGCCCTGTTCCACGATCCTACCCCCATAAAAGACGCAAATGACATCAGCATCCTTAATCGTGGACAGACGGTGCGCCACGGCCACCGTAATGCGATCCCCGTCATTCGCCGCCTCAGCCAGCGCATTCTGCACAATCTTCTCGCTCTCGGTGTCGAGCGCGCTGGTTGCCTCGTCAAGCAGCAGAATGCGTGGGTTACGGATTAGCGCGCGTGCAATGGCGATGCGTTGACGCTGGCCACCGGAGAGCTGAGTGCCGTTGGGGCCAGCGGCGGTATTCACGCCTTCAGGCAGCGAAGAGACAAAGTCCCAGGCGTTTGCGGCGCAGAGGGCGCGCTCAATGTCTGCGTCTGAGACGGCGCTGGTGTCGAGGATGGTGTTGGCGGTGGGGTTGGAGATGCCGAGGGCGATGTTTTCGCGGATCGTGCCTTGGAATAGAGTGGGCTCTTGTTGGACGAGACCGACTTGGGCGCGGTACTTGCGTGGGTTGATGGTGGTGAGATTTTGGGAGCCGAGGAGGACGGCGCCGCTCGAGGGGTCGTAGAAGCGTTCTAGCATGGAGATTATGGTGGATTTACCGCAGCCAGAGGCACCGACTAGGGCAATGAACTGGCCTCTGCAGGCTTCGAGATTGATGTTTTTGAGGACGGGGGCATGTGGGCGGAGAGGGTAGGCAAAGCTTGTTTCAGCAAGTTGCAGAGAGCCCTCTGGATCTGGGCCATTGTCCTTATTTTCTGGTGTTTCTTGAACGACTGGCTGGAGTTGCTTAAGCCAGAAGATGGCGTTGGCACCGTTCTTGCCTTTGGTTATACTGGTTGAGAATTGGAAGATTTGAGATGTTGATTGTGCGCAGAAGAAGACGGCCATGTAGGAAACGAAGAAGTCGAAGATAGTGATTTCCCGAGCGGCAACGAGTCGACATCCGTACCTAAGTTTGCGTGTTAGATTATAAACTCCAAACAATCATATCGAAACATACCAAAATCCGAGAGCCATAAACCAGTACTCCGAGGCCTGAGTCAAAGCAAACCAAAACATGACAAACAGAAGCGGTTGCCGTGATCCTTTCACTGCTTGATCCAATTCAGACGTGTATCGATCCAGAATTGCCCTCTCGATTCCCAGAGAAGACACTGTTCGGATAGCTGTTGTTGATTCCGACGCAATTGCAGAGCTCGTCGACAATCGCTTGGCAACAAGACGGTCAAGCCTGCCATCAAGAATCATCTTGATCCATCCGAAGCCAATGACGGCAGGCGTTCCCGCAAGGACGATTACCAAGCCGAGTTTCCAGGCGTAAACGATACCCAGGATAGAGCAGATAATAATGCTTAGTCCGGCAATGAGGATGAATCCAATGTTGAAGCCCATCAGTTCGAAAACGGCCTGGGGGTAGGCATCGATACGGCTGGTGAGTGCTCCGATGTTGTTTTCCGAGCGATCAAAGTACTCGATATCCTGGCGGAGAATGTCGTTGAAGATTTGTTTTCGCAGATTGTGCGCCAAGGCCTAGTAGAGCGGTTTTATCAGTAAATTGAATATTGCCATGGAAATTCACAATGCATTACTCACCTGTGCAAGCGTATTCGTTCCCCACCCCATTGCATAGTAAGAGAACAAACAAGCACCGGAAAGGGCAACAAACATGGCTGCGAAGAAGTTACCCTCGTCAGTCATTTCTTTTCCAGTCAGAGTGAAAACGTCGACCATGTAGGCCATGAGAATGGCTTGGCCAGGAAACAAGCCCGCTGGAAAACAGTTAGTGGTTGTGCAGTGCATGGTAATAAGAGTACATACCAGAAAGGAAACAGCCAGAAAACATGGCCAAGTACGCCCATTTTAAATCCGGGGTCTCGTAAATAAGGCGCCAGATGGTAGCAAGCAATCCAAGTTGATTCGTGCCTTCATCGCTGTATCTACCAGCCCCAGCCTGTGTGCGGATACTTGCTGCATTGGTGGTCGAGCGATAAAGCGCGCCTTCTTTGTCTTCAGGCTCGTCCTTTAGCGACCTTTCGTCAGATACTTCCACTTCTGTGCCCTCGGGCGGGTCTTCGCCTTCAACAGTAAGTTGTTGAATGGTAACGAGGCGGGAATAAGCCCCCTTCATAGCGAGGAGCTCGTTGTGCGTTCCTTGTTCGACGATTTCTCCCTTGGAAATGACAACAATGTTGTGCGCATTGCGAACGGTGGCCAGCTTGTGTGCAATAATGATGGTGGTGCGGCCAGCGGAAGCTTGGTCAAGAGCTTGTTGGACGATTCCTTCCGCATGGGGATCGAGTGCGCTGGTTGCTTCATCCAGCAAGAGGACCCTGGGATTCGATACAAGGCTTCGTGCAATAGCAATGCGCTGCTTCTGACCGCCGGAAAGCAGTCCTCCGCGCTGACCAATTTCTGTATCGTAACCATGGGGGAGTTGCTCAATGAAGTCGTGAGCGTAAGCAGTTTTGGCGGCGGCTACAACGTGTTTCATCTGCTCTTCTTTCGAAGCCTTTTCCAAATCGGTACCGTAGAGACCATTGGCAATATTGTCGAAAACGGATCCACGGAATAGAACAGGTTCCTGCTGTACCAGACGAACGTTTCTCCGCAGCCAGGAAATATTCAGCGAGTCGATGGGTCGACCGTCAAGCTTGATTGTTCCCGAAGCAGGGTTGTACCATCGCTGCAAAAGACCGACTATAGTGCTCTTTCCAGATCCGCTGTGTCCTACAAGGGCTGTAACCTTGCCAGCTGGTGCGCGAAGAGAGAAGCTCTTGAGCACAGTAACATCAGGTCGGGTTGGGTAGGCAAATACAACATTCTCAAGCTCCACATCTCCGGTGATTGAAGTTGGCACTTCACCTGACGGATCCATGGGGTCGATGGCGGACTTTCGGTCGATGACCACGTAGAGCTGAGCGGCCGCAGATGCGGCACGAGTGAACTCGATAGAATGAGGAGCCAATTGAGTAATGCTGAGCGCGGCGACAACGACTGACAGCAAGACCGTAAAAACATCTCCGGTATTTGCGATCTCCCCACTAGCAAGCATGTGGATGCCTCTCCAAAAGGCGAGTGCGTTGCCCAGGTAGATGATGGTGTACTCGGCTGAGAATAGAATACCGAAAAGAGGCGAAATCTTCTTACCAAAGCGGTGGGCTTGGATAAGGAATCCGTCGAATTTGTTGACTAACTCTGCCCTCATGTCGAATGCATGAACGGTACGGATGCTAGCGATGACTCCCTCGGCGAAGGAGTTGGCATCAGCGTACCTTTCAAGAATCTTGGCCTCGTAACCAGCTTCGATGAAAGCGCACCCAATCATGACACTCACTGTCAAAGGCGCGATGCCGCAAATGATGAGTGTAAGTTTCCAATTAGTAACAAAGGCGATGATAAAGGAGGCGAGGAAAGCTGATATGCCTTGGATAGTGAGTCCTAACTTCTCGGAAATACCAGCTTGGACAAGGCGACCATTAGAGTATGCTTGAGTTGCAATTGATCCACTAGTCCCAAGGTCAAAGTAGGCGACCTCTTGTCGTAAGGCCGCCTTTAGGTACGCATGTCGAATATTTCGCACGACCCTGTACGCGCTAAATGTGAGTAGGAAGTTGTAGATGTACGCCACCACCATCCTGCCAACGCCCAAGAGGAAAAAGTACAACGCGAGCTTCGCACTCGACGATCGCAAGCTCTCCGCCGCCGCATTTCCCGTGTCAAAGTCGGTAAACTCAGTCACGAACTTTCCGAATATTATGTTTTGGGAGGCAATCCCGACCCCAGACACACACGCAGCAATGCCAGCAATGCCAATCATGATCAAGTCTGTAGTCTGTGCATACTTAAAGATTCTCTATTTTACGGAAGAGATCGCATAAAAATTAGTGGCATGGTTCATTTTCCAATCACGATGAGAGCTTACGTACCCAGTATGCTTTCCACGCGCCCATGGGCGCGGGTTCGTTTGAGATGATACTCGCTTTCTCCATCTCCACAATCGAGCTGGTACTCTTTTCGCCGCCGCTTGTGAAACCCATTATAGCACTGCTAGCAGTAGGAACATAAAAAAAGAGGTTGTTGAAATTAAGTATGGATTTTTAAAGAGGAAGAAATATGGGATTAACAAGGGAAGATGAGATCAACTACTGCAAGGACGATGTGAGACAAAAAAGATCTAGATGGCTAATACTGCAATGACAATATACCTTGCACCAGCAACCCGCCCCCAACATTTCTCAAAAAGGGCGTCAAGAAACCAAGGGCGCAGAAGTCCCAAGACACACCGGTAGTTCCCATTGCCGCCAAATGTCAATCTGCCGGCTTGTAGTTCACCCCCTAGTTGTAAGATGTGCTTCATGGTGACAGGCTCAAAACGACTTGGCGGCGGTTTTGATGGGTGTGTTTCGTTGCAAGGGCAGGGGGAGTGGGGCTACTAGGTTGTCTGAGAGCTGCGTTCATATACGCGGTGGAGAAGATGATTAGCAGAGAGCGCGCCCAGGGGACCCACATGCCTCACTTCGGGCCGCAGGAATCATGTCGTCCGACCATGAATAGGTGGAGCTGCGCCATAGATCTTACCTAATTAGGTATAAATTCTTTAGTCAACGGCTACGTATTCATAGTTAAGAACGGCGTAGAGTGGTAAACGGGTACAGTAGTAAATAGATAGAGGTAGGGCTATAGTAGAGTTACTAAGAGTTAAGTAGAGGTTAGGTAGGATATTACTTACGTGAGACTGTCACATATAGTATCAGAAGTGTTCTCTACGGGTTTGATGGCGATTGTAATTAGATTGATGACGACTTTTAGGTCGGCGTAAAGCCTCAATACATTAATGTCACCATCCCATCACCTCCATATTCATGCGAGCGCTGGAAATTGTTATCTCTTCGTGCTAGCTCCATGACAGTCAACGATTTCAACAGCAGGTGCGACACCAAGTCCCCGTAGCAATTTAAATGAAAAGTGAACCTGTTCTTTTCGGTTACAACCACAGTGCGGCATTGCGCGACTCGTTTTAATTGCTGTCACTCGGTTTCTTCAAAACCGGTTTGTAACATGCAGATTTCGACCTCAAACAATCTACCTGACTTGAGTTGTAATGTTTGCGGTATCTATTGTTCCCGAGTACGTGATCATATTGGTATATAAGCGTTACGAGGGTTGTGAGTGGCTTGTCATAACACGTTGAACCGATCACATTATATACACATCTTCAACTATTAAGATTTGATGAAAGCTACTACGTCGTCATGACTATCAACACAATGTGGTACCAACGGATTTGGGTCGGAAACTGCTTTGGACACCACATGTTAAGGCCGTTGCTGCGACTTTGTCATACCGCCTTCTCTGCCAGACGTTCTATGTATCCTCTTGTTTTCATCGCTAGAGATGCGAAGCGGTGGAAATTCCATAAAATCTCCCATCTAGTAACCTAAAGTCGAAGCTGAAACCAACGAACTCGCCATCCCATGGGACGTACGAGGAAAGTGGCAAGACAAATGACTAATGTAGCAGTGTGAATTGTCTTTTATCCCCACCAGGTCAAGTACGTGGTGATATAGGACCGTTAGCTTTGTTTTTTTTTTTCAATTTGTATTCCAGACACAGTCCTCCCCTCCTGTTCCGGCAACTACACCATTTGAGCATAATTGTGCACACTCGACTAATTCGACCGTCAACGCCTACCAGGAACTTTTCATCTCACTTTGTTAACACATACAAAATATATGAACACACCCTTTGACACTCAATTGCTGATGCATACTAACTACATCAGATACAAGAGCGGCACACAACCCCCCTCAGACACTTGAGACTTATTGCACCGCAACGAAGAACGACGAATTTGCCCTCAGCTTGATATCATGACTTCGAATACGATATGCTTTCAAGCACTACGCATCGTCCAAACTGCATTTGGAGATGTTCATGTCCCTGAAGACAAACCCGGAGGCCTTATACACACAATTCCCGGCGCATATTCGGAGCACAAAAAGCCCAAAGTACGGATTGTCATCCAGGAATACATTACACCAGTCAGTAACATGTCGTCCCTAAGTACAGAGGCTTATTATGGCACTGTCAACCTACTTCCCTGGAATCCGAAATACGAAGACCAGTTCCTGCGTACTGCTGTCATCTTCGGCTGTCCAACCTCTCTAGGAGCCCCTGGCGATTGGAATAATCAGTGGGATGTTGACACAGGTCGGGGCGCTTATGACCACATCTCGACTTCGGAGATATTGGCACAAGAGCAGAAGGCGGTCAAATGTTCCATGCAATGATTCGTAGAGAATCGTATTACAATAAACTCGCAGAATGAGGATCTGGAGGTAATTTGACATCATCTTGGGATTGACTGCAATGATGTCACTGGATGAATGAAGCTGGTTAGTGAAGCGGCACGATCCGCATATAATGGAAGGATGGTAAGGGTTGTATGGGACGAATAGGATGAATTATATGCTTATCTGCGAGTAGCCGAAAATGGCCTTGCGGAAGGATAGCTTGGCATGATGATTATCGCAAACGTATGCACCATCGAGTGAAGGACTAAGAGGGCAGCAGCGCTGAAAGACGCAATTCTCGAATCAGGCATGCCTGATCAGACTGTGTTCGGGGGTCCTGGGCCAAGCATGCAGCTTGCATAGCGGGGCAATGCCTTTGGTCGTTGTTGCAACCAATCTCGTTTGTTCATGCGCATACGCGGCGTGGTACGAATGTACGTGTTTCTCTCTTAGCCAACGGAAATTCCTGGCATATATACGAGTGCGAGAGTTAAGAAGGGCGCCTTTGGCAACTAGCCATCCAGATTAAAAAAATCTTCCTGTCTCTAAGACTACCGCACTGCTACATCTACTATAACCCACCTTCCGCAGCAATGGATGTTCGCAAAGATCTCGATGAGTACACACAGATCATGCGGCAGCAAAAGCGTTTCCTGCAAGATGCCAAGAAGAAGCAGGGCCAGCGTCCCCACGATCGTAAGGGCAGGGACATCATGTTGTTTGAGTTCATGATGGCATTGATGGCCAACACACAACGCGCTGGAAGTGAAGACACACACATGATACATTCATCGTTTGTTCCACCAGCATATCCGCCTTGTACCACATCTTTCAACTCCTTGAAACCCATCTCGATTGAAGATCTCAGGCTCGAGACGCATCATCGTGGCTACTATCTCGTATTGCGAGTCATCACACCTCCGAACCGTATGACTGCGATTCTTATTTTAGTCGAAGACGAGCACGGGGACGTTACGATGTTGCAAATGTACCAACAGGAGGATGAGGCCAGTCGCCCAGCATCTACAGTTGTCGACAAAGGTTCAATTCTTCTGATCAAGGAGCCTTTCTTCAAAGTTACGGCGTCTGGCGATTACAGTTTAAGAGTGGATCATGTTTGTGACATTATTTTCCTTCACAACGACGACCCCAGGATACCGCCATCATGGCGACGGAGATCGTTCGAGTTAGAAAAATCTGCGGACTCTTTGAAGCTTGAGGGAAATGCATTTGTAGGGAAAGGAGATTATTGGAGAGCTATCGACAAGTGAGCAAGCTGTCTGATAAAAAAGTAATCGCGCTAACATATAGAGCAGGTACTCAAATGCTTTAGCGCACTCCGCAACACTCGACGAGGTCAAAATGATCAAACGAAACAGATCTTTAGCATACCTGAAGACGAGGCAATATGACGCCGCGTTGTCTGACACTGGCTTCCCAGACTTCGGCGTGGAGGCCTCGGAGAAAGCCTTGTTTCGCGCAGCGGAGGCTTTATACCATCTCACTCGTTATGAAGAATGTTGCAACGTACTCGAGAAAATGTGCAGACTCTTTCCAAATAACAAACAAGCAGCCGCTGCGCATACACGTGCATGCCATCGATTCTCTGAGAGCAGCACCGGAGAGTTTGACTTCAAGCTTCTCCAGGCTGAAGCAAGGAAGCGTATTCCCCCACATCTGGACCACGGCACTTATATTGGACCAGTAACGGTTCGGAAAGCCAAAGGAAAAGGTCGCGGCTTATTCACAACTGCGTCTATGAAAGCAGGGGACCTAGTGCTGTGTGAGAAAGCTTTCTGTCATGCTCATATCGACGACTCCGGGGAAAGCAATGCAAAGATGACTCTTTTGATGAATGTGGAGACAGACACAGCCTTCATGGGCGGTCAAGCAAATCTCATCCAGTTAATCACGCAGAAGCTGTACAAAAATCCTTCTATGGCTGCGGCTTTCACTGAACTGCATCATGGCGATTACAAGGCGGTCGACAAGATGTTTGTTGATGGACAACCGGTAGTAGACACGTGAGTAGCAACTGTAATGATGAGTCAGTCAACGTAATAAACTAATGTTATGCCCTCCAGCTTTCTCGTCGAACGAACAATGGCCCCCAATGTCTTTGGCTGTCCTGTTACATCCCTGAAGAGCCACAAAGATGCCATGTCCAACAAAGCCCCGAAGGGAGATGCCACATTCCATTCGTGTGGCATCTGGATCAAAGCCTCATATATCAACCATAGTTGCCTCGGCAATGTGCGTCGCTCTTTCATCGGAGATATGATGATAGTGCGCGCATGCAAGGACCTGGAAGCTGGTACAGAGATAGTCTTTCCTTATACAGCTCCAAGGGGTGACTATACACTTGGGATTAAGCAAAAGTTCAAGAGTTGGGGGTTCATTTGTAGCTGCGCACTTTGCGAGGATATCAAATCTACCAAGCCGTCGGCAGTGGCAAAGAGAAGGAGCTTGTTTGAGCAGCTGGACCGCCTCTGCAAATCTGGCTTAACAGCGCATAATGCTCCGATCAAATTCGAACGCTTAGTCGTGGCGCTAAACGAGACATACCAATCTCCGGCGGAACAAGTTCCTCGACTTTTGCTGTTGGATCCACAACTATTGCTGACGCGCGTCTACATGGAAAAGCGTGATCTCACAAAGGTGTTGGAGTCGGTTGCAAAAACTCTTCAGACTCTAGGCTTCATCGTCGCTGGACTTGATCCAAGTCCTACAACTTTGATTATCAACAAATGGGGTCATATCGTGGACGATATAGTAGAGGTCTTTCTACATGGGCAGTCAGCCTTCGAGCAATTAGGGATATGGGAGAAGTCAAAACAGGCCGAGCAATATGCAAAAATTGCATATCGGATATTGGTTGGGGAAGAAGCGTCCTTCAATCGGACATGGGACACAGTATTGTGAATTTCAGGTCTCCATAAAGAAACCTGGGAGAATGAGGTATTGGCATCAATTGAATGTAACTATTTAGTTAAGAAGTTATTTACCTACTTACCGTAGAGACTTGTTTACTACACTAGCCGTTCTCTAGTATCGTCAGTGGGTACACTAGGTATTCCTCAGGTTCGCAAGGCAAAACACGCTTCAAAGAACAGTATCTAAAACGACCTCCTCCTAGGCCGGGATTCTGCAGATTACTGGTGACTCAGGATCTGGCGTTTGAGGGGGTTATCTGAGAAGCTTGGGTATTGTTGGGGGTGTGGGGGTCAGTCNGGGGCGGTTGTTCGTGGGTTTTTGCTGAGTAATGAGTACTACTAGTCGTACTACGTAGCGGGCGTTGACACGAGTCGACAACGCCAACCGCGTACGTAGCTCACCGGAAAGTACCTCATGATTCGTCTTGGCTATGACATTTTCATTCAACGTAAGTGGGAAGGCGAGTAAGCGAGGTGGGTTTTACGCCCTTATTCGTTGCTGTATCGCCGCTGGGAACATGGAACAATTTGTACATGTGCTTGCGGCATCTGGCAAATGCCGATACGGCAGTTTGTGACTGGTGTAATAGGCGTACCATGCATCTGATGCGTACACCGTACATCGTGAAGGACTCATCGGTTTATCAATGCCCCACTCTTCCCACCGCCTGATGATGTGCTAGATCTTGCTAGCGAAGAGTTACTGTCGGATACATAAGAGCCAGGCACACCCATACCGGAAGCGCACCTCTCCCATGTCTAGTACGCAATCCAATTTCACGGGCTGGCTCGTAGTAAGCAAACACTGTCATCACTTTAACTTTGTTTTTAAAGCAATAAAAATATCTTGAAGCTACGTCAGTCCTCACTGCTATGTATTTTGCGCGTCTGTACTTTTGATTGTCTATCATAGATGTTTCGGGCGTGTTTGTTTCGTAGAAATAAAGAAAGTATATACATACATACATACAAGCATTCATGCAGACTTAACCTGCGGACTTTTCGAATTCCAATCCAACGTCTTGATTCCCTCACCCAAAAACCTCAATCATAGCCCCCCTCCATCTCTCGCCCCACCTACTCAACGCATACAGTGCAGCCAAGCCTGTAGTAACACTCCAAAGACCCAAGATTGTCATTAGCCACCCATTTCCAATTGCAGTGAGAATCGGCTCTGCCACTACAGCACCCACAAATGAGCACATGTTCCGCACAAAATTGTTCAGTGCGATTCCGCTTGCAGCCCGTCTAGGCATAAACTCTGTCAATATAGTATTCACAAGAGCGAACACCAACATGCTGCCGATGCCAAAAAAGAAATTGCTAATCATGGGTACAACCCAATGTATCCCATACTGAGCCGTCCAACCATACACGATTAGTGCAGCAGGCCACAGAATAGCGGCAATCCAAGCATTTTCCCTAATGCGATCAAGGGGTCGAAAGATGAGTTTGCCGTTCTCGTCGTATCGCCCTGCTTTGCGGGCTTCGCGGTGCATGATGGAGTCGAGCCAGCGGCCGCCATAGATGGAAGCGAGGAGGTAGCCTGCAGAGTTTGGGATATAGAGTAGACCGACAATGAGAGTTGAGAAGGAATATGGGGAACTGGAGAACGTCTTCTGGATACTGATATTGAGAATGTAGAGAGAGCCGAAGGTTATGCTCGCTGAATACACGGTAAGAAGGACAGGTGGGAAGCGGAGCCAAGTTATTATACGAAGCGGGTCGATGAATATATGGCGGAGGTGCAGGAGTATGCTCTTAGTTTTCTGTACGGTTGAGGCGTGTGTGGTGCTTCTTCGAAGAGCCGTATCAGGCTCTTTTTCTTTGTCATCGTTTGAGGGTAGTGTAGCAGGGCCCGTAGATGGTTTACCGTCCCGGTGTAATGTTTCTGGTAGGGCGAAAATGACAAAGATCACCGTGAGGCCTCCATAAATGACTAGAAACCATTGTGTGCTTCGCCATCCCAGTTCTGCTCCGAGCACACCTCCGATAATCGGGGCAAAAAGAGGCCCACAGAGTGGACCAAGGTAGAACAAGCCCATTGCTGCGCCTCTTTCTTTTGTGTGCCAGATATCTGCGATGGTTCCAGCACCCACTGCTTGCACAGCGGCGGCTGCACCTCCAGACAGAACCCGGCAGACAATCAACATGTGGATCGTTGTGCTGACTGCTGAGAGTATACCGAAAATAACGAATAAAATAAACGAGGTAATGTAAATGGTTCGTCGGCCCAGCCGTTCTGAAAAGGAACTCCACCATAATGGAAAAATGCCCATGCTGAGCATGTACACAGCGACGGACATGTTGGTCACAGTCTCGGTCGCTCGAAAAGCTTTAGCAATGTCTTGGAGCACCGGCATGACAATGGCAGAGCCCATTGGTCCAGCCATGGCACAAAAAGCAACAATGAAAGTAAGTAGCCATTTCGTTTGTCGGGCATAGTGCTGGGGATTTTCGACTTCGGGAATAAGGGCGAAGCGTGCGAGAAGCCCACGGCGCTGAGAACGAGAAATTACTACAGGATCCGGTGTAACTGTTGTGGTTCTTGTCAGGTCTGTTGATGGTTCCTTTGTATTCGATGTCCGTGGTTGTCCCGTCGTGGTCGAAGAACTTGAGGACGCAGTCGCCGTCGCACCCTCTTGCGCAACTGCTTTCCTTTCTTCAAATACATTCTTTTCTAATTTTTCCGATGTTTTCGCGTTCACATCTATTTCATGGTTGGCATTTCGGTCGAAAGTCGGCTCCGGCGTTGATATGCTCGGTGGCGATCTTGATGCACCGGATACCATATTTAGTCGAAAACGTGCAAAATATAACAGAGAGAAAAAGAAGGGGGGAAAGTTAAGAAATTATCCAAGACGTATAGCGTTGAATGACCGGTTTCAACAAGCACGCTATTATTCCCGTATGCACAATCACTTTTCCGACAGGCGTGTCAGTGGCAGTGTCGTAATGCCTCGGCTGCTTGCAGCCGCAGCCTTGAGCTCTAGCAATCTCCCTCATCACAACGGATGTGTTGCCTCTTCTGGTGCTGCGATGAGTGTGGAATCGGAAATGAACGTAAAGAAGTTTCAGTGCTCTCTAGCTAGAGACAATGTTAGAGCAATTACCTCTTGGGTACCTATCGAGTGCACATTACGAGTGCCGGGGTGTGCTGAGGACGCCGATTTGCACCATGCGACCATTACTCGAACCTGATGGTCGCTGTCGTGCTCTATTGGGCTGGAAGGGATGCATGCATGCGACAATCCGTGTATTCTGCTCGTGGCGAGCAGTCTCGTACGAGGTCAAGGTCCAAGACATCTTTATCCGTGGTACATTGTTGCATTACGATCGTGCACCAAGATGATTCGACCATTTGTCCTCGGCGACCCTCCGACAAATCAGGGATAGTAGAACATCTCCGCGGTGCAGAGTGGTTGGCGCCACCGTTTCCACACTTTAACGTTTTCAGCGGGGTAGTATTGGCGCCACAAAAGTAGGTAGCAGGTGCTGAAGACCTACAACTGGCTCTTCGACTCCCTCAATTGCTCAATATCAGAGCAGAAAGAGACGGTCTTGGTGGTCATTTTTGCTATATTTCCATTGGGCCGGGGAAAACACCTCGTGAAATCATCGATATCGCGCTGAGAGTGTTGCCGGCCAGCTGCAGACACCCCGCATTGAATTCATTCCGGACAATCAACTGTCAAAGGCTTTCAGCTTCCGGAGTTATACGAACACTATCATTCGGACTCGGCATCTTCGTGGTTTTGGGTTATTTTCACAATGGCAACCCAGAATCAGGATCGTCTCCGTACGCTTTTCTCTTCTGCACCCGACTCCGATCACAGCAACCGCTGGGACAACCTCTGGCGAGAAGCTACATTCCTGCCATGGGACCGGGGTCATGCCAATCCCGCACTGATAGATGTCCTTAGCGAGCGATCCCGTCCTATCTCGTCTCCAGACCCAAACCCATCGTTAGGCGCACCCCCACCAAACAGCGAGTCAGCAGGTTATGTGTCTCTCCCCGGGCCACTGAGGGAGGACGGAAAGAGGAGGAGAGCGTTAGTGCCAGGATGCGGAAAAGGATACGACGTGGCGCTGTTTGCGGCATACGGTTACGATGCTTACGGGTTGGAGGTGTCCTCGCACGCGGCTGAAGCTGCACGGAAATATCTAGCAGATCCCGGAAAAGGGCCCCTAGAGGGTGAATATGCGATCAAGGACGAAAATATAGGAAGAGGAACGACGGAGGTGGTCTGTGGTGACTTCTTTGACGATGGTTGGCTCAAGGATGTTAATGGATGGGATGGAGATGAGGGCTTCGATATTATCTACGACAACACTGTGAGTGCTGATTGTAGCATCCCCACAGCTTTTTTTGATGGGTCTGACACCATGCATAGTTCCTGTGTGCTCTCCCGCCCTCCCTCCGTCCCAAGTGGGCGTCACGTATGACTGAGCTTCTCCGCCAGTCATCCTCAAACAACACAAGCACCGGGGGTGTTTTAATTTGTCTTGAGTTTCCAACCCACAAGCCTGTAAAATCGGGTGGACCGCCATGGTCGCTGCCACCCCTTGTACACACAGAGCTTCTCAAACAGCCAGGTCATGATATTTCGTATGACGATCAGGGCGTGGTGACCAAGACAGACCGAGAGGAGACAGACAATGCGCTAGTTAAAATTGCGCATTTTACTCCAAGACGAACACACGAAATCGGCGTCATCCAAGGTCTTGTAAGGGACTGCGTGAGTATGTGGCGACATAAAGCAGATTGTCCAGAGGAACAAAGGTGGCATTGAACACATCAGGTGTGCTGCTGGTGTACTGGGCCTGCTAGATGTTGTTCAGCCAGCCACACGCAGTGAGTTGTAGTGTTCTCCCAATCCATGACTGTGTTTATAGTAACCCAACCAAATCTCCTTTTTTTCTGTGACATCGTCTTCGGCTTCGATCTTATCCACTCTTCCATCGCTGTGCAGCACACAAATCCTTAGTCCATATGACCTAGCCAACGCAAGAAGCTCTAGATGGCCACCCCATTCACCGGTTTCTCTTATCTTGCGAACGTGCTCGGGCAGGGGATCTTCCATGAACCCTGCAAAGTCATCGGCGTGACCCTGTATCCAGTCTGCTGCCGCATGTCGGACGGCCTTGTAACCTTCTATTTTGTCGGTCTCAACCTTGTCATCTTTTCCAATCGATGTGATAGCTACTCTCGGCTGCAATCCTAGCTCTCTTGTCTGCAACTGGTCTGCCACAGCAGCATATAGGCAATGTCCATCCGCCCGTATCTCATGAAGCTCAAGACTGTGCTTGTCCAGTTGCGTCGCCATGCGTTCTCGCTCGAGTTCCCGTGGGTTTGGTGCATTCGCAGCTTCGCGCTCGGCATCGGCAATCATGGAAGCTTGTTCAGCGGCCCGACGAGCAAGGCGGGCTTTGGCGCGATTGGGCTTCTTTGCCTTGGGCCCAGCAGTGCTTTCCGTGGTACCGTTTTCCTTGCCCTCAGCACTCTTTCCAGCAATTGTAAGTTTTTCTATATCCTCCTGAACGTCCTGCATTCCATCTTCCAAAGGTGGTTCGTTGTCGTTGTTTTCCTCTTGTACAGCATCTCCATTCAGAATGGCAAGCTCATGCTCATGTCGCTCTTTCAACTCCCTCTCTAATCGTTCACATTCTTCGTTGACTCCTTTTCGTGTTTTTTTACTGGCTTGTTTTTTCTTTTGTGTTGTACGTGAGACAAGATCGCGTTGTTCTTTGCGGTGTCGGGACTGAAGCGCTTCGAGAGTTTCGGGTTCGAGTGCAGGCAATGAGTCCGCCATTGCAGGACGAAATCTGTACTCTGATGGTGAAGGCTGCGCGAATGAGGCGAAGTCGCAGTAGCAGTAATGACTGTGGCGCAACGTTCAAAGATCTACACGAGAATGGTGGGGTTATGGGAGATCCGGCGTCGTTTCTTGGGGCATCGGATCTTGGTTTCGCCGAAGTTGCCTGTGTAAGATGGTGGATGACTGCTCGGCTGTCTTTCGGTTTACGTTCGGCAATTTTCCGAAGTTCCCCAACTCTATATCACGACTATCCTGGGAGACAGCTGAGCGTCAGTTGGGAGACAGGCCGATTACAACTTCATTGATCCCTTGTCGAGAGCAACGCTGCTCTGTTCCCTCATGCTGTCACATACTTGCACGGAAGGGTACCGTAAACGCCATGATCAGATGCACATGGCTTCACCACAACTTTTGCTCTTGTCTTTGTGCCTGTTGTTTTGCTGCTTAGGATGTATCATTCTACACACATGCCCAGAATCCATCCATGGCATCCCTCTCATGCACAGGTGAGTGCCATCAATCAAGCTAATTAGACTAGGAATTGGCTATCGCTTTAGAGATCGCGCCAGCATCGTACCGGTAACTTAACTTTACGATTGTGTATCAGATTCCGTGAATGCGAAATCACCAAGGCCGACATGTCACTCCTTTTAGGGGTAGGTTTGCTTTCAAGAGCATCTTGGATGTGTAGCGAACGGTTGCCGATTCCTAACAAAATAGTCTGCGCGCTATGGCACGCTCAGCTGCTCATGCGCGAGGTGTCATGGCTATTGCCCTCATGCTAAACAGCTAGAAGATTGACGGTGCTTCCATTCATTTGCATTCACACCTCAAACGACCTTGGTCCCCGGCCGAGGAAGGTGCGTTGCGCACGTCTGCTCTATTTCTCACTGTCACTCCCCTATCCTCTTTCACTTACACTCTGCTTTTCCATCGACCTTATAAGGCCCTCTCACCCAGGGCTCTCTCGTCATGCGTACCGACTCTTTCTGTTGCCACCACACCTGCGCTATCTGCTAGGAGCGAGGCCCACTTACAGCAGCAATGCCTTTCCGTGATGTGGACTGGGAAGAGTGGCAGCGCGACTGTGACATCTTTCCAGCCTATTGCGATTATCTACTCGGCCCAGATCTACGCCTGGTGGTCACTCAAGAGCCTGGTCTGCATCCTTTGATCTATCCAGCGCCAATACCGCAACCGGTCCAGGATACTCGCAACGTGCGGTCGCGATCTCAGATATGCCGACCGATGACTAGATCGAGCCTAGCAACGACTACTCTTACTGGACATCAATCTGCATTGCATAGGGGAGCGTCCGATGACTGCCTCGGAAACCACGACAGCAGCAACAACATGAGAACATTACTCGACCCGCCAAGTTTTCTGCAGCATCCTCGTGCTCTTTCAGAGATACATAAACAAAGCCAACAGCACCCTTATACACTAACACAGATGCATTCAGTAAGCTTGCCTTTACTATCTCTTTCTATTTGTTCGGCAATTAACAAATTCAATTAGCACTCTGTCGCTGCCCCAGAGCAAACTTGCGTTCCGTTTTCTTCAGAACAAGCATCGCAAGTGAATATGCTTCATCCCCATGACATAGTCCATGACCCGCGATACCAGTGCATCGAACCCGAGACGCGCAACCAGATCAGACGTTACCTCTCTGGGCTCTGGCATCTTACGGAAATTTCTACCGATACGGGAAAAAAGGCCAAAGCGCTTGCGGATATCCGCAACTTCAGCACAAGAGTTCTTGAGCAAGTCAAACGCATAGAGGCAAGTAAAGGCCAACATTCGCCTCCTCATGCACTTGCCCCCAACAAACCTGAACAAAATGACCAACGATTGCGCGCCACAATCAAACAGCCCTTGCACCAGCAATCAGCACAACACCAAGCACAAATGGTTGAAGAGAATCACCCCTCGCAATTGGAATCTCAATCGACATGGCAGCCTCCAGCTTTGCCGCACACCGAGGTCATCACCCCTCAACTTTCCACTGAGCTGCGTGTGCGCATCAATCGTTACGTCCCTCTGGTCTGGTACTATCTTCGAATCATTGGAGACAAATCCGAGCCTATATCCGCCGATGATCTACATAGGCGGAATCGTGCGCGGCAATGGCTCAAGTCATTTAAGACAAGTCTGCCTGTTGAGGGTCGCTCCTACATTTCAGGGGTTCTCAGGTGGATGTACAGCGAACAGGCTGCAGGAAGAGATCCGTTGGTATCCATTGGGTACCAAAAATAACATCGCTTCATGGGCAAACATGGGAAATGGGACCAGGGTAGGTTTCATTGACGGCACCAGAATCAAAATTTTGCACAAACGAGTTGGCTAGTGTCAACAGTACCAACTTGCTTAGTCACCGGCCTCGGAGCACGTGGGTTTTGGCAATAAATATATGGGGTACCAAACATCCTATCTGTGGTGTATGGATCTCGGGACGCGTGCAGGAGCATCCAGATGTTGCTAGCCGATACGAGCAGCCCATGTATGAAACAAAACTTATTACTGTTTTGCAGAGATAACTTCACAGGAGCCAACTCTAGGGTCGACAAACGATATGATGTCAGGCATTCTTTTCCAACAAGAAGGCATTTTAGCTTTGATTTGATGATGCTATTATATTCCAAAGCTCATGTGATATACAACCTATGAGAGGTGGGTAATTGCGAGTCTAGCGGCCTATTGAGCTGCTGGATGAGAAGATTCTAACATCACCTAACATCTTTCATTTGACCACTCGCCACGTTGTCATAGTCTATGAACAACAGCCAAATCTCGAACTTGACGAGTGAGATCCAGGCCCCTAACCCAACGCGATAGTAGGCCAGACATCCAAACTCTGCATACGCAATCCAAACCAACCCAACTGCTACCATCCTCCCCCCATCCGCTCACCCCAGCATCTCCAGCCCCTACCCCTCCACACTCCCAACAACAACATGCCCCTCCCACCCAAACGCCCTATTAACATTCAACCCCAGACAAAGCGTAAAAACCCTCACTTTACTAACCTTATCCCACTCAATCCACGGCACACAATTCCAATCCCGCGCCCACCTACTTCCAGGATCCAACACGATATCCACCGTGCGCTCCCACTCACAGAAGATCCTCACCTCCCGTATCCCAAGATTATCCGCAACGCAGCGCGTCCAGAAGGCGCGCCGCGGAATCACGAGCTCGGTGAAGAACTTGTAGATGCGGTCGTGCACGATGGGTGGACCCCACGTGCGGAAGACGACGTCTGGGCAGCGTGTGTAGACGAGGAGGTAAGGGAGGAGGTCGATGGAAGGTAAGGGGTCGGAAATAGAAGGTAAATCCGACAGGTTCATTGTTATGCTGGGCATATTGTCAGGGTCGTTGAGGAAGGGTGGGGTAGGGACATTTGTATCTTCGCGGTGGTTGTGGAAGTAGGAGAGGAGGTCAGCGTGGGTGAGGTAGAAATCTCCGGTTTTGTTGTCCGTTCTGAGCATTGAGAGGATGGGGGCGGGGATGGGCCATTCGAGGAGCTTTTCGAGCGTAGTTTTGGGGGCGGGCGAGGAGTAGCGGTCTGGGATGAGAGGTTCGGAGGAGGGGATGGCGGGAGAGGGGAGGGGGCAGGGTGAAGGGAGCGATGGGAGCGGCCGGCCTCGCCAGTCGTATTCTTGGGGCGATAAGGAGAAGCCTAGTGAAGAAGACCGGTCTTCTCGTGAAGAAGATAGGCCTGCTGAAGAAGGGAGCTCTGGTGGCCACGGCGGGTTGGAGGGCTCTGAAACCTTGATCGATGGAGACGTCTCTAGGGACGAAGGTTGTTCAGATGAACGACACGGATTTAGCGATGGAGACTCAAATGACGGTAGAGGTTGCTCTGGCGATGCAGGTTGTTCCGGCGGCGACGAAGATTGCTCTGGCGAGGAAATTTGCTCTGCTGCTGGAGGCGGCTCTGACGGTTCACATTGTTCGGTTGATGAAATATGCTCTGAAAACAGATATTGTTCTGGCGATGAACAAGGATCCGGTGATGGAGGCTCATCTGGTATCGAGGCCTGCTCTTGTGATGCAAGCTGCTCTGGTAGTGGAGAAGGCTCTGGTGATGGCGAGACCTCTGCCAACGGAGAAAATTCTGGTAATGGAGGCTGCTTTGGCGATAAAGAATGCTCTAGTGGTGCACATTGATTTGGCGATGAAGCAAGCTTTGCTGGTAAAGACTGCTCTATAAGCGGAGAATGCTCTCGTGACAAAGGATGCACTGGCAACTGAGACTGTTCTGCCAATACAGAATGCTTTGGCGACGGAAACTTCTCTAGTGATGGAGAGTGCTCTGATGAAGGAGACTGCTTTGGCAATGGAGACTCCTCTGGTAATACACACTGCGCTTCATCCTCCTTTGATACCAATATTCTTGTTGGGCTCTTTGAGTCCCCACGGGCCGGTGGATTCGAAAACCTGGCAGGTGTTCCTTCCATGTCGATGGTCGTTTGAGTGTGGCTGATAGAGTCTGTGGTATGAATATCAAGGTAAGAATTCGATGGCTATGGCATTTTTGAGAAAATATTGAGTAATTAAACAAATATGATGGGGGTAAGGAGTCAAATTCGCAACCAAGGGAGACATCGTGTCTCCAGCTCTTGCGTAAGGTAGTTGCGGGCTAGTTAGTGGCAATAGCCAAATACAAAAGGGAACATATTGTGGCCCTTCCTTTGACTCTAGAGACGCCGCTACTTGCGAAAACATATGTTAATTTAAGAAGGAGCTATCTTTCACTTTTACTCATATACCTGGGCCAAAGCACCTTCCCGAGCCTGGGCAGCTTTCCACATTTTAGGATTGCGGTACATATCCCCGTGATGCAGCTTTCTCGAATATCTTGAGAAAATCCTAAATCATGGGGCATGAAATCATCGATATCAAACATCTCGTCATTGGGGAACCAGTAAGCTTTGAATCGAACATCCCATGGTGAAGAGCCACTATTGTGTCAGATCGTCGAGTTGCGCCTGGGGTCTAGTACGAGGAGACAACAGGCGACAGAAGATAAATAAAAACAATGTCGAACATGGAAAAGAGAACGATTCCCAGGTGCTGATTGGACAATTGACATTTCCAACCCAGAGGTCAGGTACTAGCGGCATGGCCATCTTTTGGTCAAATACTTTGTAGGTACACTCCCCTTGTTTGCAGAATTCTGTGGCTGGATTACTTCAGAAGCTATCCAGCCATCGGGCGACATGAATCATCAATCTATAATATACAAGGTGGGTGGCCTATGACTGATCGCACGTTATGCCCCCAGCGCAATGACTTCCTAGTACATGTCCGAGAAATGATGGCGAGCAACACACGATAAATGCAATTCCTGCAGATTCAGCAAACAGGTTATTTTCGTCCGTACACGATGTAGAAGGAGACTATTATTGGTAATTCAGGAGGCAACAAAATTACGTATCTTTCTTACGGCGCCCGATTGCCTCCTGCCTAATCAGGCTAGGAAGAGGATTCTCGACTGTTCACCTTCCTCAATGTGCCTCCCTTTCCGCATCACTTCTCAATCTTCGCAAACCCCAAGAGAATCTTTGCGCATCGCAAAAGGTGACAGGTCCAGCAAAATGAGTGTCACTATGTCATCTAACCCTTCTACCGTTAACTACAAGAGGTTTGCGGGCTTTTCCGATCTTCCGCTAGGTACAGCAAACAACCTCGGCATGATGCGTTCTCAGCTTACAAGCGCGTAGAGGTGCGCAACAGAATATACGCAATTTGCGCATATGACAAGGACCGTCTCATCGAAAAGGAAGTGAGCCGACGCAACACAACAACCACAAGTGATGCTTTCTGGGCAGCGCGTGGTTACTACAGCTTGACGCAAGTCTCTCGCCAAACGCGGAAGGAGTTTCGCCCATTGTACCTGAGGGATCGCGCCATTTCAGTACATATCCGTGATGCGCAGGACTACCTCGATGCCATTTATCCAACTTCTGGACCAAGTGTCATCGAACGCGAAAACATTGTCGCTTGGCTCACGATTCGCACCGACGTAGAGCGACGTGGCAAATATGACACACCCATCGAAATCCGGCCTCTGCTGGCCAGGCTGTTCAATACGCCTGGCATAGACTTTGAATTCAACGGCAAAGGTGGCGCACTTTTCAACGAATTGTTCCTTGGCTATGAACCAGAATGGAGGGCTGCAGTCAACAACGAATTTAAGAGTGTCGAGTTAAAAGAACCCAGCGTGTTCGGAATGCGCCTGGTCCTGGATCCTAAGTGCCCAACTCCCTGGATCAAACAGTGTGCGATATCTGTTACCAGGCTTCCACATGTACCCGAAGAAGCGCTCGAGTGGTTTAGTGCGTTGGGACTCGACACGGAAAACGACATGATCTTTGTTAGACGGGGTGCGCCAAAGTGGCTCCGCCGTGACTTCATAAAAGTATCCAAGTGATTTGTGTGATACGCCTATGCGAGTGGTCATTCTTTTTCTATTGGATCAAAAGTAGTTTTGGCTGGGCTTGGGAGGCCCAGCAACATCATCTTATGTCTCCCCCAATCACATCCGCGAATTCACGTGACGTTGATGTCATATTCGTGACCTAATGGATTTGTGAGACAGGCAACGACAACGCGAACAAATTCGAGGTTTCTTGAAGCTTACAAAGGCTGACGATTTGAGATTAGCTTCCGCTTGTTCCATGCAGACGCAAACATACGAGACAGAGCGCGCGACAGGTGGTCACTGTTGAAGAGCGATTGGCCGCCCAAAGTCTCTGACATAGTTATCGCTTACGCAGGTGCTTCGACGTCACGACTGCACAAAGGATAACGTTTCGCGCGGAGAAGCCCTACCTTTCTCTTGGTTGAGGAATAGAATGTCTTCATTGGTTCCGCTGCCTAACACACAGCAGATCATGTCGAATGTGGGAGCCGACCTACGGCAGCGACGGTCCGGAATACGAGATGGACAAAAGCAACGAGTTGGCTGATGAAGGTGTGGCTACATCTTGATCGACAATTTAAAGGAGTGATGCAAAATGATAGAGTCAGTCACACCGTTCGAAATGAACTCGTCGAAAAAAAGTGTCTTCCTGGGCAGTTACAGGTGAAGAACATTCAGTCGTCTTCCTTCAAACTTTATAAAAGATTTCGTCAGCGCCTGGGATGTTTAATCCCGCCGTCATCAGCGCCGTTCGTCGAATCCGATTACACCGCTAGAGAACAACATGGTACCCGGGTCGGCGCTACTTGCGACAGACAGTGTGGTCAAACACACATCAAGTAACAATGGCACTGAGCAATCGCCCCAATCGAGTTTGCTGATAAGCTTTCTCAGCTTGTGCTTCTCTGTACTTGTGTTCCCTGCCTCAAAACCTAATTTCATAAAATGGTGCTCGGGCAGCTAATGACAGGTATGAAGAGGAGAGCTGTTTGCGTGTCACTGACCGACAAATGCGGCTCTGGAGAGGGGCGCCGGATTGTTTCGGCTTGGGTGTCATGTGCGTGATATTTCCTTCTCGTTCTTCTTCCGTTATCATTGGGCTATATTTATTCTGTCGGGGCTTCGTAAAGAGACACCGAGGCGGGATCAAGAAAGGAACGCCGACAAGACACCGATAAAAGACTTGACTACGACTTTTTTGAATTCAACAACGAAGTATGCACATGGATTATTAACTCTAAACCAGTTGTTCATGCAGCGGTCTGTAACAACACTAGTTGTAGTCACCACGCTTGCTCGCATGCGCCACGGAAATCGGCAGGCTAGTGGGCCTTGAAGCCACATGACAAGAGCCACAATCCCGTTTCTTCCGTCCGGGGCCCCCTCTGCACCAATCGGACATTTGCATGCACCATCCCAGCCAAACTAATCCAGGGAGAAATGTGGCGCCGCTTGCAAATTTACTGCAAAGTGATGGCGCGGCTAGTCAAGCTTTGTGAAGTGTTTAGTGCTGTTAGTGCTGTTGGTTCCATGTGGCTAAAAAGTGGCTGACGCATGCCGTGGGGAAAGGGCCGGAAGCCATTATATATGGCGATAGGCTTCCCACCGAGATGTGGCTGTGAAGCGTCTCTCTCGAACAAAAACTACTACTTTGGGTCCAGCGCCGTTTTTTTAATATACCGATCAATCAATCAAGTCCCATATCGAGTTAGCACCAAGATCTTACGCTAAAATGGCATTCGACGCCTATCTTCAACGCGCAGACGACTACATCACGAAACAAATCCAAAAGTTCGAGCAACAAAAGCGCGGGAACAGATCACCGCCTCGCGCAAATGGGTATCATCAGATGAGCCAATCACGACAGCATGGGCGTATGTCATCACAAGGAGTATACTCCGGAAGCCCGGCCCCTCCACATGACCAACACCACCCGCCTCCCGGATCCATGTTGCCAGCCGGTTGGATCCGAAACTACGATTCACACAGCCAGCGATGGTATTACGTCGACACAACAACAGGAAGAAGCCAATGGCACCCCCCTCCTTCCAATCCGCAACGCGCAGCAACCTTCCAGCCCGACAACCGTATGCCCAGTCCCTATGACCAATCGAATCTCAGGATGCGATCAAATTCCCAGCCTCAGCGCCCGCAAATGAACGAAGGTGGTGGACAGTTCATGGACCCGAGACAGAATGGCAATGCTGGTCCCAGTCCCAATGTCATGTCCATGCAACTGCCCCCAGGCGCGCATTACGATACAAAGACTGGAAAGGTCGTTCATGGTATGTTTCCCGAGGGGCAGACTGTGCAGACCTGGTCGCAGGAAATACAGAGGATATGAGTTGTGTCAGAATTGCATGAGGCTTGCATTGAAAGCGGGTTCAATGGTGTTTTTGAGGCGAATTCAAATATGATGACATGGGCGTTGGGATAATTTGCTAGTATATAATCACATGAGAATAGCATGATGTAGTTTAGCGGTTTTTCTTTTACCAGTAATTTTAGACTTTTGCATCGTTTGTATTCCCACGTCCACTTTTCAGTCATTTTTGAGCTTCTTTCTTTTTTAACGAAAAAATTCATGGCTTGTTGATTTTAACCAAGTCGATAGCTTTCAAGTATCAGATGCTAGTCTAATTCGTATATTGATCGAATAACTTTGTAGAATCTCATTTGAACATTGATGTTCTCTACTACCCGTAACATATATACACAACCGGTCGTACTTAAGCTCTTCTCCCCCCCCCCTCTTTCCACCCAACTATAGTATATACAAGCGAAATCAAGTACTCCCCACAAACCCCAACCCCAACCCCAAGCCCACATTTACAACCCAATCAACTCAACAGCATCAAAGCTGACAGCCGGACTCAAATACCCCGCGGCCGTCTTCCCCGAAATGACCGTAATCTTGAGGATCTGATACTCCCTCGCACTCGCGACCCACGCACTGGCCGGAACGTCAAACTCATAGACATAGTTATTCCCTCTATACGTGCCGACGGTCAAACTGCGGGTATCGCCCTGGCCCTTATCGGCGGGTAGTTTCGCAGCCCAGGCATTGACGGCGACGGTCGGGCGTCCGCCAGCCTGGCCCTGCGTGACTCCGACTCTGATCTTTGCTCCGCGCGCGAGCTGGGCGTCGGTAAGGCGAAAGTAGACGAGGTAGTCGTTATTGATGTCCTTCCAGATGTACGCTGGGAAGCCGGAGATGGGGGTCGTGCCGATGATGAAGTTTCCCACCTTCCAGTTTGCGAGGCGCGAGTCGGACGGGTGCATGTAGGTGGGCTTCATGGGGGTGTCTTGGAAGTTGAGGAAGCCGCGTGGAGTGCCGTCCCAGTCGCCGATGCGCCAGATGGCGGGGGTGTCGTTGGGGTCGACAAGGGTGATGGTGTTGCGGGTTGCGGTCGAGCCGGCGGCGATGGAGACGGTGCTGGTGTGGACTTCGAGTTCCTGTGCGAGATGTTGGTTAGCGGTTTTTTGAGGGGTGGAGAAGGGGGAAAGGGGAATGCCAGGACTTACGCCTTTGTAGACGGTCAGGGTGTAAGTGCCAGGCAGGGCGTTACCGATGCGCCAGGCGCCGGTTGCAATGGTCCAGTATTGGGCTTGATCATTTTTGAGGCCCACGACGTACTGGAAGCCGCTCTTCATGTTGGCGAGGCCGACGCCGGCAACGGCACCGCGGCGGCTGGCGGGAACCCAGTCTTCAATTTCGAGCGAGTCGAACCAGTCCCAGTTGGCGTTGCGGGAAAAGAGGTTGTGGTTGGGTGCTGCGCCGTTGTCGGTGAAGTGGAGCACTGAAGGGCCTTGCAGGCCGAGTCGCATGGGGTCGGTGTGGCCTGTGATCGATCAGTCAAGGTTTAGATGAATGGATTGTGACAGTCTGCTAACCCATGTTGTACTGGTAAATGTCGTAGAGATCCGGACCTCCATCACCGCCGCGACGTATGAGACTTCTGAAGAAAGGACCTCCAGACGCCTTCTCATGGTTCGAGCGGATCAGGTACATGCCAACGTTATTGTTGGTGTAGCCGACATAGTCGTAGTCAATAGTGCGACCATACTTTTTTCCAGAGTAATGCTTCGACCATGTCTGACCATTGATGCCGTTGATATCACCAGACTCGATAGCCGGTGCACCGTTGGGAACCCAGTCAGTATCTTCGTTGACATTGTTCGTGAAGATGTTTGCAGGGATGCGAACAATGTAACGTGACACGGTGATGCTCGTGTCTCTCTTGTTCATGAAAATGTACACATTCGGGTTTCCATAGCGAAAGACGAGCGTATGGGTGAGTGTTCCAACTTTCATGGTAACTTTGATGATGTTGGCTGGGGAAGTGTACTGCTTGATAGTGACAGTGCCGGGTGCAAGTCCAGACTCGACGTGCGAGTTCTTGCCATTCTGGCCATTGTACTCGACACCGCGGTACTTGATCGAAGTCAAGTCGGCATTGGATTTGCTGACTTTGACCACCAGGTTAGCGTTGGTATCAATAACATAGTTCTTCCCATCATCCGTGTAGCCCCAAGCCGCAAAGACAGCAGTCGGGGCAAGAAGCAACGCCGTGAAGGCGGCGAGACAACGCATCTCGGTTGGGCTGCAGCCAACAGAGAAAGAGAGCGAGAATAGCGAGGCCGAAAGGGATAGTTAGGCAAGCAAATTGCCAATCCGGTGGCCCTTAGAAAGAAAAGTCGAGCGAGCGGCACATGGCTACCTTTTCACGGACAAGACGACACTTTTGTACCTCTCTTCCCCATACTATATCCACAACGAGGCCCTTCATTACCCACACCTGCCAAGTCTCCTAACAAGGCCCGAAAAGATTGGAGGACTTTAAGTACATACACAGTATGTAGCCCTATACATGGATGTTCTCTCTGCACAAAGAAACAACCCCACATGTCAAAACTCGCCATGGGGTCACGGCGGAAGAAATGCCACAACAAGGTTAACACCACCGTCTGACAAGCACCCTCACAAAGCGCTGTGATTGGTGGGGTCCCACACGTCGTTGTTTCGGCGCGCAGCCAAGTGACAAGAAATTAACCCCTCCCCCGGGCATTTATTTCCAAAGGATTTTTAAAACATTCCTGTACGTACTGTGTGTGCATGTGTAAAATAGTGCCAGGCCAACTCGTCATGTGGCCCCCCTCCCTGTGCAAGCGAACAGGTTTACTACGTAGTAGGGGCGCAAAATAAAATGCAGACTCCGGACCATAGGCACGAAACGGGCAGGTACCAAGTCCCGTTTTCGAACATCGAGGCTGGCATAATTTAGATTGATTGCTGGCTTTTCGATAAGCAAAAGCAAAAGGCGGGAAAAAGGATGCTTGCCAAGGTTGCACGTGGCGTGTTTGCATGGGGTGGGGGGAGGGGGGAGGGGGTTTGCGTGATTTGGGGCTTTTTTCTTCGGAGTAGATCTTGTCCGCTGCGAGTCTTAGATGTGTGTGTGTGTGGGGGGATGGGAAACTGGGGATATGTCTGTATCGGGATCTCTTTGGAGATTGAAATGGATTTTTTATCCTTCAAACTTCGCCATGTTAGCAGCTTCCTAAAATACACTGTTAGTGAACTAAAAGCACATTATAGGTACATGTGTCTGTTCTATCCGTGCGCTTCAACGAACGCACAACCCCCCCCCCCCCCCCCCCCCCAGCCACAAAAGCCACGAGGAAGATTCACCAGTAACGAGTGCAAGAAGGTGTGTCTTTAGGGCGTTAAGAAGAAATTAACATTAAAAAGGGGATGGAGATGCGAACAGGACAGGGTCCTGTAGCAAACTTCCAACAAAAGCCGTCAAGCTCATGGAAAAGTTCCTTCGGCACCACTTTGTGCAAATCACAAACGTTTCCACCCTTCTTCTTCCCCTAATGGAAAAACATTACAAGCTAAAAACTGGGGTATGTGTGCGCACCTGAACCTCCCTCGTATCCTGTTAGGCGACCGTAGTCGCCTGAACTCATACATCAAATCTTAATCATGAAGAAAGGAAAAAAACGCCGGATAGAAATCAAGTATGAACACGCCTTTACGCGAAAAATTTTCATCAAAATGATATTTACCTGCGAGGCGATCGGTCAATCGACATGCGGGCTGCTGCAATCTCCATGGAGAGGCGGGGAGCGCGGTCCATGGATTGACGGAGCTGGTAGCTCATGCGCCAGTCAAGAGGGAGACGGCCTTCGTTGGTGGTTCGTCGAGAGGCATGGCCAATAACGACGTGCATCTCGAACTTGTCGAGACCAGTTTTCCTCAGGTAGGCCTCGTACTCTTGTGACTTGGAAGCCCGCTTCATCCATTCCTCGCTCTTGGCGGATGGGTATACTACGCGCACGAGGGGCTCGGCACCGCGGAATCGGTAGTACTGTCGGATGTCGTCGTGGGGGAAGAGGTGGAGGTCAATCCTCTTCATGGGTCCGTTGATAGCCTCGAGCCAGTTCTTGTTGCTGCCGTCGGCGGCAGGGAGGAGCTTGTTCAGCTCGTCGACGATTTCTGAGATGCTCCTGAATACAACGCCTTCGGTCGAGGTGAAGCGGCAGTCGGTTCGGCCAGCGTGGACAAGGCATCGGAGAAGTGGGAGGAGGTCAATGGGCTCCATGTCGAAGCAGGCAGCATCGATATCCATGGAAACCTTGGCATTGAGGGTTTCTACCTTGGACAGGTTGGCCCTCTGGCCCCACAGGTCGATGATGTACTCGGTCTTGCGCGCGTACACAGGCAAGAACTCGTTGCGGATGTCCCGGCACACCTGGGTAAGGTTGTAGAATTGACGGCGCTGCGCACGCGCAGATTCACCATCACGAAGCACCAAGGCAGGGTCATCAGAGCGGCACATCCTGATAGGACCATCCTCGTTCATCTGCTCGTAGATCTTGTTTCGTACCTCTGCGTACTATTAGCATTTTTCTCCATCATTTGTTCACGAGACGAACGTACCAGGAGGCATGTTGAGGAAGGTCACGGGTGTAGTCCTCTTGCTAGCGGCCGGGAGTTGCCGGACCACAATTTCGGGTTCCGGGATAGATGGCACCAGTTCCTCAGATGCCGGGAGCGAGATTTCCTCTGGTTCAGGAATGACGGGTTGGGGAATGACGGGCTCAATCTCGGGTGTCGCACTACGGACGGACACAATGTCCGCATGTTCCGGCTCAGGTGTTACTGGTCGGATGGTGGGGGTCACGATGGAGACGTCTGGCTCAGACACAGGCTCAGGTGCAAGCTCAGGTGTTGCTGAGCGAGCAACTGGTGTAGAGTTCCAAGGCTCCTGCTCAGGAGTCGCACAGCGAACAGGTGGGGTGATGGTAGTGGTCTCAAACTCCGGTTCTGGTTCAGGCACAGACGCAGTCTTCTCTGCTTCTTCCGCAACAGCAGAGGGCATGGCAGTGACGAGGACTCGTTGCTCAACAACCCATCCAGCACTCGGCTTGGCCTTCTCTTGTACTACAAACATGTCCATCTTATCTTCTGCCGAATCATGGTGCCGGCTGGTAGACGTCGGTCGAACATGTGGCTGTTGGGTGCTGGGAGTGCGGGCAGCATCTCCTCGTTTGTCGGCGGGCTCGTGGATGTCGACATGCAAAGTTGCTTTTTCGTCAATGGGTGGGAGCGCAAGTGTTGGTGTAGCAGTTTCATGCGTGGCAGGCTCGGAGGTTGTGTCGTTGGGATCCAATGGAGGCTCGCGCGCCTTTCTCGTCCTACCGCAACTAAAGAAATCGGACAAGGCAGCGACAAAGGCCATGACTGCTCTCCCTCCGACGCGTGGAAGCGTAGGGATGATTGAATAGTAGGAGGTGGGCGACTTGAGTGAAAGCTAGAAAAACCGCGGCTATGGAATCCGGGGCGCTTGGTAGCTATTATGTGCTCGCCTCTTGCACCTAGAGGATCAAGGACTAAGTCATTTGAATTGTTTATGAAACGGAATGGGCAAATGAAGTTGTAGATGTGCATGCTATTATGCAAGGGTGACTGGGGCAGCGCGTCCGTGCTTTACCCCTGATCAACCATATCATCTCCACCCGCCGTGATGCTTTATCTTATCGACATGTGACGTGATACTTTGCGTGCACGAAGACCTGGTGTCACTTGTGTTGCATTCTTCAAACCCATATGCACTGAGGCAAGAGTACGCACAATAGCATGTCTTGTATACACAGCTGTCGCAAGGTGCTGGGCAGGAGAAGGGCCTTCCTCCACGAGTCCATTCCAGCGCCATTGGGCTTACTAGCAGCGAGCGGAGCATTCAGCTAGCGCCCTCCCAGGGTGCATGCATGCGGACTAAAGAAATTTCCGGCCGACTCCTTCTCCGCGCGACTCTTTGCAAACGATGCATAAAGTTGTCGCTAGATCGTGAACGCAAAGGCTTTCCCCTCTCTGCTAGTACCGAACCATGTCTATTCACCCAGCATGACTCGTACACAGAGATTGCGTCTACGCTTCAGGCAATTGACGCTGCCTTGGCTGACCTTTGGGACCCCAGTTTACGTCATTCTCGAGGTTGCTGCCCATGCACGCACTCCCAATCCGTGTCTTGTGCTCTTGCATCTCGTGTTGACGCCTTTTAGATCCGGCAATTTGTAAATTGAACACGACGATCGTGGCCTTCATACGAGCTTAGTGGATGGCAATGGTTTTCCTCATGGTCAGCACGTGGGAGACCCCGATGCTAGCGCCTAAACCCCCTACTACTACCACGACTAGGATTGTGGCTGTTGAAACCATGGGTCTCTTTAGATCCAGAGCACATTGGCGAGGAGCGATAAGCGGCGATAACTGAGCGAACTGTAAACTTCTGTTAGCGGGTGACAAACCTCGCTTCAGCACTGTTAGTCCTGCGACCTGCAACCAGTTCATGTCAGCTGTACGGTTAACTCGTATATCCCCAGACTCCCAGCCAATCCCTTTCTATCGCTTCCACACCTCAATCCGAGATAAACATTCAAAGTCCGTTTCGTGTATGAGCTGATCTTCTCGGTACCCCAATTCTTCGTTACTCTAGACAAACTTACAGATAAACCTCCGAAGAATCGCCTCCAGAATCTCGCTTTTCACCCCAACCGGCTTTTCCAGGACGGATCAGTGTAACACGAAGCGGGAGGTTCGAACCATAGCAGAACGCGGAGTAAAGCGATATGGGATGAAAAGTAAATCGTGCAGCACAACAGACGTGATACCAGGTACCTGGGTGTACTACCATGGCTTAGTCATGATAAACTTTAGCCTTATTCATGTACCCATGCCCCTCTCATCCTCTCCCTTCCTGTCCTTTCCCACTCCTCCTCTCTGCATGATCATCTCAAAATCACCCAAAAAGAAGCAAACAAATATACAGGCGCAATCACATTGCATTGACCTATCAGCGCACTATATGTAGAGCGTATGAGTAGTGAGTATTTATGCCAAGGCGCTATCGCCAAATCAGATCGTAGTGCGAGCTGGACTGGAGATATGGAACCCAACATTTGATAGATATTGCAATGCATGCTCCAATATATTGCTCCAAACTGACAGAAAACAACCTCGTGACAAAAATTCAATATCTTGGTTCGCCGAAACCAGTCGGCTGGTAATAAAGTATGCTATAGAGAATACAGTATGCTACAGTGAAGGGTATCTAGGCGATGAGCAAATTACAACAAAATGTGAAGCTTTTGTATGTGCCCCTCCAAATTTCTCCCTTGATTATTCTTCGCTTCTTTTTCCGATTGCCTTGCTCTGAATCTATTTTTTTCCTTGATCCATGGTGCAGCTGCCGCTTCGCCCAGTTATCCTGGTAAGGCGGGCTGTGCAGGGCGCCACAATCTAAATTGCCAAGTATGCATAATGCTTGTCGCAAAGACTCGGGTATGCGGCTCGTATTTGCTTAGACAGATTCGGTAGTGTCGACACGTGAATATATAGGAGAGCGAGTCGTCTTCCAGACAGCAAACTTCCTGACGGCAAAACTGTGCAGTATGAGTATTCATGCATATATCGGCGAACAATCAAGTCTTCAATGCTCCCAAATGTCTATTGCGCATCTATGGTATAATTGTGACTGAGTGAGATATTGACTTACTATACGAGGAACAGCACGAAAATAACGATGAAGACGTTCGCAATGGGATGCGAAATGGTCTGGTGCAGCATGCTCTTCGCATCCGATGTCCTATCGCCAGATTCGGCCTTCCTAGCGAGATCAATGACCCATTCGGCTGCCTCGTCGCTGTAGCGTTCGAAATAGTTCAGGTGCTTGGACATGTCCTTGTTATCGGTGTTAGGGGCGCAGATGGGGTCGCCTGGCTGGCAGTATTCGCGAAGGATGCCAGCATCAGCGTAGGGCTGGAGGCCTGCAAGCTGTTCCGCTGTTCGAGGAGCACTGCCATCTGAGATTTGGCCACCGCCGTGGGTGTAAGACTGGTTCGCGGAGCGCCGTGTGGGGCCAAAGACAAGTGCAGCTGCGACTGGAAAGGAGTTAGCATATGAAGCAGAGGCAGATCATACGGGCGACACATACTCTTTGAGCCTGGAGGACTGGTGATGTTCATGCTTGGATTCGACTTTTGTTCGCACCCCCAGAGAGGACCACCACCACCACCGAGGACATCGAGCATGACACTACCCCCCTGACTAAAACCCATGACAATCAGGTGGCTGTTTGGACACCTTTGGGTGTAGTTTCTCATCTGCTCGGCGCCGTTCATGGCACCCTCGTGCGATGATATGCACCACTTCTCTCCACCGTTCATGGCCCAATACTGGACATCCTCATAGCCGCAGGCCTTTGGGTTCTCCTTGGTGTTGAGGGCATTGCAGACCTTGCCGACCGTCTCGATGACGTGGCCTGGGTAAGGAGAGGTAGAGCCGCGTGCGAGGAAGTGGTGGAACGTCTGGCATTCGTCCGTCTTGAGAGACTCAAACTGAGGGCAATCTTCGAGCTTGGTGCACACAGCAAAGGCGGTGCTTGCGTAGAGAAGCGCCGACAGGGCAGTCCGGGGTATCATTGTGGGTGTATGTGGAGAGGAGTAAAGAGCGACTGGGAAGCAACGGCGCAAATGGCGGATGGTAGGACAATATTGACGACGGACAGAGCGCAAAAAAAGAAATGGGGGCCGCAGGCTGGGTCGATCAACAATACGCGCTCGATCCAAACGATGGAAAAAAAGACGGAGCGGACAACGGCAGCGGGTGAGGGGAGGGAAGAGAGGGCGGAGACGGGTTCCAGCTCGCCTCTGTTTCGTCTTTTCGCATCTGGTCAGTCTGGGGGCGGGTTTTGATATGCCAAGCAGGGAGTAGCCGAGCTTGCTGCTCCTTGAAAGCCTGCCTTGGCTCCTGTCTGTTGTCTGCTGTCTACCAGTGGGAGAGGGCGATGACGACGATTGGGGGCCCACGCGGCTTGGCGTCTCCCATCCGGAACGACGGGTGCGAGAGGAGTGACGCAAGCCAGGAGGCCCCAGCCACGCCTGCGCCCACAACAGCATTGCTCTACTCAGCAAGCCCAGTACACGCAGTCGGCGCAATGCTCTTCAACTGGGAATTTGGCCCCTCTCCTGCATACTGCGTACGCGCTGCTCTCACACACCTATACATATCTGTCCATGGCGTCCGGCGCTGTGTGGCTTTGGCTGCCCGCTTCGGGCATGCGATGTCGGGAAATCGGCAGGGCTGGCCTTGGCGCTTGACTCACGTGAACGCACAACCTTCTCTCCTCTGCCGTCTTGCACATCCACTGCTATCAAGGAGATTATCATCCACGCTCCCCCCTCCCCCAGCCAGCTCCTATCTCGATATTCACCACACATATTCTTCGGCGATCGTCTCTTTTAATATGTTCTGGTTTCGGAAAAACGGCCTTTCATCTCGCTTGACGTCTTGTGCTTGCCACTCGAGAGCAATTGGAGCCGTGAGAAAAGATGCCACCGCCACAGAAACACACGTCCCATGCAACACCTCAACACTGCCACATACGACTCTTATTCGCGCGCTTTACTAACTATGCAGCCAGTGTGTACTACACGTCCCTGAATGTGCCTGCCCCAGAGCGATAAGGGGATGCTTTTTGGAGCCAGAGCTCTCCATTCTTTTGTTCCAAATGTGGATCTATGCCTCCCTCACGCGACTGCCGCTTGGCTTCTCCATCAAGATCAAGGTATTTTGAGGGGTATCCCAACCTGGGAAACCAATGGCTGTTGATACAGCGCCGTTGCCTCGCCTAGTACCGTTAACAAGCTCTGGAAAGACTCTCGGCGTGCCCGCAAAAGTACCACGTTTGGCACCCACTACGTTCGCTGTGACCGGGTGCGAGGCCACCCTAAGGTCAGCGGTCGCTGTTTGTCTCTTTCCAACCCTCACTAACATGTCCTTGGCACTCAGATGCCTCACTTCTGACTGGGTGAACATGCACATTTGTCCTGCGCCAATGTTTGATCGCGTAAAAATTTGCCTTCAAGGGCAATGCAACATCCAGGCATCGGAAATGTCCTTGTCAGACCCATCTTCGCTTCATCTTCTGGAAAAAAAATAGCGCACCGGAAGTTGTTGGTGCCCCTGGCATTCCCGAAGCCATCTCCTCTCGTACACGGTCTCGAGTCTGGCATATTGTGCGGGTATGAGACTGAACCCATAAGGCGACCAACCAGCGTACTGCTCTTGCACAGCCAAACCATGACGACGGCCAACCTCGGGAACCAAGGCCGGCCTGCTTCGGCGCGTATCATGGTGTGCGGCTCTCGCTAGTGCGGTCACTCCCGAAGAAGATCAACGTCAGACGTCACTGGGACCCTTTCTCCGCATCACCACGTCTCTTGACTTGACCATGGGGTCGACTGCATGGGGCTGTTGGGCAGCGTTTCAAAAAGCTGCGGGTCGATTCGACGTTGCGAATTACAATGCTAAGCAGTTATTCTTTTACTAAAAGCTTCGTTTGCACGGCTTCTGGCGAGACCCACATGCCCTAAGTGGATATACGGACCACCAGTCTCCACGCCGTGAGAAAGACCCTGTTATTTTCACTATCTGGCCATTGGCGCACAGTCCCGATTAGGGATGCAACCTTTCCGCGACACGCTACGACAAGCTACAGTCCTTGGTAGTACGTAATTCACCAAGTCCTTGGGCCTCTCCACACTGTGCCGTAGCATTTAATCTCGCTCCTTACTTGTATTCATAACTTCTTCACATCTTCACACCTTTCCAGCACCATCAATTCAACCCCAATCTTTGCCAATTCCTTCGTGCTTCTTTCCGCTAGACCCATTCCTCCAACTCTGTATATGCAGACATAAGTGCTTGATTGCCTCTTGAATCATGGACGGGAAACCTCTTGCGTCTGCCCATGTCAACTTTCCCAAGCAACAAACACATGATGTCAACGACAAGCCCAAAGCTACTGACGCTCCCCCGATATCCGCCCAGCGACCCACAGTCACCCTTGCAGCAGACCCGACACACGATCCAGAAGACCCTTTGCAACATAAGACCATAGCAGACTCTGAAAAATTCGATTCCGCGTCATCTCAAAACGACACAAACCTAGGCGACGTCGCGGATATTCGAAATGCCAGCATCTCCCCCAACGGTAATTCTGCCAAGAAGCTGAACACGACCCAAACCGTCATCATCTTCATGACAAACGAGATTGGAATTGGCATTCTGTCATTACCCAGTGCGCTCAACACGCTTGGCTTCTTCCCCGGCATCGTGGCCATTATTGGTATGGGCATGCTCAGTCTGTATACTGCTTACAACCTGATTCAATACTGGCGAAAATATCCTTATATGCTGAACATTGTTGACTACGGGCGTGTCCTTGGTGGGCCCTGGGTTGAAGCTGTGTTTGCCATTGGCTTTCTCATCAACATGGCGCTCATCAGCGCGTCGGCTGTCGTCACCATCTCCATCGGTCTCAACACGATTAGCGAGCACGCAACTTGCACGGTTGCCTTCACGATTGTCGCGGCCGTCGCCATGTGGGCTATGTGCGTACCTCGGAGCATGCGCTTTGTATCATGGGCCTCGTGGCCTTGCACATTCTCCATCTTCACCGCCGTCCTGATGGTCATGATCATTCTGGGCGTCCAAGGCCCACGGAACCCCGAAGCGGCGCTCAATCTCAAGGCTATCGGCAGCCCGACTTTTACGCAAGCTGTTTCTGCATTCCTCAACATTGCATTTGCTTTTAGCGGTAACCAGGCATTCCCGACAGTCTTGGCGGAAATGGAGAACCCCTCGCGCGACTACCCCAAGGCCATCATTATCGAGAAGTGCGTAACGACAGCCATTTACGCGGTTGTTGCTGCAGTCGTGTACGCACTATCTGGCGAGCAAGTCGCATCACCCGCGCTCGGCTCGCTTCGTCCCGTCATGGCCAAAGCCGCGTACGGAGTCATCTTCGTGGGGCTCTTGGGCACTGGTCTTATCTTCGGTAAGAAACTCTTCAGGAAGCGCATTCGACTTCATACTAACATTTTCTCTCAGGCATGACAGCAGCACGCTACCTCCACGTCTACTTTGTCCGCCAAGTCAGCATCCGTCAATCCAAGCAAAACAAAACAGGCACCATTGTCGATATCACCTCCAACTCCAACAACTCCAACCGCCGCCGCGATCCCATCGCCGTCGCAGATGTCGGCAAAAGGACTGACTGGTTCCTTTGGATCTTCTCCGTATCCCTCTTCTGGGTCATCGTCTGGATCCTCGCCAACGCCATTCCAGTCTTCAGCTCCCTCCTCAACATCTCCGCCGCCTTGCTTCTCTCTTGGTTCACCTGGGGTGTCACTGTCCTCTTCTGGTTTGACCTCAACAAAAACGGCAAGTGGCGCTCCAGCGGCAAGAAGATTGCAACTGCCGCTTTCAACATTTTCATCATGTGCGTAACGCTGTTCATGGTAGGGCCCGGCATGTATGCTAGTATTGCTGCGTTGATGAATACGTTTGCGACGACAAAAGTCAATGGGGCGTTTACTTGTGCTGATAATAGTATTTTGTAGTTGTATATATTCTACTTGAGCGCTTCTGCCCTTTTCTGCGTTTGGCTTGGGAGATTGTGCTAGATGATTTATTTTACGTTGTTTTGAATAGACGAATATACGATTCATTTCCTGTTATCACTATCATTCTGATGAAAGTCATTGCTTATACAGCATGGACCTTGGTATGCAATGCACACGATTGGTAAAGCCTTCTTTGGCATCGGGATTGAAAGAGTGGATCTTACTCATGATGTTTATATACAAACGCTACACCATTGCGCTGGTTGAACGGCAAGTCACGGAACAATGCAAAAGCCGGACTTAGCATGGGTCTTGCTGGTAATCGGACAGAAGACGGGTGGTCGGCACATGAAGATGCAACACTATCTGGCTCCTGGTATTGCTGGTCTCAATTGAGGAGAGGGTGATGCAAGATACGTGTATAACATGTAGGTTACTATCTTGTGCCGGGTTGTCGGCAGGTGGGGCAGGCGTTGGGTGACGTGCTTGCGTCATAGCAGCTCGGCTTCTGGCAGAAAGTGGTTGTACAGCTTACCATCCTCCAACGTACCACATCGAATTGAAAATGTCGGGCGCGTTTGACAAACTGCTAGCCAAGGGCAAAGCGAAGCTCTCTGAGTTTACGGGCCCATCTTCCGGCGGCCATCACCAGCAAGGCTATCCGGGCCAGGGCTATCCAGGCCAACAACATCAGCAAGGTTATCCACCACCTCAAGGCTACCCTCCACCTCAACAGGGCTATCCGCCACCAAGCCCAGGCCAGTACTCTGGCGCTCAGTATCCTCCACAGTATCCGCCGCAAAACCAACAATGGGGTGCACCTCCACAGCAACAGCAATGGAATGCCCCTCAACAACAGCAATGGGGTCCGCCGCCGGCGCAGCAACAACCCTTTGCACCACCACCCATCCCACACGGAAGTAAGCCGCACACACCACAGCCCGGCAGTCCCCCGCCTATACCTCAGAACCGCCCTCCGTCTGCGCAACCGCCGCCGCCACAGAACATTCCCCCACCGTACACCGAGAAAGTATACTGGAGGCCATCCTTCGACAAGTCCACCCCCGTATCGCAAAACTTCCGCCACGAAATCGGCGACCACGGCTGGGGTAACAATGAGAAGCAAATGTACACCGACAGCCCCGAAAACTCCTTCCACCACGACAACCGCCTAATCGTGCGCGCCCTAGTCGGCCCCGACAAATGGACCTCCGCTCGCCTAACCTCTCACCAAACCCTCTCCCGCCCACGCGGCTACCTCTCTGCAACCTGTCTTCCACCCTCTGCCCCCGGCATCTGGCCTGCCTACTGGATGCTCCCCGCCGACCCCTTCAAATGGCCCACAGACGGCGAAATCGACATCGCTGAGAGCTGGAACGCCGAAACAGAAAATCACTCATGTCTCCACTGGGGCTCCTACACGGGCGAAGACGCCCAGAAACACCGTGTCGTCAAGACCTCGCTACACGATCTCGCCCACCAACCACATACCTACGGCTTCGCATGGATTGAAGAGGAGGGTATCCCCGGGTGGAGAGGCCGTATGATTTGGTATATTGACGGCAGACCGGTTATGAAGGGGAGCATACCTGAGGGAACGAGACGGATGGAGGATTTTAGGATTTTGATTAATATTGCCATGGGGGGTACGGTTAATCAGGGCAAATTGCCCGCAGAGGGGTATTACGATTTTGTGATTAGTGATCTTAAGATGTGCGAGGAGCCTGTGGGTGGGTGGCATGCGTTTGAGAGAGATTGGGCGTGTACGCCTGAGGGGAAGGCGTTGTGAAAGTGGTGTGTTTTTACTCTATCCTCATCATCATACATTGTAGACTTCAATCTTGAAAATAATATCTTTTTTTTTTCGATTCACTTGGTGTATGTTTTCTTTTTGTTATTTCGTGGTCCAGTCTACCTAGACCTTACACGAACTTTTTACCTCGGTTCATCTCTTCTCTCTCTCTCTTTTTCCCTTTTTTTTTCTTTTTTCCTTTTCGCAAAAAATTGTCCATGCTCTGCTTTCTCTTTATTTATTTATTTTTCCTTTTTTTTTTTCTCTTTTGCCCTAACCCTCATTTCCTTTTTTTTTGCCCCCCACCACCAAAATGTAAATCATCCTCGGGGATATCTTCCCTTGAAATTCTCCTCCGTTCATGGTTGGGCCTTGAACAGGCTGATACAATCAAACGCCCACTTTCTTTTTTTTTCCTTGCACAGTAATGTAAAAAAAAAAGCAAGAATCACGATCGCGATTGATCGTCGATATGCACGCGTGGGATGTGGGTTTGGGGGGAAAAAACGTGGCGATATGGAACGTGTGGGTCGCAGCAGCGCCTGGGGAAAGAAGGGGAGGGGGGCGAGACCTCATGCTTCCTTTGTTCTTTGGCTTTACTTTTTTTTTTGCCATGATATCGAGGGTTTTGACCAGACGGGAAGATGGGGGGGATGAGCGAAAGATGAAGACAACGGGGTGGGAACTGTAGTTGGATAGCTGATGATGCGGTATCTTGCAAAGTCAGTAGTCGTTAACGAGTCAGATAATGCATCTATTCTCGTAACCATCACTCTATACTAAGTACACGCATACTTCCCTCCTCAACACCACCATGTCGAACTCCCCCTTACACCCCCACACCCCCGGCCCCTCCGTCCTCCGCCTGACTTCAGTCCAGCCGCGCCGCCGCCAATACGCGCCGTTGAGATCGTCAGCGACGAGGAGCCAGAGCGTCACTTTACCTTGCGCGCTCCCACAAGCACGCGTCCTACACAGATGATCCCCCAGAAACCCTACCAGCCGACTCGCAAGCCCCCGCCCAACGAATCTCTCATGCACACAGACTGTTTTGATCTCCCAGCCAGACTCGCAGGTGGAACCTTCGCCGTGCCAGCCACCCTTCCAGGGAACAGCTGCTGCACAGGCTACTATCTCCTTCCCTTCCTCTTCTTGCCCCCCCTCCGCGTCTTCCGACTTGGTTTTGCGGCTGGAGGAATATATAACAGCAACCGTACTCTGCTCATCACCTACCATTTTGCATAGCTCGTCTGGCGAGTCGAAGCGCGGTATAGTAGTATCCCATCTCGGGTCTGAGGATGCTGAGCGATAGAAGGCAGAGTTTATGAGGGTGGTTAGGGCGGTGGAGAGGGTGGGGGTGGATTTTATGGTTGAGGAGGTGTAGAGAGTTGGTTGGGAGAGAGAGGTAGTGGTTGAGGACATGCTGTAGGATTGGTATCGGAGAATTTGGTGTGGGGGATACAGAGGCAGAGAAGGGTTTAGAGAGGGTTTTTGTACTAGATGAGTCATCAGAGAGTTTTTCCCCCTCCAGATGGAGAATGTCGTTACTTGACTTTTGAAAGGGTGTGATCATCAAGATACGCACCTTCCTGTTTTGAACTGGTCGTAAGTACTCTCTCTCTCTTGTTTTGCGCTCTGGTGGGAAGTTCATAGTGAAGAAAGCGGAGCCATTCTGCATTACAACACAAGACCCTTGAATACTGTGACATGGATTTCATTACTACATAACAAACAAATGCTTTTGAGCGAACAAGCGAGACTGGAAACTTGGTATAGAACAGGAAAAAAACGAAAAAAAGCCCACCCATGATACCCCATGTGGAGAGAAATATCAAAGAGCCAGCCTAGATTGATACAAACAAGAAGATTCATTGCGACAACAACCGGTGCTGGTGGCCAGTCCCAATGGACGACGTTTCGTAAACGTAGAACTTCAGGTGAGAGATGAGGTTTCGGATAGGAAGGATGACAGTGCGCTAGTGACATGATACATATTCGTAGAATGGGGCATGCGCTGCATGCGTCGTCGTCATCACCAAGTCTGCCAGCTTGGTCGATTGTGGCTTGATAGAGGTGGTGGAAGTGGTGTGGGAGCCCTCTGAAATGTCGCTTTCTCTACTACTGGTATAGGAAGGACCGGGCTCTTAGGAGGTTCTGCGACGGTGGGAGAAATAGGGTGTGCTGTCAAAGGCTCATGAGCAGCAAACACTGGTGACGTGGGGAGCGGTGGAATAGTACTGGGAGCGGTATTGTTGTCAAAGCTCCTTGGCGAGTATACACTCGATGTACCGGAATTGCGTGTGGTGTAGAGACCAAGTTCAATATCATCGTAGTAGTGATCGACAATGTTGTCATTGGTCATAGATGAAACAGGTCTTTCAGCAGGGCTTTCAGGCACGCTGCTTGCTGGCGAGTGATGAACCTGCATATCTTTTTGGACATGTACACCGCCGTGAGAGTCTACCGTCATACCGGCATGAGAGTCGAGGTATCCTCTTGTACTACGCATCCCACTTTCGTTTTCGGTTTCAAGTACAGAGCTTATCTTACTCCATAAGCTAGACTTGCTTGGCTTTGATGAGCCGTTCGGACTAGCACGGTCTTTGGAGTCGACCGGTGTCTTGGTTGGTGATCTTGACGTGAGCTTCTCCTGGAAGAAATGCTTGAAGAAGACCTTGAGGGCTGGCGCATTCGCGCACAGGCAACCAATGTGTAGCTCTAGGAGAGACGTGAGAAAAAGGTCGTACGTGGCCCATGTGATATCGTATGTGTCGTAAAAGGTGTACCAGCTGTAGTAGGCACGTAGTGCGCCCAGCGCAACGACGCCGTAACCCATGGCAAAGATACCGAACAATGCCAGTTTCTGTCGTAGGGGAATTTGGAGGTTCCAGTACAGAAATGTAGGCATGATAGCAGTGAGAAGATCCTGCGTCACCGAGATGATGCTGGCGGCGAGGACGTCGGCACCTTCATCAAAGCAATGAAACTCGTACCCTTGTAGTCTTTTGATGGGGTTAAACTGCTCCCAAAATGCCTCGACCGGTTGGCAGCCGACAATAGGAGCAATCGTCAGGGCGACGCTGTAGGCAATGATGAATGCAATCGTAACCCAAGTTGTCCAGAAAAACCCCCGTGATACCACACGGGATGACAGTCGGCGATAGAACAGGAGGATAGATACCTTGACCAGCCCGGTAGCGCCGCAAAAAATAGTCTCGGCCGCCAAGACGTATTTTCTGGCAATGACCACGCGCTGTGGGTCGGTAAAAGCATCCAGATCCCAGATGTGTCTGTCGAATGCCTGCTTGGTCGCTGACATGTGTTAGACGTGTTTTATTTTCAACGGGAATACCCAACTTACCGAGAGGATACAGAACTGTCAAGGCAATTGTAGGTGGCTACAACAGTCAGCATAGAAGAGTAACGGGGTTAATGGAACTGACCATAGATGCCAGCATCAACCAATCGTCCACTCCTGCACTCTTCTGGTGGTATAACCTGACCCATAGTCTGACGAGACACAAGCACACAGTGAGTGGTCCCAGGACATAGGCCAGTATGAGGATAGCGTCTGATCGCAGCTCTGGATTCACATAGTTGGGGGCTGGCCAGCTCTGTGTGACCTCCAGAGGAGGGTGAAGTCCACCAGGCATTATGAGAAGAAAGAAAAGATGCTCTGCTAGTATGTTTGAGATGTTTGAGGTGTAGCAGAGTTCAGTGACGTTTTCTTTTGAATGAAGGCATGCCTCCCATATGTGCCTGGTGGCTTTGGCCAGCCAAGAGGTCTGAGTAAGGGACGGGGCGTCGCAACAGCTTGACTAGGGCTTTGGAAAAGTGGATGGACTACAAAAAAAGAAAATAAAGGGCCCAACCAATGCATAATACCATTGAATAACCCACCACGGTAGCATCCCGCATGACCGGTACTTGAGAGAATTGCCAGCTTTGGAGTCACTTGCATACACTAGCCCGTAACGCGGAGATCCCATGTAAGCTATATGTCGCTCAGGGCTCGGGTTCGCATGAGGATTTCTAGTCGACAGGATCATGCCATCAGTCGCCGACCTCTGGTATGCCCACCGAGAAGGATGTGCTCAACGTGCCAAAGAGATGTCTCGACCGATTGATCGGTGAAAAAAACAAGGACGACAGTGGAGATGAACGGGTGTGATTTTCTTCATTTGTCGAAGTTGCTGACGCATGATTGCTTTTTTACACAGTAGATTTCCACCATGGTTTGGGTAGAAGGATGTCGGTCCTCAACCCGCAAAGGCATTGGAATATCTTCTGCCATCTACATGTTTCTCTTACCATGAGGGGTCTTGAGTCAGTGCACCATGTTTGAGAAGTTTCCAATTTAGAAAGACCCATTGAGCGCCAGGATTTGGAAGCCGGCAGCGGCGCAAGCGAGGCTGATAGGGATCCGGAGGGCGGAAGTCGGACGCTCCCGCCAGTGTGGTCCTGGCCGTCGATTTGCCCGAGGTAGTGCCAAGCGCTGAATGAAATCTACTATTGCTCGAACCATTGCGGGCGTATGGGTTACACAGACCGGAAACGTCACTGCACCGTTCACGGGACATATAGATGCCAGATCCCTTATCCCCGGTTGCCGGTCTATACGTATGCACCTGCATCCAGATCGGGGACCCCCAAAGGACAGATGCCACAGTGACAGCTCTTGGCCCACAAAATGCGACTCTTTAGGTAGGGTGGCGGAAATGAACGGGCTGAAGGACATGTATGATTATGCACTGCAGAGAGGTACGAATCCGATTGATGCAGCTTGCGCAGCGATTGCCACGAAGGGAATTCTATTGCCGGGTTTGCAAACCTGAAGCAAGAAAAAGTAAAAAGACGCTGCCGTTAATTACGTGTAGACGTCCAGGCGTCCCAGCGCTCGTTGCGACGGGGGCCTAACTGCAGTGGGCTTGACAAGCGAGAGGCGTGGGTTGGGAAAGTGGGGGGAGGGCTGGAGGCAAAGTCAAAGTGACAGCTGTGTTGCAAAGGATGTTTCGAATGTTTAGTAGTTTCTAATTCATGCGATTGTGGACGTGGTTGATTTGTTGCCTGTTCTGTACGTCTGGACTCTGCCGAATAGGGTGTGCTCATGGTGATGCAGGTTGAAATGCGCAGGTGGACAATTCGTCTTGAGGGTACGTTATTGTCATCGGAAGAAGCCGCGCACTGCATGCAGCTCATACATGGGTGACTGACCTTTCTTCTTCTTTAAAGTTTTGGAGTATAGAAGGAGGTTAGAGTCCGGGATGTTCACATTTACGTGAGACGCCTGAAAGGGCCGGATAGCTGGCATTCCATCCGGAGAGGCAGAATACGCGTCCACTGGCCAGCATTTTGACATATACAACACACTTTATGACGTTTCGATAACAGCCATCAAAGCAAGCCTTGAAATCGTCGGGTCAGGTGTGGCTCTTGGTGCTGCAGGAACTTTTGCAAAGGGTATGGGCTTGTTCGTCCATGTTTGCTTTTGCTGAAACATGCCGGAGCACCGTTGACTAGCGCGCATTTGACAGCTGCCTGCCGACATGAACTGGGCAAATGCGTCAAAGCTTCGGATGTAGCCACCCGCTACTGGAACCGTTTACGGGGCAAAAAAAACATGTATGCTTTGGTATAGAAGCACGGCTGGCCCCTAGCACATGTCGCAGGTTCGTAATGAATTGAAATCACAAGACTTTGCTTTGTCGTATAAGAGGCGGCGGCGAGACTCCGCTCTGGTCATGATGCCAACGGGAAGTAGTATGTGCAGCGTCGCATCACAAGCTGGAGGTGACGACTGCTATACGATGACAATGCGTCTTGCCCCATCTGCTCACATTGAAGGATTCGATTGATATCGGTGGCTGGCGTGCAGCGCGGGGGGGCGAACGGAAACCTTTCCGGCGTGGACCGAGTGCCAAAAGTGCAGTCTTGCGGGGCGCAAAAAGAAAAGTACTACATATAGAAGTATGTGGTATTGCCAACAGGCTGCGGACCTCGGTGACAGGTTTCGTTTTCGCCTGAGGGGATGGAAAGGGGAAGTGGATGCGGAGAAGGCGTTAGTAACCCCGTTGCTCTTCTAACCCGATGCCAGAACAGCCGGTAGCAATAGTTCCGGCGGTGCAGGCATCATGACAGCACAGAGGGAAAAGAACATGTTCTCAACATGCGTGGGTAGCCGTGTACTCTACCTGATGCGCCTTTGTGTGGGATGCTGTTGAACAATAGGCAAGTCGGCGACTAGACAGTCCAGGCTGGTTGAGGTGTTGCTACAGTACTGAGGACTAGGTAGCACAGCAAGTATATACATTGGTGCGTAACATGCGCCTAGTTTGGCCGAGTCGACATTAGAACAAAACAAGAGGGGTTGTCTGTGTGGCACTGTTATTAGTGACGGGTGGGGCGTTGTGATTGGACCGTGTTGGACAAGGCGTGTTCCGAGGAGCTTTGGATCTGCTAGGCGGTTGTTGTAGAAGGCTTGTGCACTCAGTACTTGTACACATACATCCATCCAAACGAGAAGACGGCATGCTGCGTAATCTCTTCGTCGATGGCGAGTCGGATCAATGACGGGCGCTGATGCACAGTGACGGCAGTGCTTTGGTGTTGAGGGGCTTACCAAGCATGTTGGAGGAGTGACGTATGTGCACGGCAAAGACTTTGTTCCTGTTGCGCCCGTTCTGCCCACCAAAAAACCTCCGCCGCGCCTCACCGCCTGCGCTCGGTCAGCCACTCATGGCTTACTCAGCCACACTTCCATACTCGAACCCAAACTTTTTCTGCTCGTTTTGGTGGTGACATAGCAATAGTCATGGCTAGCTCGACGGCACTGTTCAGCCCACGGATACATGCTCGAGTATATGGACAAGCTCTTTTTCCAATGGCCGGCTGCAACAATAGGCCCGTCAAGCTGCGATACCAGCCGCGCCCAACTCCCGGATACACGACAAGACTAAATAGCCCTCCCGTTGCGTACTAGTAGGCAAGATCCACCAGCTCCACTACGATCGCCCGACGTCAGGCTCGAAGTTTCGGCACTGAGTGGCTAGCTTCGGGCTGCCCAAGATTGTTTTCTCTCTCGCTCTCGACCACCACGCCAAACTGCTGCCAGATTTGGACCAGAGACAAGCGTGCCGCCACCATGCAGGAGGAAGACTACGAGGTTCTGCGCAACGAGGCCAATGCGAACCCACAAGTCTATTCAACATGGGATCCCAATCGCCAGTTTCGCGAGCAGTACCACCAGCGCCACATGCACGACCAGACTCTTGCTGAGCGTGAACGCAACATCGCAGCCCATGAGCGCGGAGAGCGCAGAGCGAGCGAGTCGCTAGCCCCACGCGAGGAAGAAGCAACGCCCGTGACAGAGGAAGTAGAGGAAGTCGCATCGCCTCTGTCACGCCACAGCACATCCTCTACCTCGACCACGAGCTCTACGAGCTCAGCCTCGACAAACGGCGCCCGCCTCGAGGAAATCCGCACCGCACACTCGACGCCTGCACGCGACCGCCGACCGACTGTCAACTCACAGACGTCGAGCGCAAACTACCTTACCCTGCACCCCACCGAACGTCATCCTGAAGCCATTCGCCGCATAGAAACACATCGCAGCCAGCATGCCGGCACCGTTGGAGCCTCCCAGTCCGATTCGCGTCTGTCCAGAACCCTCACACGACGCCGCACCGAGAAGCCCCTGCCCAACCTTGGAGCTGGCAAGCCGTTTCCTCCGCCTCTGCCCGACAGGGAAGAATATGTCGTTGAGTTTGATGGCGTAGACGACCCACTACACCCGCAAAACTGGCCCATGAAGAAGAAGCTAGGAATCGGTGCTATGCTGGCTTTTGATGCGCTCGCTGCCACCATGGGCTCCAGCATCTTTTCAGCTGCAACAATTCCCGTCTCTCGCCAGTTTGGTGTAGCAAACGTTGTAGGCACGCTGGGCACGAGTTTGTTCGTCTTTGGATATGCCTTTGGACCTTTGGTATGCACATATCCACGCCCTCCAACCGGAGACACAATGTACTGACAAGCTGCAGATGTGGGCACCCTTCTCCGAGCTCTACGGTCGAAAACCCCCTCTCATCATCGCCGCCCTCGGATTCGCCATCTTCAGCATCGCTGTCGCCGTAGCTAAAGATCTCCAAACCGTTATGATTTCCCGTTTTTTTGCTGGTCTCTTTGGATCATCACCATTGGCTATTGTCGCAGCTGTCTTCGCTGACATGTTCGATAACCGGCTTCGTGGTCTAGCTGTCGCCGTCTTTTCTGCAACGGTTTTCATGGGACCTTTGCTTGCCCCTTTTATCGGTGGCTTCATCACAGAGAGCTACCTGGGATGGAGGTGGACCGAATACATTTCAAGTTTCATGGGGTTCCTGGCATTTGTGTTACTGCTGTTCTTCATGGAAGAGACGTACCCGCCCGTAGTGCTCATCAACAAGGCAAGCGAGCTCCGACGTCGAACAAAGAACTGGGGTATACACGCAAAGCAAGAAGAAATCGAGGTTGACTTTAAGGAGCTGATTATTAAGAATGTCAGCAGGCCCATGCGCATTCTCTTCACAGAGCCCATCGTCTTACTCATCACTATCTACATGAGCTTTATTTGTAAGTCCAAGAAATGTGGTTTCTCGCTTCGGGATTGTATGCTAATTCTACCAGATGGCCTGCTCTACCTTTTTCTGACTGCCTATGCTCTCGTCTTCCAACGTGTGTATGGCTGGAGTGCCGGCATCGGCGGCCTTGCGTACTTTGGTATGGTCGCTGGTGAAGTCATTGCTTTCATCGTTGTCGTATGTGACAATCCACGATACGCCAAGAAACTGGCCGCAAACAACAATATTCCTGTCCCAGAGTGGCGTTTACCAGTCGCCATGGTTGGCGGCGTGCTCTTTTCTGGTATGTAACTGTCTAATAAGCTTTCGGTTGACCCCTGCTAACGCACAACAGCTGGTCTATTCTGGTTTGGTTGGTCAGGTTACACTGGAAATGTTCACTGGATTGTCCCTGTCCTCTCCGGTCTCTTTACTGGATTTGGAATCTTCTCCATTTTCCTCTCTTTGCTCAACTACATTGTGGACGCTTATCTCATGTTCGCTGCTTCCGCCATTGCCGCAAACACATTTATGCGCTCCATGTTTGGAGGCGTGTTTCCTCTTTTTGCTACCTTCATGTTTGAGGGCATGGGCATCGAGTGGGCAAGCACACTGCTTGGATGTGTAGCCGCAGTGTTGGTGCCCATGCCTGTATTCTTTTACTTGTATGGAAAGAGGATTCGAGCCAAGAGCAAGTTTGCGCCGGCGCCCGATATTGCCCAGGACAAAAGGAGAGACGAAGAGAGCAAAGGATCAGAAGCGGTTGAGAGTGGAGAGACGACAGAAAGGGAGAGTCTAAATGGCGAAAATGCAGGGCTGCACAAGGAGAAGAGCAAGGAACAGTAGGGGTATTTGAAGGCGTCGAAATTTCTTTTCTTGTACATCTGGTAAAAAAATAGATCTTTAATTCAAACGGCATTATGCCCGAAGCTCCATATCTCATGCGCCTCAATGGAGATGTAGTGCCAGAGTGCACGACAGCATCGTTTTCAGTAAGTCGGACCTGTGACAAAGGAAGGTTAGCCGAGGCGCAGTCTAGTCTTGGAATAGAGATCGGGCCGTATGAGAGCAAGGCCCCGGACGACAGTCCTCCAGGTCTGCCCCACAACACCAGCCCGTGACGCAGACATACCCAACATTTGGGATCGTGGGGCGAGTATGGTCTTTCGTATTCGTTGGAAATGGTATTTCTTCCGGATTTCAGAAATTGTATAAAAGCCTTGCACGTCAACTTTATATCTCGGCACCCAACACCCTCCCATAGGCACCTCACTCCGAACAGCCCTATTTCCCACCTAAGCCTTACATCATATCAATACCGCCAACATGTCCATGTCCGTGGAAGAATGTCAAACGCCACGCGCTGGCTTTCCCAAGCCAGTGCCTGATACGCCCACCAATGTGATGCAACAATTCAGCATGAAGGGCAAGACCATTGTCGTCAATGGAGCTGCCGAGGGCATTGGCGGTGCCGTCGCAGATGCTATGGCCGAAGCAGGAGGCAACGTAGCCCTGTGGTACAATTCCAATAGCAAGGCGGTTGAGCGTGCCGAGAACCTAGCAAAAGAGCATGGTGTCAAGACAAAAGCGTACAGCGTCGACCAGACGGATGCTGCTGCCGTAGAAAAAGCTGTCAAGCAGGTTGTCGAGGACTTTGGCCGCATCGACTGCTTCGTAGCAAACGCCGGCACAGGAGATAGCAAGCCTCTTCTCAACCAAACACTAGAGTCTTACCACAACCTCATGCGTGTTAACGTCGACGGACCAGTCTACTGCGCCAAATACGCCGGCGAGGTGTTCAAGAAGCAAGGATTCGGCAACCTGATCCTCACATCGAGTATCTCGGCCCACATTGTCAACGTACCAGTGGACCAGCCAATCTACAATGGCACAAAAGCTTTCGTGTCACATCTGGGAAAGTCGCTGGCACGCGAGTGGAGGGAGTTTGCACGGGTAAATGTGGTGAGCCCAGGATTCTTTGACACCAAGATGGGTGCGGGGCCACTGGTTATCAATGAGGGTCTGCGTATGATTCCCCTTGGACGACAGGGCAATGTCAAGGAGATTAAGGGACTGTTTTTGTATCTGGCCAGTGATGCGTCGAGTTACATGACGGGAAGCGATTGTATCATTGATGGTGGATATGTGCTGCCATAAGGCAGGGGTACGAGATATGAGGATTCAGAGATGAATTTATGAGTTGATGAATTGAAATTTTGCTCTTTGGTACATGGTCCCCAACTCACCACACTTGGTAACAGTGATGTCGGACTAATCTGATACCACAAATTACACAACATAGCCTTTAAGGTCTGCAACCAATCATGCTTGCTGACATGAGGCTTGTATTTGCTGGCTGAGGGTTTGGCTCATAAATGCTTCCCTCCTTCCCCCTAGCCCATTTGACATTTCTTTCATTTCCTCCTTCCTCACCACAACAAGAAATGTCCTCAGGGCTGCGTGAACACGGCTAAAATAGTAGTGACCTGGAAAAGTACGGCGTACAAACTCATGATACTAATGGAGAATCAACTTTACCCTCCTTACGGATCGTTTGCATCCAACCAAGTGGGCCGTCTCGTTTGCTTCCACCAAATCCTCTCAAGCCGCTGCTTCCGTATTGAAATCCTCAGCTCTACAGCAGTCACCAAGGCATAGCTGTGATCCCCAAGATTTACAATTACTACTTTGGCCATCGCTGGAACGCATCAATCTAAATAAGATGGCACAATTCTTACTGAACAGTACGGATTCACTATTTACAAAAAAAGCTGATAGAGACCAACATCTTGGCCACTCGCAGAGAGCCATGCTCGTCTCACCGTGAACGCATGGTCACCTTGACCCTTGATCACTGCAAGCTCATTTGTCATCAGTGTTTGTCCTTGCAGCAGTATTCTCTTGCTCACCTTTACTTGTCGGCGGTTCTCTAAGAGTACAAATATCTTCGCTCGCCCCACTGTTCTCATCCTCGTCGTACTCACAAGTGGAATTTGATAGTCCCAATACGCTCAAGGAAGCTCTTGGTCAAGCTGAACAAATCTTTCAAGACACAGCAAGATTCCAGCTATCTGGTCCGGACGCAACTCGCGCAGCCAGCTCCTATACGCCACACTATCGGCAACACTTGACGTCCTGTCAAGTGATATCAAAGAACCAATACATATCAACATGTCGTAAGTACCCCCCGCTCCACCTTGTTGTAGTTTTAGCATAGGTTTTCCCTGTTTCTGTTGTTGTCGTTTTTTTGCATCGAATTTTGCATGAAATGGGATTTCTGGTAAGTATCAAGTGGACCCTATTAACAAGGGAAGACCAACTCGCTCTACTTCAACTACTCGACGCGTATCCACCGCCGGTATCCAGAAGCGGCCGGTCAAGAGGAACACAACATCCCAAGTTTCTGCCACTCATACAGACACGTCAGAGCCAACTGAAGCTCGCAAACGTGAAGGTGCAAAATCCTTCTGTTTCCTGGATCTACCTGGAGGTACCACTGATCCCAAAGACGAGGGCAATCCAAGCTAAATAGTCACAGAGATCCGGAACAGAATCTACGAGTACATGCACGCTCAGCACACTCAACTTGTGCTCGTTCACCGACCACGAATCGCCTCTCTACGTCCACGTACTCGGCTTGATCGAAGCCGCACCCTCCCTTCAGATATCGTTGCCCAGGAATACGACGAGAGACTATCGAGTGACAGCAGCATCACGAATGGCTCCGAGCCCGAGAAAATTCCTCGAGAAAGCAACCGTTCGTTCTGGGGATTGACACAGGCGAGCCGGCAGCTCAGGTGGGAGTTTCGCCCAATCTACTTGACCAACCAGGAGATTGGCCTTGACTTAACCAACATCTCCGGTTATGTCAAGGCCTTTTACCCCTCTGCCGCCAAAGAGCTCGCCAAGATCGGTCCTTCAGGCGAACGCGAGTCTACCCTATCTTTCGTCGGTCATGTCACGGTCGCACTTGGCGATACGGCTGTCAAAGAAGAACGTGGCCCCAATGGCATAGAGTTACTCCCGCTGATTGAGGTCTGGGCAAATGGCTTCTCGATGCAGGCTGGATTCGGTCGCTATGCGACGAGTAGCTACACAACGAATGGCCACCAATGGCCGGGAGATGCAGAGACAAAGGATCTGTGAGTTGCATACATTATTTAACCTAACCAGGGCTTTGCAAAGACCATGTTCATTAATTCTGTTACAGCTACCGTCTCCTTGGCCGCCAAGTTCTGAGAGACCAGTCTTGCTCAGAGACGAACGAGCTCTGGGGAGAGATTCTGCGCTGCCGGCATCTTGCTTCGGTCCGTATCCATCGCGTTCCGGTGGTTAGATACGTTGCAACACCAGAGTGGGCTATCCCGCCAGAGCTCCTCGCTGCTTCCGTTCCCATGCCCGCAAACAGCGTCTACTCACCCAACGTACAGATGTTCCGTGTCCCAGTGGTGCCAAGGCCATACATGCACCTCATCTTCAGGAGAGAGAAGGCCGAACCCTGGATGACAGAATTCGAGTCTGTCATCCCCAATAATTGGCTGGTTCAGCACGGCTTTGGAAGCATGGAGCACTTCGAAGTCAAGGTGGGCGTCGAGGAAGAGTAGGAAGACTAGTTGGGGTTCTTGCGACGCCAATTCTTTGCGTTCTGTATTCCGTCACGCACACACTGCATATGAATGGTAAGTACGAAAAGGTTCTTTTCTTTCACTTGAGCGCAAGTTTTCGGAGGTACTCTTGGTCATTGAGTCACTCTTGTTACTGGGAATGTTGGTCCGACTGGCAGAGGGGATGGTCATTCACGAAGAGGTAGTGATGGCATATGGATGACAAGCGGAGGGCAATGACTCGGTGGTATACTCGGGGATGGAGGTATGGTTTGACGACATGTCGAGTGAGGGGGGAATGGTTCGGTGGTATACGCAGTGGAGGAGGGGTGATTCAGTGGCATACAGTCGGCGGCAGATATCGCACTATCGAACCCATCGCCGGCCTGCTTCTCGGGTGTCTATCGGGAATCGATACTTGGATTCGGAATACCAGCCTTGCTACACCAACAAACACATACATCCACACATGTGATATCCATGGGTCCATTAACACGTCTGCCTTGCCGTTGTGCCGATAGACGAAGTACGTTTTGCTTTTCGAAACCGAATGGACAGATAACAAGGAGCACTCGGCCGCGCTGCAGCCCCCGTTGTGCGGCATTGTCCAATGGGGATGTTGTTTTGCTGAGCGGAGTGTGCTTCAGAAAAAGAAACTATGACGCACACACCAATGCAGCCAGCGGTTGTCACTAAAAACAAAAAACCATGAGTGCTGGCAAGAGATAGCCGTGGGATCCTGTCAATATCTGCATTCCATATTGATGGCAATGACCCAGGGCCTTGTCGTGAAGACACCAGGCACGTGCTCTCTCGTCATTCCCCGCTCGCAGCTCCACCCTACCCTGGAAGCCGAAACCTCTTGCAGCCGTAATCGCCACCGACGCGTACGTGAATTTCTCAAACAACAGGCGAGTATGGCGTAACCACACACATGCATACTCGTCTCTACCGCTAGGGCCGTTGGTGCGCCCCTGAACCTCGCGTTTCCAATGTGCAACCCGTCCCCCTGCATTCGCGCCATGAGACGGAGACTGTCGAATGGGTGGACAACAGCTGTATCTGCATCAATTGGCGTCGAGGAGGTGGCAAAGCCTCACGCAACCCGATTCTTTTCCTGCGAGCCATTGTTCAATGAGATACTCGATAGAGTGATGGTCCGCCTTCCGCTAGTCCAAAACACCCAATGGCGCATGCACGTCCAAGCATCCCCTGCTACCGTGAGGTCATTGACAAGGATGAGGACCAGTTCCCACACTTCCCACACACTCACTACCACTGTTCACCAACCCTTGTCTGGGTGTTGTTATCTTTAGCAACTTCAGCAGCCGACAACTCATGAAGCTTTATGTCGTTCAGGTGTCATTTGGCCAATAACTTTGACGACGTCTTTTGCTGCCACTACATTCCCGACCCAGACCCAGACATCCTCCCACTAGCACCAACCGCAGACATGTCGCGACCACAAAGCATGCCCGACTTTACTGCTCTTATGGACTCGTCCAAGTCGCTATTTGAACAGACAACCACCTCGAATTTTGAAAGACGCATACACAGCCGACGACAAACATCACCAGAGCGAAGGACCCCGCACACACGCAAGAAACCTAGCATCTCGCTCGCAGCTGGCTTGATGATGAACACAGAGTCTCCTTTGGCTACTGGCTCGATGTCGCCACGCAAGGCGAGTGATGGTCGGCCTCCTGAAGAGAGAAAGGTAGAGACAGAGGAAGGCGATACTCTTTTCTACGCATATGCGAAGCGCGTAAGTAGTGTCTGCTATATTCTTTGCGGCAATCTGAACCGGGACATCTAGACTGACAAACCTCGATAGAGCGACTACCCGTCCTCGCCTCCCTACATCCTCACATTTGCCTCGGCTGCCGTTTGCTCGCAATGGTGGCACCTCGTCCAGCAAAACTACCCTTCGTCCGCTCGCCGCCCAAGCCCCCAGTTCTTCATCATGCGCAGCGAAGACATGGAACTCATACAAGACGATCTAAAATTCTTTGACCTCCGCAACAAATGGTTCTATTCCTCCCAAGACAGCCCCACCTGTCCCCCAGTCGTTCTCCCCATCCAACACGCCAACGGCACACTCGCCCTCCCACCTTCTCCTCCCCCACCCGAGGAAAAGTCAAACACATCCGCCCTCGACAGCCTTGCCGAAAGCCTCACCCGCCTCGCCAACATTGTCGAAACAAACGCGGAACAAGTCCACGCCCTTTCCGTTGCCCAGTCGACCGGCCTACAAGCCATGCAAGAAATCAATGAATCAAACAGCGTCCAAATAAAAGCCATTTCCGCTTCTCAGCTCAAACTCCAATCTCTCGTCGACCAAAACGCATCTCACTACATCGCCCTCTCCAACAAACATTTCGAATCGCAAGAATCCACGCGCCTCGCTCAAGAACGCAGCCAAAAAGCTCAGGACGAAGCAAAACATCTCCTCACATCAACGCTATCTCACGTCAATTCGCTAGCAAAAGCCCAATCAGACCTAGCCCAGACGTGCCAATCCATGATACAGAGTTTCGACTCTTTTACACACAACAATCATAGCATAATTGGCTCCGACGCCGCCAGTTTGCACTCGGCCGGGTCCACGACGTCGAGTGGCGTCCTGGCCAGTCGGATTAGTCCGCCGCCCAGGAAGCTGAACCGCAGGGTCAAGGGTGTGTGGTATGAGTATGATAATAGTGTTCCTGGGACGGCTGGCGGTGGGACGACGATGGTGCGCAAGAGGGCGGATTCGGTGGGCATGGAGACGCCGCCGAAGAGTCCTGTCGTGTTTAAGTCGTGAGGTTTGGTTCTTGTTCTCGAAGAATATTGTTTGTGTACGATAGGCGCCGGTTTCTTGTACTGTTTCGGTGGTCGTTTAGCCATGTTTGGTGTTGGAAGGCGTTTGGGAACTTTGCATCTTCAATATCTAATCGTATGGCGTTGTGCGGTTGCTCGAAGGAATGCAAAAGTTTGATTCATTCGTATTCATTAGGTCATGAGCATTCATCACCAAACCCCCCATATCCTACGACCTCCTCGCCAACTCGACAGCCTCCTCGACCAACTCCTCCAGCGTAACCTTGGGCAAGCCCAACTTCTCATTCCAAACCTGCTGCTCACCCGGAAAGTCATACCCAACATCCACATCTGCCCCGAAACTCAGCGCCAAAAGCCCAAACGTCGCACTCGCATCCCCCTCGTCATATTTCTTCTTCAAACGCTCAATCTCCGTCTTGCTGTCCCCCTGCTCTACCTTGAATGTCTCCCCAGTAGCCCTCTCCAACGCCCCCAAAACCTCCCGTATACTAACCATGAAATCGCACAAAAAGATCTGCTTGTTGGCCGTCTCCTCTGCGCGCAGCAGCACCTGTGCAACTGCCGTCCCCGTATTCTTACTCGACGTAACCGCAAACTTCTTATTGCCCGAATCCCACACCTTTGCCGTGCGCCCCTTGACGTCTATGCCTAGGAAATTGCCAGATTGGGCGGGATTTAGCGCCCAGTCAAGCCAGCTACCGCAGCAAATACTGCTCCAGGTCATCTTGCCCTGGCTCTTCTCGCACGATTCGATGAGGTAGGTGAGCATGTCCCCCTTGATATCGTAAGTCGGCACCAGCGCCCTCGCGCGGGGGTCCAGATTGTTTGCTCCAAACTCGCTGGGGATAAAACGTTTCACGCCTGCCGCCAACGCGGCGTCGATGAGGCGGAAGGCGAGTCCGTCTTTGCCGCCGGCTGTGACGGGGGCGGTGGAGAGGGCGACGACGACGGCATCTTGACCAGTGAAGAGGGAGGTTAGTTCTGCGGTTGTGAAGGCGTCCGAGACGGTTTTGACGGGAATGCCCGCGGGGAAGGTGGCACTGGAGCTGGCGCGCGTGCCGATTGTTATCTGGAGGGAGGGAGAGGCAAGGAGCGCGGTGAGGATGGGGCGTCCGACTGAGCCGGTTGCGCCGAGGATGAGGACTTTTTGGATGGACATTATAGTAGTGTGTATGGGTTGAGGGAGTTGGGGAAGCTGTTTCTTGGAGGAATGCTCGAAAGTTGGTAATGTATGAGCTGGATAGTGCTGTGTCGTCATCTTTTTGATATTCTCATCATGGCCTTTTATACCTGTTCAAACTCATCTTGAATCCTATTCTCAGCTATCATCAACTGGGTCTTGTGGTGAAGCTGTAGCTTTGTTCGATGCCACTATACCACATCCGTTGTTCATTTCTAATTGCTGCATCGGCCGCTGCATCCTTACTTGGCGTCTCAGTGATTATGGCCAATTACTCAGCTGTAGGCTATACCGAGATTGTGTAACTTCGGCATCGTCGGGTGGAGGATAGTAATCAGCACGTGACGACTAGGGTTGATGCGGTATAGTGGCCATGTATAGTGTCCGCCTTTGCAGCCGCGGTGATGTGGTAATCATAGCAATGTATTGTAAGCAGCGATTTCGTCATGGCATGAAAAATCACCATGACTTGCTCGGTCATGTAAGAACCTGAAAGGAGTTGTTACGGGCTGAAATGAAGCCGTGGCGCTGCATCTTCGGACTGAACACCGGCAATCGTAAGATAAGTGCCAAGTCATGCACATCAGATCTAGAAGACAGCCGTGGAAGATTTCTCAACGGGTCAGACAAGTGTACTTTCTTTTTCGATTTGTTTTCTTGCAGAGAGGTGGGCGGATGAGATGTAGAGTACGTGCGGGGTTTACTTTTGTGCGATGTGACGACGGGATCGGGCCGCAGATTCCCCGGCGTTCCTTCTTGTCTTGCCGCATCACCATGGTGCCATCTGGAGATCTTCACCACACCCAACCTCGTGCACACTCCACATTATCCGCATGCATCTGCTCGCAGTCGGCCATTCAATGATATCTCGAGATGCGCGTTTTGCCCAATCTGGTCACAGTCATATAACGGACACTGGCATCATACTGGTTTCTTCATTGAAGGTGCCCCAAACCATACTCTACCATGGAGAGAGAGCGGATCTTCACGACTGCTAGGCGCTGTGGTGGGGTTTTAGTATTACTTCAGCCTTTCTCCACAATCTATCATCGACGCCATGCTTTTCGGTTCTCCTGACATACCGTGGTACATGCACTTCAACCCGGCATCCAATCCCGTTCATCTCCGCGCAGCACTACATGCAGTGCTCGAGTAACCTCGCCACCGACTACGTGGCCGCGGCGCGACCGAACGGTTGTGATCCACAATAAATAACAAGTCGCAATGTTAGTCGCGGGAAGCACTACCAAACTTCTAACAAAAGAGCTACTGCAAGTGCATAATGCCATATGATTGATGCCCTTTGCGTAGACGGATGCCATGGAACACAGGCGCTTAGTGCTTGCCTTCTCCGTCTTCGTGTTACAATGGCCTATTGCCTTCGAATACCACAGAATATCCTTGCTTCTGCGATCCTTCTCGTCAAAATTGCAGACCCATGGGATATCCGGACGATCGCCATGCGGGTATCCACTCCATGCCCTGGTGTTATTGGCTATCCTCCTTTGCAAAGTCAAGGTACCCATGGGGCTGGAGAAAGAGTAAGAAAAGTACGGTCAAGTGTTAAGTATACCATTCCATCCCATCCATACCCCGCCCTATCTCAAGATCTGTCAACGATTGGGTACATCTCCAGCCTTGCTGCAGGATAATGAAGTATTATGGATCCGTGTATACATACTTTACATTTTGTTCTGCCGATAGCTATCATGCGCCATGTGTCGGTAATCGCCGCTCTATGCTTTTTCTTCTGCAATAAGCATCGCTAAACGAGCCTGAAACAATGCAGCAGCACCTTTCACAGCAGTCTGTATGCATGGGAATCCTCTCGGAGCCGCACGACACGCGAGTCACCGCTTATGAAGGCCTTTCACCGCCCAGGTGCAGACGTATCTTGTCTGTTAAGCAAAAGCAGAATCAATGTTTCCAATGGATAAGAGCACTCAATAAAGAATGTGTCACAAGCCAAGCCTCCTGGATTGTTCTGGCTGTTGGAGGTGTAGCTTTCCACACCAGGCACATGGCGTCAAGCCGGACAAGTGATTCAGAGCGCTCGACTACTCCATTTCATTAACAGCATCCCCTAATAGGAAAGGCCATGTACTACCCCACCCTTACTGCATTGCCTATACCGTCACTGCAAGCCCCGAATTGTTTGGCTACAGCAGACTACCTGTTCCCGAAATGGCGTTCGCAATAACCAAGGATACCTTGTCATATCGTGCACGTTTGCTGTTACATCGTGCCATAAAATGCGGGTTTGAGGCGGACCACCCCTCATCGCTTCTACACCTCATCATCAGCCACTGTGTACTCACATGGCATTAGTTCAGATGGTGGTCAAGAAGTAAACCCAGTTATAGGTAATCCCGCCACAGCATTGCTGTCGTGTATCTTGCTCAAACGCAAGTATTAGTAGGCGAGTCAAAGAATGCGGGCATGGCACTAGGAGCTCGTTTGAGAGACTGACGACAAAGTTGAGGCAGACAACGCGGCACGAAACGCCATTGGATACGCAACAAGAAACGTTTGTGGCGTCAGGGTACAAGCTCTCGGGGCCCGTGTTTGTACTACGACTACTGCATGAACTGTGAGAGGGCTAATCTGAGCCAATATCTGTAGGTAGGGTAGTTCCGCATCTGTGCAGCCGATTGATGCACACTAATGCTAACCCCCCCCAAGCCAAAGCTTACCGAGTGTTTGTAGCTTATGCTACTCGTCAATTTCAACATACACTAATTGAGTCTGCAGCAAGCATTCTTGACGGAGACGTATGAGAGCTCACAAAACGCGGATAGGTGGGGTCTAAGGTTGTTGATGGCTGGCATGGCTAGTTGGTCTTCATCATGACATGAGGTGGCGCTGCAAACGGATATAGACTGGTTACAGGGTATGTCCTTAGCTGACTACAAATACCCAAGTTGCTCGTATACGACGGATGCGTAGTAAAGAAAGTCACGTTTACGCTACAGCCTTGAGCATTCGCCACCATGCTTAAGACGCCCACTGTGGATTCAAGTCTAGCCGATGCGCTGGAACTGATATCGCAGACAGGGCATACGAGCCATTCGCAAAATGACGCTACAAGCACAGTGGAGATGATGCCAATACAGTCTAAGAAGGATGAGATGAGCGTGAAAGAGGATAAACAGCAACCTGCAACCGCCAGTCCCCGCTCATCGGTTGCAAGCAAAAGTCCACAAGCCTCTGATAGTCGAACGCCATTCCGGATAATGGCAGCATTCGTCGCGCTTACTCTTTCGCTGTTTCTGGTAGCTCTTGATACAGTCCTCATACCAACCGCCCTACCGACCATATCGCAATCTTTCCAAATCCCGGATTCACTTTATGCCTGGACTGGATCCGCTTACCTACTCACCAATGCCGCGTCGATACCGTTCTGGGGTAAACTGTCGGATGTATTCGGAAGGAAGTCTGTTTTACTCATCGCGAACTCCATCTTTCTGGGCGGTAGCATTGTTTGCGGAGTGAGCGTCAATGCCCCCATGCTGGTTGCAGGTCGAGCTGTTCAGGGCCTTGGTGGCGGTGGTGTAGTAGTGCTGGTGCACGTGTGTGTCAGTGACTTGTTTTCAATTCGCAACCGCTCCTTCTATATGGGCATGGTCGGAGCAGCATGGGCACTCGCCTCTGCTCTGGGTCCAGTGCTTGGCGGTATCTTTGCCGAAGAGTTGAGTTGGAAGTGGTGTTTCTACATCAACATACCGATTGTTACGATTTCAATCATTGTGCTCTACTTCACTCTTGAGCTCCATGATCCCAGGACGCCACTCCTTGAGGGCCTTGCTTCTGTCGATTGGCTTGGCATAACTACTATCATTACTGCTGCCGTCCTATTGCTGGTTGGTCTTCAGATGGGTAGCGGTGGCTCCTATGCCAACCCAATGGTCATCTCACTAATCGTTCTTGGATCAGCCATCTTCATGGCCTTTCCGTTCTCCCAATGGTGGGAGGACAAACGCGGCGGCAGCCCCATCATGCCACTGCGCATATTCAGAGACATCAGCAACCTCAGTGCACTGGGTGTCTGTGCATGCGATGCTTTGGTATTCAACTCCGTGGCATACTTCCTGCCGCTTTACTTTCAAATCGTCCTCGAAATGAGTCCGGCAACCACTGGACTCTTGATGCTCGCCGTTGCTATACCGCTAGCAATCGTATCTTTGACATCGGGATGGGTCATTGAAAAGATCGGTCGCTTTATCGAAGTGCTCCAGATTGGATTATTCTTGATGACGCTTGGTGTCGGTCTTCTTATCACCTTCGACGCATCGTTTGATCTCGGGAAAGTCATTGGCATCTTAGCTGTCATTGGACTCGGTTTTGGCCCCAATTTTGCAGCTCCGCTGATTGCCTTGCAAACACAAATACAAGACAGCGACATGGCTACTGGTACATCGGCTTTTGGTTTCGTCCGCATGATCTCGGGTGCTATCGGTCTAGTTCTGAGCCAGGTCATCTTTCAGTATCTGACGGTGCCTAATTTTCAAAGACTTGTCGACAGTGGTATCTCTATAGAGTTTGCCACTAAACTAGTTAGTGGTGAAGCAATCTCTCAAGGTGTCCAAATCGGCGACCTTACTGCGTCTCAGAAGGAGGTCGTCCACCAAAGCTTCATGGGCCCGTTGAGGCGAGTGTGGATTCTGTACACGGTTGTTGGTGCGATGGGGCTTTTGGTATCGTTTGGGATCAAGAGAACAAAATTGAACCAAGAGCCATCGCCCTTGGATAGAGTCGAGCAAAGTGGGGATCTCGAGAGTGGAAAAGTTACTTTGACCTGAAGATACTTGCCAGCTGCAGTACCTGGGCAGCATGTTGGTTTCTTAACAGCTTAGCGAATACAATATCCATTAAGTTTATCCAACTGTCGTTTGAGATTCTGAACTGTTGTGCACAGCATCCAGGTGAAACCTGCGGCCATGAATAGCTACTTCAGTCTCAGCAACTGTATTCCCAAACCCCTTAAGAACTGTGTCTAGTATTACAACGATAGTGCAACTAAGCTACAAAGACATCACCACACACTGCTCAACTATTCGGACATGGTTCAACGGTTCATTCTGTATTTCGTGAGAACTTTGGATGTTTTACAGAACTTGTAACGCCCATTGTGGTGGTTTTGGCAGTAGTTTGGGTTGACGTTGGATGTGTTTTTGATCCGGCTGATTCGGTCCATTAAATGGGACTATTAGGGCCCAGATGATCAATGGATGCATCATTGCAGGGTCAGGAGTTATTTCCGAGACATCAAAGGGCAAGCTCCGTATGCAAGAGACTGCTTTCGGATTTTTGGTTCATGTGCAAGATGCAGCCGCGATACTGATTGGAGAAGTAGACACAGTGTCGACTGATTCAAATAAATGCCTGCTAGTCCAACTCGTGTATCAAGATTATTTTATAAAAAAGTACTGTTAGTCCTGAATTAGATCTGACCACTTGGTTGAGCTCTCGTCATTTGCTAGACCTTGCTATCGGTATTGGTAGTGAGAGGTGGAGCCAATGGAGCGATGTATGAACTACCAGGATATTCTTTGGTATCCGTAGTAGGTATTTGTTAGTGATCTTCAAACGATATCACGTCACGTAACTCGTGCAGCTGACTAGGGAGGGGTTTGTTAGGCGGGGCGCTACGCTTCGTGTAGATATCACTGCATTACAGGCCTGAGAAGAAGACAAGGCGTGATTATCTGACTGTTGCATGAAGTTGCAAAGGCTATTGGCGACAGGTGAAACACACGATGATTGCCATGGAGCTCTTTTGGACAGTAGTGTGGTTGATTGTTCACAAGGCGATGAGGCAGAGGGCGTTGGCCGCATGTGGATACGGCAAAGTATGCGCGATGCGTTGATTGGCTCTCGCAACTGCACCTCTTCGACTCCGCCACCACGCTCGGAGCTGCGGCACCCAATAGCTTCCACAACTCGTGTGACAGAAAGAGGCTGAGCACAAAGCCTGCGGCCATGGCCTCAGTCACCTATTTTACCTCTTGCCTAGCAAGCATCCTCTTCCACAGCTCCAGCTACCCTCCCTAGCCCTGCTTTTTCCCTCCCAAGCGTACCCTACCCGGTACCAATTCACCCTACAACCATGATCTTCGGAGGCCTTGAGTTAGTCGCAGGCGGCTATCTGCTCCACCGGCACTACCGCAAAAAGAACCAAGCAAATACCGCTGAAGATAACGCCCAGCACAGAAGGCATCACACCTTCCCCAGTGCAATCTGCCCGAAACAGCAGCAGCAGCACCACAACATCCAACACCCATCACAACCACCCCAGCACCATCAACCCACCCCTCCCCATCAAAAATACGCCTACTACGCAATAGCACCCCAACCCCGGCCACAACTCTACACCCCCCAAACTCTTCCTACCCAGGATTTCCACCACCACCCACCACCTCTCCCCCCGCACCAGCGCCCCCCTCCTCTCCCACAAACCCACAGCTTCACCATCCCCCGGCGTCCCGTACCTGAGCGGAAACCCCAAATAATAATTCAGCCCTCGCTCCAACGCTCCGACTCCTTCGCCACCCTCTCCCGCATGCCCATCGCCAACGGCTCGCGGCCGCACGACGTGCGCGAAGAAAGTCCTGCCTGTATAACACCTACTGCTGGCGCAGCGCTCGGAGTAGCAACAGGCACAGTATATGGGAACCACGGATACTCCATGTCGACGCCGGCGTTTGGTGCCACGGCTACGTCGCCCGGGTTGACGTACGAGATGGCTACGCCGGAGCAGGTCGAGGGCTGGGAGAGGTATGGCGCGTATGGCCGTGAAGACAGGGACGAGGCGAGACCGCATTATGCCCCCACCGTTTCCACGGAGCTGGGGGAGCGGGATGTTGCGCCGCCGCCGTATGTTCCTTGATGCCGTCATTACATGTTTGAGCTTTTAGCGCTTTTCCTTTCTTTGTTTTTAATCTTCTTGCGCCCGGATTGCGGCTTGTTTGGGTTCTACATCTCTTAGTGACTGCCATTTTCTTTGGCATGTGTATAGTATTTTTTTTTGTTTAAATTGATGGAATGGGATTTTATTGCATAGCATAACTCTTGGTGTTAATCACTGGTCCCGCCGTCATCACGCGGACAACCCATGCTGAAGGAATCGCTCTCTCTCTCTCTCTCTCTCTCTGTACCGATTGACTCCTCAGCTCAGCCCCCAATCCATATATCTTAGTATACACGACTCAGACGCCACATCACATCAAACGAGTAGGAAAATTTTCTCGACCGCTTTTTACATATCTTACTAGATGTGCTCTTCATGTGTCGATGAATTCCTCTGCAGAGAAATAACGACTCTATAAAGGCTTTAGGTAAAGTAATTCTAGGTGGTATTGTGCCGGTGCACAGCGTTTTACTAGTGACCCTTGGGCAGAAGCTACGATCCAAGCCGAAGGGTGTTAGATGGGAACTTTCATGTTCAGTAGACCATTTATTAAACTCTACAAGTTCTTATTTTATCGCGCCTCTCTTGCGGTACTCTTATCTTTTGGCATAGCGACCGTGTGCACCGAAGCGCGCAGGTGAAGATACAGATACTCGTACTCCCCAACAGTATGACCCGTGGTGTTGCGCTTCCTAGACCCGTTCACAATACATATGTTGAGAGTGTACTTTAGGTAAAACACGCAATTTGATTAAAACACAGATTCTCCTACCGATGCTAACCCACACTACAAATTATGTCTAAGCAAACCTGCATTAGACGCATACTCTCTACTCCCCATCCTCAGCATCCTGGAATTCTTCATCCCCACTAGACTCAGACTCCTCCTCGTCTTCTGATTCATCGACATGCTCAACGGCAGGGACGAAATCCTCATCGCCCTGATCATCATGCTCATCGTCGTCTTGCTCTTCTTCAGAGTACCCCGGTGCATGTCGCGCAATCGTCTGCACACGCTCGGGGTCGTCTTCGGTCGCGAGTACGCGGAAGAAGGGATGTTTCTCAGTGAGCGGCTTGCCAGTCGTGATGAAGCCCATGGGTGTGTGCTCGAAGTCTTGACCTTTGCGGCGAAGTGTGATCCATTCGTGAACTATTTATTATACGTTAGTATCAAAAGCACAATACCAAGTGTGTTGGAAATACATACGGAAGGTAAGCGGCTTTGTCGCAAAGGGGGGTTTCTCGGGGTGCTGCGATAGATCGTCGCATAGTCCCAGGTACTCTAGTAGCGTGTGGTACTCGTCCCACTCGAGATACAAGCGCCCAGAGAACAGGCCTAACTCTATTCTCAGCCAAACAGGGGCGCGGAAGTTGGCCGGCAGAGGAGGTGTCGCGTAGTAGTTCAGTTGGTTAAAGTGAAGCATTCGACGCGTGACTGGTGCAGCGTACACAATGAGATGAACCCTGTTATCGCCCTCCAGTAACCTTGGATGCTGTACAACCGGGATCAACTCATCTGCTTCTTCCGGACTGACAAGGAGAGCTTGCTCGCTGATGGTGCTCCAAAGAACCCAGTGCGGAGAGCGAATGTAGTTGTCATTCAGCTCAAAAGTTTCAATGGTGCGATTGAAGTGAGCCGAAATCCAGAGACTTGACTTCATAGACGGATTGACCGTATGCTTGAGACCTAGTTCCGTACGTGCCAGCTGCGAGAACATGGGCCGGTAAGCATCGCTTCCAGCAACTAGGCGTCCAAATATCGCAAAATGCATGACGTCGTCATGAAGCTTTTTCACTTTGGCTGCTTCGTATGCCAGAGATTGTTGGACTTCGCGCACATGCTCCACCTCTGACTCAATCTCACGCTCTGCCTCCCGCTCCTGCTCAATCTCTACTTCTTCCAGGGCCGATGCGTGGACAGCACTTCCACGATCTTGGAAATGCTTCTTTCGACGCTGGAGCTCGGTGTAAATGCCTTCCAACACCGGATGCCATTTGATTGTCCTGGAAGAACCATTTTGTCGTTGGACTTTTGGCTGATAAAGCTGTTTCAACGATAGTGTTTCTTTGATGCGTACTTTGGAAAGGAATGCATCTCGTGAAACAGAGTCGCTAAGATAGTCAGGATGTTCAAACCTTGCTTGTTCTTGCTGCATGTACTGCGATGTCTGAGCAAAGAATGAAGGTTCAGATTGCTCCATGATATCGCATGTCTGGCCAAAGACCCACTGAAGCACATCGCCAGATGTTGGACGGTAGCCATGTCCATTCTCTTTCAATCGGTCCAGTATGCCTTGATGTACTTCTGGGGGAGAGTAGAACGTGACTGATTGGGTTTGGCCAAGTAGTCGCAATCGCATGGCTGCCTGTACGAGCGCATCTTTGGTTAAGTGTTGGCCAAGAGTAAGCGCAGCTCGCGCATCGGGCGGGAATTTGAGGTCAGTACCACGACAATGGCTTTCGTCCAAGTACACAACGCATCGATCAAGATTGTCGGCGAATGGAGATGCCACCAGTGGGATTGTCTTATTTGTGCGGTACAGCACCCACACACGATGGTCATCATCGAAGTAGACGGCTGCTGCTGCTTCGTAGTCTGCATCCAGCCAAGCTCTAGCAAAGGCTTTGTTCGAATGCTCCAACACCTGGGCACCAGCATCAAGAAGAATTCGAATTGGTCGTTGCTTTTGGGACACGAATTGATTGTTCGCTCCATAAAACACACCATGGTTTCTGTTGGAGTGAGCATAAGGAGAGGGGTTTGCAAGGTTCCATAGCAAATCCAACTCGGTCCAACGAGCACCATTCGGAGATGCCATACGAGCATATGACTGATTGCGAGAGGCTAGGAGATAGTAAGGCACTTCTGCGTTGGTATGTTCCAGCTTTGCCATGTCTTGTTGCCGAATCAAAAGGGGTAATTGGTGTCGGGAATCGTTGGTGCCCGAAAATCCAGTAACACGAGCTCCAGCCTGCGTCTTCTTTGTGGCAATAGATGGGAAGAGATTCCAACCAGAAGCTTGGAGCTTCAGCTTGAAGGTCTTTGCGTACTTCGGAAAGACAAAATTGTTTAGATAGAAGTCGATCAGGCACGCGCTGTATCGGACCACGTGATATAGCTCGCTCAATTGTCGCACATCTTCAGCGTTGATGGCGGCATAATCTTCCAGTTCCCTTGGTATGTCGCATCCTTTTGGAAACCATTTCTCGTATTGTATGCTGGGCTCATCTGTTTTGGCCAGATGTTCGAAAGACTCTTTGAACTGAGAGATATTCAGACCCTGATAGTAGAAAGATAGGCATGTCAGAGTGATGGCTACGTCTGGATGACCCCATTCAGCTGTAGGAGATGGTACGCCTTTTGCCAAGTATGGCACTGCTATTGGCGCACGTACTGGATGCAGTCCGTATTGCACATTCCAACGTTTCTTCAGGGCGGTGAGCAGTATGCGATGAACAAATAGTCCACGAAGTAGATTGATGGTTCGCATCAACTTTGGCTTATCTTGAAACTGATTAGAAATCCTAGACACTATATGACCACGGACAGTAGGAACAGAAATGTAGGTCTTAATGTCTTGTTGCATGTCGAGAGGATATTCGGCGCATGGTAGAATTGAAGGTGTCTGGCCTTGGCAGATTATCGTTACGAGAAGACTGAGTAGGTAATCTTCAGCATCTTTGCGCAGAAAGTACAGGAGAGGAAACCCATCAAAACCACGCTTGACGATTTCAATACTACGGGGATAGTGTGATTGGATTGTTGTCGAAAAGTCCTTGACCAGGTGGAGGACAGCCTGAATAACTTGCCAGCGCATCGGATGGCCATCGACAGTCATCTGGCTGCCAGAAGGATAGATGAGCTGTGTTCGTATTGCCAAGGACACATCACACTCATCCAGGACGTCTCGAGCATACTGATCCAGCCAATGCTGGGTGTCCATCATTTCAGATGCTGCTTCGAGATTTGCATCACAAAGCTGCTGCAGACCGCTCAGTTTGAATGATAGTATGTGCTCAGGCAACGCAAGAAGAATCCCACGGCGATCTCGTAGCTCAGTGTGCAGCTTTCTATAGAGATGTATCAAGGACTCCTTTGGGGGTGTTCTTCGAGAAAAGGGCACATGCATCAATTCGCGATTGACCAAGCCCCCAAGTTTTATCTGCATCGCCTGTGCGGACTGAAGTAAGAGCGCTCTAGGTACCACAACGCGGGCTAGGTCTGTTCCGTTGGCAAGAAGTGCGGCCGCCATAGCTAAATGAGTTAGCACGATAGCAACAACGCCGACCTCATATACTTACGGAGGATGCAAGAGGTTTTTCCCTTGCCCATGAGAAGTTGCAGAACAGAATTCCGGCCTGACGGTGGTGAAACGGTCGCTAATGCTACGTCTACCTGCTCTTCTCGAAGGAGAACATCACCGTCAATCTCTAACAACAACCAATCAGGGTGCTTCAATGGGTCCCAGTTCGTATGGCCCTCGTTTGCCCACTCATCTTGTAACTGTTGATCTTTGTGTCTCTTTTGGGCATCTGCAATGCGAAGTAGACGCTGCAATTTGGTCATGGCAAGGCCAAAAGCGACTAGCGCCTCTTTCGAGCCTTTCCCAAATTCGGTCTTTGAAGACTCTCGCAGTTCACCAAGTAGGTCGATAAATGTCATACTTGGCCAGAGATCGGCCATTTGAAGCCACTTTGCTTGTGGGTCGCTGTGGCGAAGTGTACGTCTGATATGTTCGGCTGCTGCGAAAGCAGAGCTTTTTGCTAATGTTATCTCATCTGCTCCGATTTGATGGTATTGTTGAGACAGCGCGTCTTTCTTATTGATGATACGCTTTTGAAGGGCATTAATGCTGTCTTCGAGCTCCTTTGCATACCTACATTGGACGAAAGACGAGGGATCCTTGAACTTAGCGACTATTTCTCGAAGCATGCTGATTTCTTTCGACTGGGGAGCGACACCGTGAGTATGCAGAACTTTCTGCTCTCTGGAATTGTTTATGTGGTGGTAGTGATTTCCCAGGCCATAGTCTATATTACCAGATCTGACATTCAGAGCCCTGGCGTATGACTCGACTACAGGAAGAGCCGTTGTCATAGTCATGGTGTTGCTGGGAATGTGGAGTTTAAGCAGATGTCGAAGAGTCAGATCGTCATTCACTCTCGACCTTTGAGGATAGATCGTAGCAGACGGTAATTTGATTTCTGTGAAAACAGGTGGCAAGGATTGGTGATGTTGGAGATTCGTTCGTGAAAGAATCTTTTGAACCTGCTCCAGATACGTACACAGCTCATGATTCTGTGTAAGACGAGTCCATTCCGGGGTGATGTCGGTCAAGGCACGTTCAACGTCCAAGTACTCTGAATTGATTATTGGTAATTTTTTTGGATCAATCCTCGAACTAGGCCATTGCGCGGAGATTGAGGTAGCCAGCAGCTCGCATGCTTTATCCACATTTGGTTCGTGTAAACTTTGGGCTTTGACGAGCTGCGAGCGCTTTTTGAATCCCGTTTCTGAGAAAGAAATTCGTGCTTTGGCCATCAGAGATACAAAGTATGACATCGGAGGTGCTCCATCTGCACGAAAATGGAAATACGCAGGGTGCTTTGGTGCTGATATAGCACGTATCTCTGGAAGCATGGCGAAGGAAACCAAGACACGGAGTAAGCTCAGATTTGCATCTGGTGAAAATGCTAGTACGCTGAAGAGAAACATCAGACTGAATTTATCATCCCAGTTGCACTGCAGGGCCTTCTGTGCGAGTGCACCCCATTCGGCTCGGAGATCGACAGCAAAGTGGTCACTGAGCAAACATCTTCGGTAGAGTTTGTCGTAACCACCCACTACTGGAGCGTCATGCAGAAGCGCGACTAGTGAAGCATCCATAGCGCAAGATGGCTTCCAGGATAAAAGTAGTTTTGATATCTCCAGTACATTCAGAAGCTCCTGTGAAGATGTACGGGTGTCGCGTGTGCGGTACACCTCTTCCCGGTTGCAGACAGTCTTGCTCTTCGGAGGAGCGGACCTTGCGAGCGCACGCATAGCGAGATGTGTGGCTTCCTTTGGTACCTCAGGTGGTTCTTGAATCTCCTGATCAAGAAAGAAATGGGATAGATCGGACGACTTTCGCAGGATTTGGGCAACCGCAACAACAAAACCATCGTCTTGCATATAAATGGTGCAGTCAGCGTTCCAGTGCACCGTTTCCATGTATCTAGCTTCTAGCGGATAATACCCACGCTTAGGCGAGAGCTCTGCAATGCGATTTAGCAAATCTATCATGTGCTTTGGCAATGGGTTCCAGGGCTGGTAGGCTGCAGAATGAAGTAGGTGAAGTGCTTCTTCGGTCCCTGTTCTCCCTGTAAGCGGATCAGCTATCACATGTGATGTATAAGCATGTAACAGAGCCTTGGTGTACAACAGACGTGGCTCAGGAGCACAATCGATACGGCCCAGCGTATCATTGATCGAGTATTTGAGATACTGGCCGCTACCCATTTCGATTTCGACGCAAACATGTGGCCCATCCCTGAAAACTTTGAAATCTCCCAGGGGGACCAGAACGCTGGTATGGCGGTGATTGAAGATAGACTGTATCATGATCTTGTTACGTAGACCATACCAGGTCCCACAATCTTGCTTGTGCGAAATGATAGCACCAAGTCGTGGTGATTGCAGTTGGCCTTTGAAATTGATGAAGAAACTGAGTTCCATGCGCTTTAGCTCTACACTCACTTTGCCATCGCGCGAAACCCACACCAACATCTGAGAAGGAGTCTCGAAATGACTGAATATTCGGGCAATATCCTGAACGAGGGAGCTTCTTGGCTCAAGGAGTACGACCTCCTTGGGCTCCTGAAACTGTCTTACAGCACGATATAACCCGTATTGATATGGTCGTAACCACCAATTCATGATCCCAGACGTCCACTTATCTTTCTGGCGGATTTCGACGTGACCGGTATGGACCTGGAGCCAATGATAGCAACCCTCTACCAAAGGCAGGGGAAGATCAGGCCTGAAAACCCCAGAGGGAATGAACTCAAGCAAGCGGCCATCATTATCAGCACGAATGATGACTTGGCCATCACGGTAGGCTAGATGAATCCTATGCTTTCTCGGCATCACCTCGCATAGCGCAAAATCCATGCCCCTCAGAGGGGAGGGGTAAACAATCGGGTTTTTGGTACCGAAGATGTGCTGGAATGTTGGGTGGATACGATAGGACAACGGCAATGTACTCATCTCCTTCCCGTCTATGAGAAGTGTACCATAGAGGTAGTTGAAATGCACAAAGGTGGAATACTGCTCGGTATCGGACCTTATCGTAAGCGACATCCACCAGGTATCTGGAATGGTCTCCAATGACGACTTGGTACATTCAAAGCTTCCGGGGACATGCCATACAGCTTCCAGTGAAGCTATAAATGTCTTGGGATGCGCTAGTAGAGTTGTCCTTATAAGATGACGGTTTCCGTAAGCGAACAAGACATCCCGGGTAATGGCGTTTTGCAGGCTGTAAGGCATGCCTCGAATTTCAACTGAGAGGTTGTAATGAAGAGAAATCGACGCATCCAGGTATGTCTGAAGGTGCTCCGGTACACCCAGCAGCTGACTTTCTGTGTGAAACGTCCGTTTACACAAGAGTGAAGCCCATACGATCCATTGTAAGACAGTAGGGTCCTCGGTGATGATCCCTTGGAGCTCCCTTCGCCAGCCATCAGTTATCTTACGAGCTAGATGGAGAAGCCCCGTAGCACGACTCAGAGTTTTCGAGTCTCTAGTCAGTGATATGACCTTAAGCAATATCATGATCAATATTTCCATTTGTATGGGCTCCCGCCAGTTGCGCTGAATGCCTTGTAGACGGTAGTCAATCTGCGCCAACAATGCAGTAGAGAGATCGCTGCCTGCTAGTGAGCTGTGGACATCTGTATACTCAGATGTCTGGTTGCAGCTTGGCCCTTGCTGAAGAACTAGACGTGACACAATTACCCAAGTTGACTCGGAAGAGAAGTTGATGTTGCTTGAACCCAACTCTCGAAGAAGATTGATCCATCGTGCATGAGTACCGACCAGTAGACCTTGAAAAGCCGTGAACTCATGAATACCTAGTCCTTGCGGGCACTTGGCTTGGCTTGCTTGGATTTGGTTCGACGTTGGCCATGCAGCGTAGTCTAATCCGAGAGTGGAGAATGGCGAATTCAGTGGAAATTTTACGGGAAAGTGATGCCAAAATGAAGCTTTTGTTAGCCCATCAGTCCAGCAGGCGCCAGAAACATCGTAGTATCGAGGCTTCAAGCCACAAGTGCGAATAATCTCTTGTAGCGCGATCGGGAAGCCCCAAGTTGCATAGTGGGATTCCAGGTGGGCTTTTTTGTAAGAACCCAAGGTTACCTGGCAATGGGTCTTGTTTGCATATGACCGAAGTTGTGAGTAGTCGCGGACAAGCGATATGCGGTCTAGGTGTTCGACCGGTTTGTGGCACAAGCTCGAGAGAATGAGCCAAGTAGCATCACGGTATGCCGCAAACTCTTTTGGGCATTGGAGCTCAAAAAGTGTTGCCTTTGCAGCAGGTTCGTAGCTTGGGAGAGGGTGCTCGAAGATCTGGATCCTCATGTTCTTCAACTCACGGTGAAGATTGTGCCACTCGCAGGGTAGTCTATGACGTGAACCAGCCACGCGAAGATCCCGGTCGATGACGGGATCGTATATGCACTCCTTTTCGTTCAACTTGAGAGTTTTCTTCTCGTACTCTGTGCTCTTGTCTTCCCATTCAGTTTCTTTCTTGATGCATGCCTGTTCGGCTGCATCCTCAATCTCGTTGCGCATGGCTGAAAGCTCACCCTCAAGACCCTGGTTGTCGTAGAACCGCGCAGCGAAGCAGTTGTCAGCAGGATCAGCGAAGATTGTATTGCTTTGCGTCACTGTGCGGGAGCGGCATCGAGCTGACAAATACCGCCGCACTTCTTGAACTCTAGTCATCTCCTCAAGCGTTAACAGCTCGATAGGATCAAGTATATCGGACTCAAAGCCGGGGTGGTAATCCAGAAGTAGTTTGTAGCTTGCGACAGCAGCCTTATCCATTAGAACCCACAATTCCATAAGGTAGAGCAACTGTTGGCTCTTTTGGTATGTGTACGTCTGATCTCCCGTGCAAATGATGCGAACATACTTCCGTATAATGTCACTTAGTTCAACGATACAGGGGCTTTCATGTTGCATCGAGCGCTTAGCCGGTAGTACGACGTCTTCATAATACTTTGATGAAGAGATGTGGCCAGATACAGCTTCCATGTAGGGTTTGGTAGATGTCGCAGACTGCTGGTAAGAATCCAGGAGGCTGGCAGCAGTTGGCTCCTGGCGTCTCGGGAATGAGAGATACTCAAATGAAGTATTTCTCAAGATTTTGCCGCTGCTGTTTAGATGAAGTTGAAATTCGTTGTTTTTGGCATATTGGCGCAATTTTGGGACTTGTCGTTCCCGAGACTTTTGGTGGTTTCGCCAAACCTGCTTCAGGTATGCGCCTGTTGTTCCTAGCGTCCTCTCGAAATCTCGTTCCAATGTCACGCCGTAAAAGGGCTGCGTACAAAGCGAAGGATTGTTCGAACTGTGCAGGTCGGAGCTCAACTTGGCAAGGCGCCGCCCTAGCTTCTGGCGCAAGAAGAAGGCTGCCTCAAGAGGTATTGTCTTCAATGCATTCTCTAGGAGTTGTGTGTGAAGTACACACATGATAGTCTTGTACATTTTCCTACCCTCTTGGGCACCCATATGATGATACAGATACCTCTGGGTTGCTACTCTTAAGACCAAATAGAAAGCAGATCGTCTCCAAGGCTTTCGAGCATTTTCAAAGACAACGGTGTCGCGTACTCGTTTGCGCAGTCGAGGCACGTTGACTGCAGTGCCATTGGCTTCCAATATAGCCATCAAAAGGCCAGATATAATTGCAGGGTCACTTGTGTCTCGGATCTCAGCCAGTTTAGCAGCTGCCTTCCAGGTGACAGCAGCAAACTTTGTGACATATTCAGTGCTCGCCTGCTCGAGAAAGGTTGCGAGAGCGTCTTGGAAGGAAGGTTCGTTGAAAGTCGATTCAGAGATAGAAACCGCTGATCCAGGAACTATATCGAGGACTGTCAGTGCATTTTCCACATTCATTTCATGTAGGCAGTACTCACAATCCCATTGCAGGGCATTCTTTGCTGCAAGTACCTTGTCGGCAGTTGCAGACGTCTCGAAGGCCTCAAAAACGACAGAAACCTCATCCACAGCGCTATACGAGTTAACAATTGAGAGAGAAATTCAATATCACTGGAGCCTACCTGACTTGGTGGTATATGAGTAGACCACAATTCTGAGGGTTGAGGTGAAGTACAAGCATCTTGTGTCGGCCCAGAATATGGAACTGTTTTATCAATGTACTCTTGCTGATGGCCCCGCTTACATTGAGTATTTGGGATGCTTGCAGTGAACTGTGTAGCGTTTCCAAGTGGGATCGTAAGTCTGCAGTAAAATAGGAGGTGGTTTTTGCAACAGCGCTCATTATGCGATTCAGCAAAGCAGCGTTGATATGATGGAGGTTCCCATCTTCCTTGCCTGGAACGTCGCGAGGCAGTGCCACATGATTGTACAGTTGATGTAGAAATTCGAGACGGCTAGTGGAAGTCATAATTACTAAGGGAAGGCCAGCCGCAAAGAAGCAGTCGGCGAGAGTAGTTGAGGAAAGGTGAGTTGCAGTCGTTGAAAAGATTGCTACTGCGAGAATACCTAGAGTGATAAGTAGTTGTTGTGCTGAAAACACGTCTGCCACCATGGGGCGCGGTACCTTGGCAAGGCTCCACAATTGGCGCCTCAGTGAAGGTGAGATGTGATCAGTGAGCCTTGCGGATTGGCAGAGATAACGAAAGTTATGCGCACAGCCTTGTCCAACAAATCCAAGAGCGCCTGAGAAAATTGAAAGCCACCAGCCGCGCAAGGCTGAAACCAGCTGAAGATGGTAGCCTACATGTGTGTGTGTTTGTGTGTCACAAACTTGCGCGTCGCCTGGACCTGCAGCATGCATGTAGCCTTTGCGTGAATGGTTTTAATCATCGGCAGCAGTCACCAAAGAGATCCAGATTGACAGTCATATGTGAAGCAAAAGTACAAATGATAGGGGATGAACTGTGGATTGGATGTACGTATAAAGGATGGCAGTAGGCACGCATAGAATGAGGGAGACGCAAAGAGACCAATGGGAGAAGAGACAAAGGAAATACGAAAACCTGGGATCCATGGGTGATTTTCCGACAGCAGGACTGCGGGAGGCTGCTCGGGGCTGCTCGCAGCATGAATACATGATGCATTGTTGGTTAAAGGTCGCACTGTGGGCCGCCATTAGCTTGTTCTTGCAGCGTGGGTATGGTGTGTTGATTTACATAAGTGATACCGCATCAGTGTGGCGGGGCAAAGGCGTCCATGAAGGGCGCCAGCAGAATTGCAGCAGCACCAGAAGTCATCTTTCTGTCGCAACAATACGATGCATTGAAGTACAGTCGGAGGAAAATGGATGATGCACAGTTGACGGGTAGGAGAAGAGGCTAACAAATGGCCCGTCCCGAGGTTTGCCCGTGTGCTGCTTAGTTAGCCTGACCGGACTTCCCCTCCTCTGCTTCTAGCTTCGTCACTCCAGCCTGCATTCCTCTTTACTCTGAACGAATCGTGCTCTCGGCACTTGTTAAGTCCACACCCATTCACCAATAGTGTCGCCAATCATGCACACCTCACTGGGCACAACCAGACGAAGCTTTTCCAAGCCTAGGATCCACAGCCTGGCCACCATCCCTCACAGCGCTATGCTCCACAGGAAGACTCCACCCCACTCCACAAACGATAAGGACCTCGGCTATATTGTTATCTTCCATACCGTCACCGCCTTGCTAAGACCGTTATTCCCGTTGTATTGGAAACCACTGTGATGAAGATGGCAAAGCGCCATCGCCATAAGGCGTTCCCACCTAGCCCTTCTGGTCCATGGCGCAATGTGTGGAATGTACATGTTCCGCGCTCGCTCCCCATGAGTCGACTCGCGAGTATTTCTTTCTTCCGTCCTTTTGTGCTGTTTATTGAGGGATTTTGGCTGCGTCTCAACCAGCGCCATGTCCAACGGTGATTTCGACAAAGACACGCACATCGCAGTCACTCCACCACCCCAGGGAAACAGCACGCCGCTCTCATCCCAGTCGCATACCTCAGAAAAGCCCCGCGTGATCGAAGAGGTCGAATCCGAACATGACCATACCTCTGTGTCTTCAGCATCAACGCGATCCGACTCAATTGCCTCAGCAGACGCCCGCCCAGCCATACACCACACATGGAGCAGGAATACAGGCCACTCTTGGCCCGGCGATAAGGACGACGCCATCGCCACCGTGACTACCAACGCGACTCAAGACCCCCGCTTTGAGGTCGATTTCGAAGATGACGGCGAGAATCCACAAGACTGGCCAATGGCCAAGAAGGCACTTGTTATCTTCTTCATGAGCTTTTCCACCCTGGTCGTGGTCATGTACTCCACAAGCTACACAAGCGGCATACCAGGCATGATGGCATCGTTTGGCATACGTACAAAGACGCCTGTCATTCTAGGCATCACGACATATATGTGTGGTCTCGCAATTGGATCGCTGCTGCTCGCGCCACTCAGTGAAATGTATGGCAGAAGACCAGTGTATTTGACTTCCGTTGCCGCCTTTACAATTCTCGTCTTGCCAAGTGCCATGGCAAACAATCTCGCACAGATTCTTGTCATGCGGTTTTTTGGTGCCATTGCAGGAGCTGCCATGATCTCCAATGCTCCAGGCACCGTCTCTGACATCTCCCGCGAAGACTACCGCGCCCTGGCTTTTTCTATCTGGTCTCTTGGGCCCATGGTAAGATATACATGTACGGAATGCATATGAGACATACACTAACTTTGTACTCGTGTCTCGACAGAATGGTCCCGTGATAGGGCCCGTAATTTCTGGCTTTGTGTTCCAAGCTTTGGGTTGGCGATGGACAAATTGGGTTGTGATGATCGGCTCCGGTACCTCATGGTTCATGGTGTTCATGGTAAAGGAAACATATGCGCCAGCCATCCTTCGCGCAAAATCCGCCAAGAAACGCAAGGAAACATCTGACCCTCGGTATTACTCGCGCTACGATGACAAGAAATCATTTTGGCCTTTGTTGAAAGAGAATCTGTACCGCCCCTTCAGTATGGCCTTCAACGAGCCGATTTGCATTTTCTGGGATGTTTACATTGCGCTTGTCTATGGAGTCTTGTACCTTTGCTTCGTGTCATATCCAATCGTTTTTGGAGAACTCCGAGGCTGGTCGCCCGGACTAGTGGGACTTGGTTACATCGGCATTGGTGTTGGGGGTGTACTGGTAATAGCCTCTGAGCCACTTATCCGCCGTATGATCAACAGTCATAAGAAGGATCCTGAAACGGGTAAGCCGTATCCAGAAGCTATGGTCAGTGTTGTCGTCATTGCAGCGGTTTGTGTCCCAGTGGGCGAAATGATTTTTGCATGGTAAGCATCCTTTAGCCTTTCTCAAATCAGCAGTTAACATTCCCACAGGACTTGCACCCCTAACGTTCACTGGGTCTTTCCGATCCTTGCTGGCGTTCCGTTCGGTGCAGGCAATTGTGGCGTCTTCATATATGCGTCAAACTACCTTGTCCACTCCTATGGCATTTATGCCGCCTCCGCGCTTGCTGGAAATGCAGTCCTCCGCTCTGCAATGGGCGGCGCCCTTCCTTTGGCTGGCCCCCAAATGTATAAGACCCTCGGTCCGCATTGGAGCGCCACTATGCTATCGCTCATAGAATTTGCCATGATACCCATCCCTGTGATATTCTACCTCTACGGCCATAAGATAAGGGAAAAGAGCACATTGATTAGGCAGATGAAAGAGGATAGAGAGAGGTTAGAAAACAAGAAGAAAAGGGCTGCTGAGAAGGCTGATAGGTCAAGAGCAGGGGACGGGGCAGCGGACTTGGAAAAACAGAACATGGACGTTTGATGGTTCATGATTCCGTGGTGGTTTAGGCGATTAAATCAATTCACTGTAAATTTGATTTTTTACTTTTAGTGCAAAGCTCCTTTCAACCAGCATCTGATGTAGATCGTCCTGAATGAATACAGATGGATGAGCTTGCCCTTACAATAGCCTGTGCGACATCACATTACGGTACGTAGGGTTCTACCGGCGGCTTACATCCGATCCCACGAATAAGGGTTGACTAATACTAAATTTCCGATAGCATGTTTTCTCATCATATTCGTCTCTGCACATGTTTTGAGGCTCTGAGAAGAAAAAGACCAATTACAGATGACATGTGCATAATGAAGCAATGCGTGGACGGATTCGTAGTGCCGCGGCGGCACTCGACATCTGCCGAAAGGTGATCCACATCAACGGAAAGAGGGCCGCGGTATTGCGAACCGGTACTACATCGACGCCACTTGAGGGAGAAACCTGGGTCATCCTTTATATCCCATTCACATCCGTACAACTCAAGGACATTTCTGCAGAGCCATTGAAGCAGATCTACAAGCTTCTAGCGAGAAAGACAAAAAGACAGTAGAAAGCGCACAAGTCACCCATCACCAGCACATCCTCCACCAAATACACCCCACCATGTCAACCAACCGGGACTCCACGATATCAACCACCCCAGACTCACTCATTCCCCTATGGATCAACAATGAACCCATCCATACCACCACCACCTTCGCCATAACCCCCTCCTCATCCACCACACCCTCCCACCACGCCTGCTCCGCCTCCCCAAAGGACGCCACCCACGCCGCAACCACTGCCTGGACCGCTTTCAAATCCTGGCGCCAAACACCGCACACTACGCGCCGCAATCTTCTCCTCCGCGTAGCAGACCACTACTCCACCCACAGCGCCACCCTGGTCGCCACCCAAACCCGCGAGACATGCTGCACCCCCGCCTGGGCGCTCCAAAACGTCAACCTCTCCATTTCCTACCTGCGCGAAATCGCCGCGCAAATCAGTAGTGTAGCCGGCGTTATCCCGCCGACCGAGAAGCCGGGGACGACGGGATTCGTATTCAAAGAAGCCATTGGGCCGGTGTTGTGTATTGCGCCGTGGAATGCGGCGTTGATCCTCGCGACGAGGGGGATTGCAAGTGCCATTGCAGTAGGATGTACGGTTGTCTTCAAAGCATCGGAAATGTGTCCCGCCACGCATTTTGAAATCACCAAGGCATTTGTGGAGGCGGGGGTGCCGGCGGGGGTGCTGAATCAAGTGCAGTGTGTGCGCGAGGACGCAGCGGCGGTTACGGAGGCGCTTATTTCGCACGAGGCGATTCGCAAGGTCGAGTTTATTGGGTCGGCGGCCGTCGGGCGCCAGATAATGGCGGTTGCGGCGAGGTATTTGAAGCCGGTGTTGATGGAGCTGGGGGGCAAGTGTCCGGCGATTGTGCTGGAGGATGCGGAGTTGGGGGTTGCGGCGAAGCAGTGTGCGCTGGGGGCGACGATGAATCATGGGCAGATTTGTTTCAGTACTGAGAGGGTTATTGTGCTGAGGGAGGTGGCGAAGGAGTTTTACGAGAAGCTTGTAGAAGCAATGGGAGAGGTTACGAGGGAGACGACGGGCGCTGCAGTGTCTGAG